CAAATAAATTACATGATTAATATTATGATTAGGTGATTTGAGGAGAAAGAATAAATTAGAATTAGTTAATTAGTCAATTAGATAACCATTAGATTAAAACTAGCCGATTGTGCATAAGAGAAATAAGGCGAATTTTAGTTGGTTAACGACTAGAATCGAAATTCGATAAATTAAGATTTGGGAGGCCTAGCCATTTTCGATATTGATATAAAAAAATTGAATTTTTATAGGTAGTAGTTATAATTAGTTATGGTTAAAATATGTTTTAGCTGTTTAACAAATTAGTTACCGTAAAGCTAATAATTTAATTAATTAATGACTTAATAAATGATCTCATATGGATATTATTAGAATTAGTTTGTAAATTCATATTAATGACTAATAAATGATCTTATATGGATATATCTTAGATTAGTTTGTATAATTTTTGGTTGGAGTGTTGATATTGTTGTTATTGAAGGAGGAGGATTTTAATTGATTTGATGCCGAACGGATTGGCTGTGTGCATTGATTGATAAAGATATATTATATTTGTGACTATGTGAACAGTAATAGTTTCAGATTTTAGGACGTGCTGCCGAAATTTTTGATTAAAAAATTAGATTAAAATTTTTTATTTCAACAAATAATTAATAGTCTTATTACGATTGAGTTCTATATTTTAGGTATATAAAGTAAATCATTAGTCTCTCCACTGATTAATTTACTATCCTTATTATTCATTTTTAATTATTTACATATTTATTTAATTATTATTCCCATTTATTGTAATATTGTTATATTATTATTCATTTTGATTGATTGTTTAATATATTTATTTTATCTATTTGCATTGAATTTTGGACTGTTTAATTTTGCATTGCATTACGATTTTAAATTGTATAATATGTCTGCATATTGATTGCACATGTCTTTGATGAATTTGTGATAATGCTATGCTTCTGTTTGTGCTGGAATTGGATGAAGTGGGACCACGTGGTTTTTAGTGAGGACGGTTTATGTGATATGATCCGAATATTTATATTTTTTGGATAAAATCTTTTTGGGGGTACCGTCGTGCGAGAAAATGGTCCGCAATCTTGCGCCCCCCGTGTGCACCTGATCATATGAGATCTATGCGCTGGAAAACCAACAGGATTCTTCTTGTTGATGGCACCTGACTTATATAGATTTTGATTGTAGGCCCGCAGGTGCCTCTCTTTGTTGACACTGATGATCTAGATTCTGATGGAGACCACCGGTTGCCTCCTTGTATGAAAAGAAAGAGAGAATGGAAAACAATTGAGAGGACTGGTCAGTAGGATTAAACCAGTTGGCGTTATGGTGGTGATCGGCTCCCTGTGTGCACAATTAGTGATAGAGGGCGAGCCAATTGTGTGAGGACGCTCTGTTGGTTCAGCTGCGCCACTGGACTTAATTTCCACTTGATGTTATATATGAAAGATGTTTGCATTGTGAGTGTGCGTGAGCATGCCATTTTCGTTGTGATGGCTACGTAGAGCAACTATAACTAGTCGATGGACTTAGTAATTAATATGTTACACATTTGTGTGACTGTTGTATTGTTGCAATATATTATTACTCCTTTTAGAAAAAATCACATGTCTTGTTCTATTTTTCAAGGAAGTAGGTCTTTTCCTTAATTCCCATTTGGCTATGTTTCTTCGGCAGGCCAATAAACAATTTTTCCTCAGATCCATAATTATTTTTACTATGATATACAAACAGGTTAGTGATCCCACCCCCCCCCCCACTTCGCAGTTGATAGGGATTTGCTCTATAACTTTTAATCGTTTATTATTATAGACGATGATAATCTTATGGAATCCATATTGTAAATTGATGCATTGTTAATTAGCCCAATGTGGAAATGTGTTGTTAGCGAAAAATTCTGGCCAGCATTTAATAAAATTTCTTGATTTTATTTTTAATAATCATATGACTAAATGATTTAATATTAATTGAAGATAGTAAATTTTTAGTGTGTTTCAAGCTTTACTACGGGCCTCGGGGCCTTAAGCTTTTACCTTTTAGTGTTTCAGGCTTACTACGGGCCTCGGGGGCCTTAAGCTTACCTGGGCCCTAGTGCCGGTCCGGCCCACGGAAATGGGTCGTGACACTTAATGATTTTATTTAGTGCATTAATCTAATTCTGTGGGATAATATTAGGTGCTAAACCATTGGTGCTTATAAGGAAATTGAGAATTTATCAATTAATGGGTCCTACAATTATGATTTCACTTCTTTCTTTTCATTTTTTAGTGTTCTTCCATTATTATAAATTATTTTATTTAGTTAAACATAATAGCATATAATCTATTATATTATGAGTTAAATTTTTATTATTTGAAATATTTCGGTTTCATAATTTTTCATGATAAAATTTAAATTAATTTCAAATTTCATCGATCCAAACCACTTATTTTAAAATGGGTTTTAATTATAGAACCATTTATAAAAAAAAAAAAAAATTACCAAAGCTTCTCTTTATAATCTTTATCAATATATCTAGAAAGGTCTCTTTGGATTTTTATTCCTTGGCCAGTGGAAGGTCATTTGACATTCCAAGCATGATGTAGATATGATATATATTAGAAACAAAGAATCTCATCGTTTTTTTATTTTATGATTCTTATTCTTCCTTCGTCGTTGAGGTGTCCTTCGAACAAAACATATAAAGATTTTTTATTTTCTTTAAGGCCAATCATGTATGCCGAGAAAATTACTACTAAATCATTAAAAAGCTTTCTTTCACGCAACCATGATTAAAATGTATTAATTAATGAATTAAAAATGTCATTAACAAATAGTTAATCTCATATTTAGTAAATTAAATTCATAAATCTCTAATTGCCAAATGGTTTTGGAATTTGGATTGATTAACTATTAGGATGGATGAAAACGATTCTTTAGAGAATCTAAATCCAAAAACCAAACAGTACATTTCATATTTGTGTTCAGTCAATCAAACACGAGACATGATTTTGATTCCCAATTCCTTCACCTGGAAGTTGGAATTTGGATCCACTAATTCCTTCACTTGGAAGTTGGATCCACCTTCTTCCCCAAGTCACTATATATATATATATATATATATAAAAAAGTTAGTTCAGTTAGTTAATTTAGTCGATAAAAAAGAAATTTTGTAGGTCTCAAAGTAAATAAGAGGATTATTCATGTTGTGTAATTCAAAATGTTTTCTCGACTATTGGGTCTCGTAACGAATAAAAAAGATATAATTTCAATTGAAAATTTTGAAGAAAAAAAAATATCTACCTCTATTTTTTTTTTTTTTTCCTAAAAAGAAGGATATAGCGTGGAAAAGAAAAAGGGAAAAAAGAAAAAAGGAATGCAAGTATGGAAATGATTATGAACGGTGGTGATATAATTAATCAAGAAGATAATGAAGATTGTCATGACAGATAATATACAATGATGGAAGCACATACCATCTTGACAACAACCAAGAATTTAATTTACCATGGTTTAATGTATAGCATCTAACTTTATAGTACAAGGTTATGTATGCCTAAGAATAATTGGTGCACTACAGGACATGCATTAAAAACAAGTTTCATGTCCTACTAACAGGAAACTCCATGTCAAAAAAAAAAAAAAAAAAAAAAAAAAAAAAAAAAAAAAAAAAAAAAAAAAGAGGAAAACTCTAAGCAGCTAAAAAATTGTTTTTGAACCTAAAAAAAAAAAAAAAAAAAAAAAAAAAAGAGGAAACTCAAGGCCCAGTAAAGAAATTGTTTTGAGCCACATACCCAATTAAAATAATATGAAGAAAATAGATAATTAGTTAATATTATTTACACTTATTAATGTCCAAAAAGTTGCACCTTGATAAACACACACATGCCCTTGTTTTTGTTTCAATCCCATTCATAGGGAACATTATGAAAAGTTGAACCCATTTAATTAATATATGCAAAAACATCAAAAGATGTTAAGATTCAAAAATTTAAGGTTTTGAGCCTACCAAACAATAATTTTTCCATAGAATTGCACTAGCAACATAGGAGGCCATAAAAGTATTAACTACTTGCAACTTGCATTTAAAAGTAACCTCTTCTCTAAATATTTTAATTTATGCGTATTAAGATATAACCTAGTACGTGGTAAATATACGTAGAACGTAACAATTAATTTAGGTTTGAATTTCTTATTTAATAGTAAAAAAAATTATGATAATATATTGTAAACTAATTAGTAAATACTTACTTAATATTCTACATATAGTTGAGTATTAAATCAAGATGATTTTAGTGGGTAATTATTACTTAAAATTAATTAGTCATTATATTATTGGCTTCTTGTTCATGATGTGGAGGCGTGATGAGAAATAGTACGTACAGAAATTCAAAAGATGAAATGCACAAGGATAGGAGAAAGGGAGACATGAAAAAGGAAATGATAGCTAATAATTGAACAATGGACAACATAATTTTTGAAAGGGATATATCATATGTCAATCCCACCCCCAAAGATTTTTTGGTAACAGCATTAAGATGATTGTTTCTTAATATTTGCAAAAAAAAAAATAAAAAATTATGAATTAGGTTTAGAAATGCAATTTTCTTTGTATAATCACAAAAGAAAAATGAATCTTATTCAATGGAAAAAGATTTCAAATTGCTTGAATTTATATAAGCTTTGAATTTCCTAATTGTTTGATTAAATATTATTGGCAGATTTAACATCAAATGCTAGAGAATCTGATGGGTTATATTCTACAAGATGCATAGTAGAATAAATAATGTTAAATTAATATGAATTAGTTTTATAATTTTCTAATGGAAATAAAAATCGTGTAATCATTTATCCAAACGTCCATTTTTTTCTCAAGGCTAATGAAAAGAAAAGACTGCCTATTTATTTCTCTATGTCCGTGTTATTAACTTGTAAACGAAGACCAATTCTTATCCCACATCGGGTGGAAACAAAGGATGAGATGAAGCGTGTGGCTATAAATAACAAGCATAGGGCTGCTGATTTCCATACTTACCTGGACGGGGTCAATGGGTGATCAATAAGGCCCATGGCCTAGGTCAGTGACCTTCATTGCACTTTGAAGGGGTGCTGTCCTAAGGTCTCCCCAAGTGGGAGAGCCTACGTCATAATTTGTGGTAGTGGGGGCCTGCGTTCGCGCGGCCCCTCCCAATTCTAGTGACAATTGTTTGTGTTCTGGGTCTTCATATTGACAAACTTGGCCCTAGTGATTGTCTATGGGTTCATCTACGGGTCTGAGAAGCATTTTGACGAAACAGGATTACGTATAAATTGTTTACGTTACGTGTATTTCAATTAATATATATGCGAGTCTTCAAAAGGATTTCTGTAATTATACTTTCTATCTTGTATTTTTGCTTTGTCCAGTTTGTCATTAGTGATTATACTTCTAAAAATGTATTTAATTAGAACACACATTCTGAGTAAGTTGCTAAATTTCACACTTAGTTTTATTAAGGTTAAACAATTTTAATTTATTAATAGCTATCGTATAATTGAAAAATTAATTTGTTCTAAAATACTTATCGTTTATAATTTCAACGAGTAATAAATATTTTTGTTCATATTCACCGTTTGTATATGATCAATAATTATTATTATAATTTAATAAATTTTATAAAAAAATTAAATTAACCTTTGTATCATGATCAATAAATTATTAATTATAATTTTATAAATATTTTAATATAATAAAGTATATTAAAAACTACTCACTATTTATTTAATCCTACTAAATTCAATTTCACTATTAATTGAAATTAAAAATAATATATTTAATTTACTAAATAATTTATTATAATTGATTTTTTTTAAAAACATAAAATTTCATATCTAACAAATATGAAATTTCAGATTGACAAATATTATGTTGGTATTTAAGTCTAAAATTCTGAATTTTTGTCTTTGGAAAGTCAGCCATCGAGATTCAATAACTGTAATAATAATAGCGAGTAAAAAATCAAGATTGTAAAGGATTATAACAGACAAAAAGACTAGAAAATATAAATGGGAGAAGGGAATTCTTATTCTTTCTCAATTAACAATTAAATCCAAATTAGTTCTGGGAGAACATATGAATTTTTTTAAATGAAATTTTCTTGTCAGTATCAAGTTAATATTTTCTTTAACCGGATTTTAGTAGATTGTTATAATACAAGGTTATCAATGAAGAATCTTGACTATCGTGGCATCGATGTCCATACGCCATACACAAAATGAAGGGTCCCAAACCCCAAAGGAGGGCTCAGAACTAGAAACACGGACCTTAAAGGACTAATACCGTTGAATTTCAAAGGATGGGCTTATGTTGCTCCAAGGGAACTATAAATAAAATTGGCGTCGCTATCGTCTAGCTATCTTTTATGAATAGCATTTGTATTTTATATGGTTAAAAAATTGAATAGATACAATTTTGTAAACCATATCTGGAAGCGTTTGCCAAATGCTAAATGCGTCATTTGATATGCAGATAATGAATTCATGAAGACTAGTGCAAAAGCAATATTGCATTTATCCCAGAACTGATTATATACATCATACAGAAAACAGAAAAGCTCCCTAAGGTAAAAGAGTAAAACGATTGCAAAAACGAGATTGAGTTCAATGTTGAACAAAATGCCACCACAACACTCATTACTCATCAATGAGTTCAATGGAAAACAAAGCAAGGCCACCAAAGTACCCATAGTTCCAATGGAAGAATATAGTCATTATCAATCAAGGAACATTATGCCTTTCATCTCAGTATGTATTTTAAACCATATTAACATTAACAGCCTATGCTTACAAATCTAACCAATTTGTTAGATATGTTGAACCTGGGAAGAAAATAAGCACAACACCAAATAATATTCATTTTCAACCTCCACAAAACATAGAAACAAAAAACATGAACTCAGATGATTGCATGAAGGCTGACCTATGGTAGAAAGTGGACAGTAAAATATAGCATATCAAATTATCGAGACAGCTTTAAAACTTAAAATGCAATATTAAAGTAATCATGCAAGTACTAGATATTAATATGTCCTCGCTAACAAATAACTAAAGCAACCAAAGCAGCAACTGAGGTATCAAAATGTTAACATTCTCTCATTTGACAAACATTGTCCAAAGAAAAATAACATACTCCAACTAAATCTATTGTTGGCGAAGTTCAACCTTCTTCTTCAGCCAAAGCCTGTCAAGGGCACTGTCAGCGTCACCCTGGAAAGTACACCGTCGAAATATCACTATTAAATATGTGAAGCACATTTCAAACACATTCAAAAAGGCTTAACAGCAACTGCATTCGCCAAGGAATCATAAGCAAATCAAACGAACAACAAAATCTTTGGTTATTGATAGATCCCGTATGTGCCAACTATTTTGAAACATGTATAATTATCATGGCCATGGCCAAATACTGTCATAATTCAACTACCCTTCTCTAAATTCGTTTCAGATGGAATAAACAGTATGAGTTATCAATGTTTAACTACAATTCAGGAGTTTGGTAAACAGTATGAGTTATCAATGTTTATCAATGTTTAACTATTCACCTATCTGTGCAATTCAAAAGTCTGCAAGCCCAGCTCAAACACAACGTCAGCCCACCATATCTTATATGGCATGAGCACTTACTGCTCATACAAACATCTAACCAATATGAACAGCCTCAAAGATGTATCGCATCAATAGATTCAATAAGAAAATCGATTAACTGAAAGTGTTATCCCAAAAAATCAATTAACTACTAAAGCATAATACAATAAATAAGCAAAAGGAAAAAAATCAATTAATTACTAAAACATAAGAAATAAGCAAAAGGAAAAAACCTGGGCTCGGACGAAACCACAGAGAGCAAAAGTGGTAAATTGACCGGTGTAGTTACCATTGGCATCTAAGTGACCAATGTTGATCTGAACAGAAGCATGATCTTTGGAAGTGATTAGCCTGTTTGTGGCAGAGCTGCAACGAGAAACCAAATATCGGTTAAACTACCAATTCGTGAAAAAAAAAATATAATAGCTCGTACAAAACCAAAACAGATAACAGATTGTATTACCATTTCCTTGGGATATAAAGATCCATGTTCTGACCCTCGTCGTTCTGCATCTTGGAAGATTGTTTCGTTCCCCGAAAACACTTAACTCAAATACCTAATTTAACAATCAATCTATCGATTTGAATTAAAAAACGATAAAGCATTGCATGAAAAACTCAGAACTAATATATAACAAATCGAAGGTAACAATATATAAAAAACGAGAAGGCATTGCAAGAAGAACTTAGAACTAATATATAACAAATTGAAGATAACAACACAAGATAGGAGAGAAGAGTACCAGAAGAGACGACGACTACCAAATGCTCAGCAGAATGTGTGAAGAAGGCAATTAGCGCATTTATATATCCGCAAAAACCCTAGTATTTTACCCAATGTCTGACACTTGGTGTGACAAAATTGGCCTTACTATTCTTTTAAAATTACAACTTTTGCCACTGTAACCTGCTATTGCAGGTTTACATGACCGGTTCGTTCAGTCAATTCATTTTTTTTATTATTTAATCTTTTTTATTGAGATATATATTATGATACAAATTACAAATTACAAAGTATATATAAAACTGAGTATCTTAGAGGATTTAAACATTAGTACCTAGGGTTTGAAATAGGTATCAATCCAAATAATTGCACCTTTAAAGTTTTATATTCAGTTAGGATACAAATTTAATATATTAGGTTATTCTCAAAATATATATATATATATATATAAAATAATTGCAACTTTAAAGTTTTATATCATTAGGATACAAATTTAATATATTTAAGTTATGCTCAAAAATATATATATAGTATATATACATATATTAAGGTATATGTATATAAATTAAATTTTATGGTCCGCAAACCATTTCACTAAAAAATAAACTTGGTTGTAAAAATAATAATTAAAATATAAAAAAAAACATAATTTACTAATTTTATAATTATACTCTAATTTTTACAATTTAATTATTTTAAACTTTTATAGTTTTTTTTTTTTTTTTTTTTTTTTTTTTTGCTTTAACCTACAAAAATACCCTAAACTATTCGACTAGTTGCAAAATTACTATAAATTGACCTTTGCACTATGGACACTCTTATTTTGGAACTTAGATTTATGAGTACCCTAGGATTAGTTAACTGTTAATCCAAGGTTTTGACATGGGTCTCATTATATTATTTTTTTTTTCACAACATTAACCCTAACATTAATTTGGGGAGCTAATATATTTAAATTTTAAAATGAAGGTGCCTATGGTGCAAAGGTCAATTTAGAATAATTTTGCAACAACTCTAATAATTTAGGGTATTTTTATAGTTTAGGCTTTTTTTTTTTTTTTTTTTTTTTTTGCCATTAGATACTTTTATAGTTTTGTTAATTTTATATCCGTTAGAATTATAAAAAAATAATAAACTACTGATATATCAACAACATTAATCGAATTTGTGATAAAAATTATAATTGATGCGTTTTAAATGAGCTTTTGAACATGTATAAATAGCTACATTAGTAACAACTATAATTATCCGACTTTTGTTTCTTAGTACTTCTACAAGGATCATTGCATTTTTTTAACATAAGGTTAATCTCGTTTTGGTGTTCACAGTAGTTTCTCTCTAATTCTATTTATTGACATTTTTTTTACCTAATGATAAAAAAAACGTGTAAAAAGTAACGTGTTAGTTTCATTAAAACTACAAATAACAATTGAATTGATAACCAAATTACCAATAAAGTAAAAAAAAAAAGCTTTTAATTAATAAAATTGGTAAATATTATATCCAAACTCGTGAAAAGGTTTTTCTTACGTTGCTTAGTGTGGTTTTATTTAAAAACAAATAAAATAAAATTTATCATTTTGTAATATAAAATTTGACATTGTAACAATAATATAGTTTATTAGTTTTGAAAGTTGACGTTAAGGTTGGAGTATTGTTGTAATTAAATCTGACAAATACATAAATTTAATTTAAATGAAAAAATTAGATTTTAACTTTTGAATCAAACTCTAGTATTACTATGAGTAATAATTAATTCAAATATATATGATTGCAATTCCATATGTTTTTGGGGCAGGTCAATTACTTGTTTAGGAGAAAAGAAGTCTAAATCAAGGCGCGAGGCGCGAAGCCTCAGAAAATTGTTTGGCTTCCCGCCAATTTCTAATCCCATCGCAAGCATCCTCTACGAGCATATTCCTTTTACTTTCTCGCTACATTCAGAGGAAGGAAAAGGGCAAAAAAAAAAAAAAAAAAAAAAATCCAAAAGGTAGTTCAGTCCTTACAAAAAAAAAAAAAAAAAAAAAATCCAGAAATGGAGTTCAGTCTTAGCGGAAACGCACTCAAGACCTTCGCTCGGTCCATCACTTGCCTCGCGCGTATCGGAAACGAGCTCGCCATCCAAGCCTCTCCTTCTCAGGTACAGTTTCTTCGTTACTTTCCTTCAGTTTCCCCTTCTCATTCTATTAGAATTCCCTCTCACCAAACACATACATATAGAAGGTTCGAGGACCGTGGTTATGTAATGGTAGGGAATCGTTTATAAGCACTTGTATACACTCATATAGTTTGTATATGCTTTGCTTATTCAGTTAGAATTGCACTGATATGGGTCAATGATCCATAAAACAAATGACTACCATAGTTATTCTCCACCTGAGCGTATAAAGTAGTTTGTGAATCACAATTACAATACAGAGTTTTTAAATATTTCAAGTGCGGTCAGTCTAGGGTTTTGAAAAAACACAGACGAGGATTCTGGCTGAGAAATGTTATCATATTTAGTTTGTTTTGGTTATTGGTAAATTGGGGGAAAAAGTAATTTATAGTACAGAATTTCGCATTATAATTGTTAGATTAAGATTTTAATTATTGTCATTTTTACCAATTTTCACAGCTCGTATTTCACACTCTTAATTCTTCGCGATCTGCCTATCAATCCATTATTTTTAAGTCCAGCTTCTTTGATGTGTATACAATTTCTGGTGCTCAAGTCCAATGCAGTGTGCTTTTGAAGGTAAAAAAATCATCGTTTACTTATTTGTTTTCTCAATAGAATAAATAGGAAATTGTTGTTCATCATCGCTGACTTGGTGCATTCAGGCCATTTGTTCTGTTCTTAGGACACCTATTCCAAGTATTGATCATCTCAGCGTGCAATTTCCTGATCCTGATGCGTCAAAAGTGCAATGGACTTTGGAATGCTTCAATGGTAAAGTGTGTTGCGCATGTGTGTATTGTGCAATGAGCTTTTTTCCTTTCCTCTTTCATATGTTTTTGATGGCGTCCATCAGTTTTTAGTCAATTTCAGTAAGACTGCAGATCATGTAAATGGGGTTAGAAGGAGAGTGATTGATGGTGGCAAATTTTTCTTACCTCCATTGTGATTTGAAATTATGAATCATGCACCTGTCCTGGTTGAATATTCTGCTTACATCATATTAATTCTTGTTAGGTTCCAAGTAAATTTACTATACACACTGTGCAGGTATGAGAAAAGCCTATTGGATTACTTGCAATGTTGAGCCCGACATACAACATTTATCACTTGATAGGAGAAGATTCCCGAGCAGCCTAGTGGTGAGGCCTCGTGATCTCAACAGACTGCTTGCTAATTTTCAATCATCACTCCAGGAGATTACTGTCATTGCAACAGAATATGCCTCCTTACCTTCAGATGCTGCTAGTGAAATAGGTGGAAAAGCTGTTGAACTTAGAAGTTATATAGATCCAACCAAAGGCGAGTAAGCATACAATTCATGATTAGTGTTCCTGATGTGTTGACAATGCTATAGGTCTGATTCATTTCTTTGGTTGCAGAGAATGACTCTTCGCTGCATACTCAACTTTGGATAGATCCTGCAGAAGAATTTGTTCAGTATACTCACACTGGATACCCTGTAGATGTGACATTTGGTGTGAAGGAATTGAAGGTATGGTAACTAATACCCTAGAATGAGATTATGTTGATTTTCCATTACATCTGGTATACAATTTTTATACTTAACTGGATAAAGTCTTTACTAACTGATGAGCTCCAGTTCCTTCTAAATGGAGAATTTTTGTTTTTATTCTCGCGATTTTTTGTTTTGTAGTTTTCTGGTATGCCTTATAGTAGTTTAGAAAGTTATTTAGTGGATGACATTTGAGCCTATGTCAACGTTTCTTAAATTACAGGCATTCCTCGCTTTCTGTGAGGGCTGTGAAGTGGACATTCATTTATATTTTGAAAAAGCTGGAGAGTAAGATGCTTCTTTCCCACCTTTTGTTCCGTTTTATTGATCTCCTGTTTCATTCTTGTCCTCTTCCATTGTAATCCATTGACAAGTTAGTCGTTTTGTAAATTTCCTGTTAATCACTGGCTTCCAGCACATATTTAGGTTGATTGTGATAATTACGAGTTTTCTGTTTTTGTCATAAATCAGAGCATCACACAACTAAATAAGGATCAGATTCCTAAAATACAGTTTGGTTTCTAGATCCAAGAATGTAAGCTCAAAAAATATTGCTATCTAATCAGCCATTTTTGGTAAGCAAGCTTAAGGATTTCAGCAGAACACCAGGCTGTAGGTGGATTTGAAATATATTAGAATTTACAAATTTGGTTTTACTTGCTTAATTTGACACTTCTAGGACTCCACAGAAAATAAACCGAAATTCCCTTGTATTTCATAGTAATGCAGATTCTTGCATTTGTCCATCCTAAATGGATACTGGTGGCAACTAATGCATCTAGGTCCATCATTTCTCATCTTGGGAAATGTTATGGGTGCTCATCTCTACATAATGTTACTGTATATTTGAATTACTTGATCTGTCAAGTAACTTACTCGATTGCTAGTCAAGAATGAGTGGAGGTGGCAATCAACCTGCTTTAAGGAATCAGTTTTAGCCATGTCATCTTCTGTTAGAAACAATTGTACCTGGAATACATATAGCAAAATGTATCATACATTGCACTTGTCTTGATATCATCTGTTTGCTTATGCTATTTGTGATTCATGTATTGGCATATGAAACATGATTTTGATCTTCAGAAATACATGTGCTGATACAGGCCTATTTTAATGGCTCCAAAATTTGGTTTAGATGATGGATCTAGTTCAAATTTTGATGCTACACTTGTTCTTGCAACCATGCTCATCTCACAGCTTAATGAAGGTAATTCGTCAGAACGTCCACAAGCGGCCTCAACGACACATGGTCAGGCTGTGAATGGGACTGGGTCGCAACCACAAGGGATAAATAGAGCAAATATTTCAGAGCATCCTTCTGATCACACCAGAATTTGGTCTGAACTTTCAGGTAAATGTCCCAAGTTTCATGGTTTTAACCATAAGCACCAAAAATTTACATTCTTTGACTTTATGCAGGAAGTGCAGCAAGAAGTGGCAGTGGCACTGAAGAAAGACATGCTCAACAACAAAGAAACTTGAATTCTACCGAACAGGGGGAAATACAAAGGATTAGCATGATGCATATATCAAAAGATACATCTGCTAGAGAAAGTGCTCCTGCTGGTTCAAGGTTGTGGACTAAACATATTATTTCATTTAGTATATTTTATTTTCAACTGCTACAAATCTTACCATAATTCTTTTGCTTATTGCCTCTCCCTCTTTCTGAGTTTGTGCATTTGCATTTGTTCCCCACATGTTATGGGAAGAAGTCTCACAGGCTTATAAGAGCATGAAAACATGATGGCATTATTTTAGTTCCCGTTTATAGTCGAGCCTCTAACTTTTGGTTGGTAGCAAAATGTGTATCCGCTCTTTTTTTGATGTAGTTCTGATAAAGCATTTAAAGTTTTGAATAGCTGGATAGAAATCAAGGTATGGAGACTCTGTTTATGGTGTAACGTAGGAAGATACAATAAGATACGGCTTCTCCAAAAATATGGATCAATTGTAAAAATGGTGGGAAGGATCACAAGGAATGAGAAACGATAAGGAAAATGAGGGAAAATAGAAGGGAACTCATTTCTTTTGGTTATTATTTAATCTGCTTCCTGAATTTAGCTTTTATCATCGAGAAGCATGTATTTCCTGGATTGGTTCAACTGATTTTCCTCAAACCTGGTAAAACATAACTAGGATTAGTGTAACATAGAGAAACTGCTGATTATGTTGTTTCTATTAACATTACTGCATTACGTGTAATATATATGTTGATTTTTGCTCCACTTTCTTGGCTGGTTATATTAGGTGTCATCCTATGGAAAAGCATCAGAAAGAAGCTAGAGGTTAGCATGTAACTGCTATTGGGGCTAATCCAACAATATTTCCCAATTGCAGTAAACTAATGTTTTTACAACTAATGGTAATGGACCTTCACAACTAATGTTTTCACTTTCAGAGAGGTCAGAAACTAATGGTAATGGACCTTCACAACGACACCCTAGTAATTGGGTAGATGCAGATGAGGATGATGACGACGACAACGATGCAGATGAAAATGAATTATGTGTTCAATCAACACCACCATACTATGAAGAGCAGTAGCACCAGTTGATCTCTGTCTCAGTGACAGGCAGAGGCCGCTCCTGCTTCCTATTTTTTTTTTTAACATGTAAGTATGTATGTATCTTCTAATTCAATGCCTAAGCTTCATTTTTATGCTGAATCACGTGCCTTATTTTTCAAAAATATTTTTTTTTCTACAAATAATGTCGGTTATCTTTCTTTTATTTGTTTTCATGTTATTGAACAAGAATATACGTTTGACCACTGCTTTTCAAGTAATTAGTAGCTGTCAGTATAACTGGATGGCATTTTTGCTTATGAATGACCTTGGTTAAATAAAGTGAGAGAACAATAAAAAGAAAACCATTGATTTTTTAAGGGAACTTGTACTTTCCAAATCTGGGCCTCTAATTGGAACCCAAGAATGTAAGTTCCTTAACTACTTTCTGGTCCACTTTGCTTACGTTTCCTATCCTCATTGCTGCTCCTTTCTATTGCAGTCCTCTCTAAGAAGTCTTCTTCATCGTTATCTTTTGGTTGAATTTCAATTTCTCCATGATGGTATTCATTTACTTCTGTAGAATTTACAATGGACCCCATCTCACTTTTTCCACCAGCAGCATGGACTGTAGAATCATACTACCTGTCGTCATTCGAGTTCGAACCCTACTTTTTGTAATGGTTTAAGTTCATATATAGAAGTGGATCCCAAAGAGATTATGTTTTTCATCTTTTAGTGAATTAAACAGCGAAAATTAAGAATCTGAAGATGCTTGTATATAAGTTACCGTTTTGGTTGGAGCCGAGCCCTAAACTACTTTTGGCACTGATATTCCATAATTAACTAGTTTCCATCATTAGTAGTACATTAATGCTTATCTGTTTGATATTGAAGTGCTAGTTTTGCTTGTTTCTCTCATGATTGCTATGCATGTAAATTGGAGTTGTTCAGAACATTCAAAGTTACAAATTTCTACAAGCCGGACGGGTAAACTACAAACTTTCCTCTATTTAATTAACACATGGACTCAACTCTGTTATTTTTAGGTCTCATTATTAGTGAATAGTTTTCCATGGGTCATATTCCTGCACATTTTTGTAGAAAAGAAAATAGGATTGCTCCATATCTTTTAATAAAAAGTTTGAAAGATTAGAGCTCTTCCCCCCTTAACAAAATTATTTGAACTAACCCAAATTAGGGCGTTGGCTTCAATTAATTGGAAAGTAATGATGTTCTCTGTGTCAATGTTACCTCTTGCACGTATGATTGAAACATGCTGGTCTTCCCCAAGTTAGGTTATGGAATTGGATAGTTCACATGGTTCATGATCTACCACGATTATGCATTCATCATAGTGGCCCTAGTGTTTTCTATATGTGTTAAGCAAATCTCAGTATTAATTAGCAAGTGAGGTGTCTTCTTGGTGTGATTTACGTCTTTCTTAATTTGGACTTTAGAATTGAAAGCAGAGAAAGCCTTTCTAATTCTTACTGTAATTACTAGCCGAGATGAATGTAGGAGTTGGAGTTCGTTTTTTGGAACTTAACACTATATTATGACCTGACTGATAAGAAATATTGAACCTTCAGGTTTTGGTTTAGGTCTCTGAGCTCCTTAAAGGTGACTTTATAGTGAACTTGTTTGTCAATTTTCATATTGAGATTCGAGAACTTGTAATAATTGGTTTTCATATATTTTGATAATTTGCCCCAAGGATGGTGATTGGTTTGAATATGTTGAATCCTTCGATTTTGTTGATTCTTTTTTCTTGAAAATTCCTTATGGGTGCAATGTTATTGGAGACTGGGATTTGTTTACCTGTCATTTTCCTCCAAGCTCCAACAGACAAAAAAAATCATCATGTGGGAACCTTGGCATTTTCAGGATTTTTGTTCGACTCTCCTCTTATTCATGTTTAACACGATCCTTCAACATTGCTTACATGCCAGCATGTCATTGAACCTATTCGTGTCCTAATTTAAATCTTGATGTTCCCTGCAACAACTTGAAAGTGAAAACTATATTTTAAATTTGTGAATATCCCTTTAAATATTTGAATTCCACCGAATCAAATTATTGGACACATATGTACGAGGTCAATTTTGGTGGTGACACAACAACAGGTAATGGAAGGTATTTGTATTGGCCAATTTGGGAAATTGAGGTTATTTCTGTCCAAAAGAGAATTTCTTTCTTTATTTCCTTTAAGATAATATCTTTACTTTTACATGTCACTAGTCTTTTACATTAAGTGTATTGCATGTTGACTATATTCATTATATATTTATTTTTTATCTATATTTTTTCTTTATTTCTTTTAAGATAATATCTTTACTTTTACATGCTGCTAGTATTTTATATTAAGTGTATTGCACGTTGACTATATTCATTATATATTCATTTTTTATCTATATATATCTTAAGTTTTGTTTAAATTAAAATAAATATAAATGATTAATTGGTATTATATTTTTCCGTATAAATTACTTCTAATGTTACTTATTATGTATTTAATTCTATTTTTATATAATGAAGTGATCTTAGAATAAAGTTCAACTTAATGTAAATTTTTAAAATCCTAATAGGTGCTTAAAAAGAAAATCAAGTTATTACTCGATTTCCAACCTCTTGTTTTTAATTCCAAATCAATATTTATATATAACTATGATGAAGAATAATAATAAATTATTTTTACTATTAGGTCAGAAAAAAAATTGAAAAGATCTGAATTGATAATGAAAATTATTTTGACCATAGTAATAGTATTATTTACCCAGTGTATCAAAGAAAAGAATACATGCATTTACATATAAATTTTTTAAACTCAAAAAGTGATTAAAACAGAAATATATAGTTCTATTTTTTTTTCATTTTAAACACTATTTTCTTTTAAGTTAAACAGATTTAGGATATAGAAAAAAAGAATATCAAGAAAATTAAAAATGTTTAACCTTAATACGCTGTTTATTTATTACAAGAGAGATATAATCTCTTATCAAAATTAAAATAATAGTAATTACAAATTATTCAGTAATAAAAAAGAAAATAAAAAATTATTATTATTCTTTTTAAAACTTATCTATTCAAAAGATGGTTCCAATATATATAGATATATAAATAATTAATAAATATTAATATATTTTTTAAAAATTAAAATCTATTATCAATCCCACTGTTTAAATTATATAAATCTTTATTTAAAAATTTACTTTTAAAAATAATATCCAGATCAAAATATGACCAAATAATAAAGGAATAAAAAATATAATAAAAATAATATACTTTTTCTTCTAAAATAAAATATTCATATTTATATAATGTTTATTTGAAAATTTATTTTTTAAAAATTATATTCAAATTCTATCATTATTAAATATAAAAGAAAAAAATATAATAAAACATATTTTCTTTATTTCATTATCTATATTATAAAAACAATTAACTATTTATAAATGAAAATTACAAAAAAAAATAATTTTCACAAATTATTCAATTATCATACATATATTCATTAAAAAACAAATTTAACATAAATATAAATTAAAATTTTGAAATGTTTTAATTAATATACTGTATTATTTAAAAAATATTTTTTAATCATTAGAATTTGATATCTGAAATATATACTGACGGCTTATTGTCATAACAATTTAAATATAGGATCAAACTCACCTAAAAAAATGATTCAATGTATAGAGATTATATAAATATATTAATAAATTTAAATTAAAAAATTTCAATGTTTACCATCTAGGGTTCATTTATGCAAATTTTATTTTGAAATTTAAATTTTTAAAAAATAATCCAATCAAATTTTACCCAAACATAAAAAAATAAAAATATTAATAAACATATATACTTTTTTTCTTTTTATCTCTCTCCTAAATTAAATATTATATATTTTTATTTGATAATTTATTTTTTAAACTCTCCTAAATAAAATATTATATATTTTTATTTGAAAATTTATTTTTAAAAAAATCCAATCATATCATACAAACATAAAGAAAAAAAATATTTTCTCTCTTTATATATATATTTTTTATCTAAAATAACTAAATTTTTAATAAATAAAATATAAAAAAATCTTCAAATATCTCATTATCATATATATTTATTAAAAAATGAATTTAATAAAGATAAAACTTTGAAATCTTAATTATTTATATGTATTTATTTAAAAAATAATTTCTTTTATTCATTAGGAAGTCTGATAGACCAAAATAATATTTTGAGTTGCACAATAATCAAATTGATTAAAATACTTGTGGTCGAGAGGATAAAAACTTAAGACCTTTCACTTCTCACATAAGTAATAAAATACCACAATTTTTATTTTACTATGAATAACTAAAATTAAAAAAAAAAAAATCCTGAGTGTAATTTTATTAAAAGTTTTTTAAAAAATATAAAATTAAGTAACAAGAAGCAAATATATAACACAAATTAATTTGTTTTTTAAAGATAGTCAAAATATTTATGATGTAAAATAACGAATAAAATGAATTCTATATATTTAATAATTAAAAAAAGAATTGGTATGTACGACAAAGAGAGAAAAACTACTCGTGTTTGTCTATGTTTTTTTTTTTTTAATATGTTTGTTATTAGGTATTGTTAGTATATATAAGAACTCAATAAAATAAACTAGAAAAATTATATATGATTAAAAGTGAGAAGTAAATTTATTTATGGTATTCCAAATAAATTTAATTATTGAAAAGTGTATTTGTAAATTCAATTTAAGTATATTGATTTGCCATATTTAAAAAAAAAAAAAAAATAGTATTGTCAAACGAATAATAAACTAGAAAAATTATGAGTGGAAGATTCACGAGGAAAGTCTCTTATTTATCATTTTCTTTTTTGTTTTTTCTTTTTTTTAAATGTAATTAGAAGATTTTGTACAAAAGATTTGTTAACAGCCAGCTGGCTTAGGTAGGGTTAGTTCGGGACGCGTAAACACCGTCTGTGTGATCTGTGATGGGTCCCATGTTTTTTTAACGGCTACGTTCACGTCACGTCGGCGCTTAGTCTGTTGTCTAAACGCCGTGTAGATTTCGTCAATCCTTTTGCGGGAGGGAGCATTTGGTGTTTGAAGTTTGAAAGGTTAAAAAAAAAATAAAGAAAGAGAACAACTAGCCGTTGTAATTTTCAAATGTTGTCAGGCAGGTGATCCCGGCTATTTCAGGCTTCCAGCCACAGAGATACATGCAGAAAGTAACAGTAATAGCTTAACAGTCCATTCTCGTGTTACAATAATCATATAAGATTTTATTTCAAATAATTACCACAAAAAAATTATTATGATATATAATTGAATTAAAGTATATGAATGTGACACTGAATAGGGAACGCCGGCCATACCAAATGCCAAATGGGATTAAAAAAACGAGGAAAAAGACGACTAAAGTTCCAGAAGAGAAGTCCACGTTAACAAATGTCATATTTACATTAAAAAAGCACTATAAAATAAGATCCAAAAAAGACAAACGGGGATATTAAATAACGGTAACGGATACTGTGTATGTAATCAGTATTAGGAATGGAACTGTGCTGCCGAATGAGAAAGAGGAAACGTGTTTCGGTTAACAGATTCTCTCTTACATGGACCTAGCAGTATGTGCAAAAACCCTAGATGCCCTCCTTATAATTTCTCTCTCTTAATACATATATAAATATATATTTAAATAATTTACTTTTATCTTATCTAATATTCTCTCTTCGTCTACCAAACTTCAGGAGAGGGAAAATGGAGGAAACAGACAATCCATCCTTTGATGCAATTGACCAATTCATGTGTGATCTTATTTTTTCTATTTTCAATAATTAAATTAATTATGTATATATATATATTATATATTATACTTTATTATATATATATTAAAATCTCTAATAATTTCAATTTGATAAATATTATATTAAAATCTCTAATAATTTCAATTGATAATATATTAGAAATTTAAACACTAACATTTCACCTCTTTGGAGGGTTATATTTTAATATTATTTGTGTAGTTAGAACTAATTTTTCTACCTGAATATTTGTAATAACAAATATTCTCAATACTTGTACTAATTTGCCAATGTCGTATTGTACGCGCGACAACGACATTCACAAATTCTTATTGTTAATTATTTTTTGATATGCATTCTTTAATTTTAGCCATCAAATCAGAATTTGTGCATTCTCCTGATAGCTTTTTGGTCAAACAATTTATGGTACTCAATTTCATTTAACAATAATTCTTCTAAAGTTGAAGTTATGATGAGTTGGTGTGTTAATGTAACCAATAAGAGAGAAAATAAATCTTTCAAAAAGAAAAGTCAGATTCTTGAATGATTAACAACTTTTTCTAATTTCCTAACCTTGTATTCTTTGATCACCTACCCACCTACTATCATTTTATCTTATTGGTTTTTTCTTTTTTTTTTTTAAATTAATAATATTTGAAGAGATAACATTGTGTTCTGATGAAAAAAATGTAAAAATAACAATTCGAACTAAAAAAATAGTTACACCGATGACAAAATAAAAAGATAAGGAAGTGAACTCATAAATTAAAATTTACGATCAATAAGCAAAATATTAAATAAGAATATAATTATACAATTTTTTATTTTAGTATGTGATATTAATTTTTTTTTTTTTGACAGGAATTATCTTTCTTGAATGGTGCCCTCTTTATTTGTAAAAAAAAAATAAAAGTAGAAAAATCCCCCCTTAGATATATTTCAACTTTCAATTTAATTTTTAGCATGCACCTGATTCTAGGTAAGTCCATCCCTTGTTGTAGTTAGTGGCCCCCCATGAAATCAACAAATGGCATTTTGGTAAATAAGGGCAAAATGGAAGTCAATAATCAATGGTTGGCCACCTATAATAAGACTCCAACTAGCCCTTAGCTGTTGTCTCAAAGCTTAGTAAGAGAAGGAATAAAGAAACCTAGCACAGAAACATAAACACCCACTGCCATTTGCTAGTATTAAACAAAGAGGAGAAAGAGAGAGAGAGATATCGGAAAATCAAGAAAGAAAGAAACCCTCCATTCAAGAAAGAAAGAGGGAGGAGTAGAAGAGAGAGTTTTATTTTTCCCTTTCATTGTGGTTTAAATTTCTTGACAGAGAATGGCTAAATCGATAACTTCTTGTTTCTTGATGTGCGGTGCGATGTTAATGATCCTGATCTTGATGAGTGGAACATCCACCGTTGAAGCAAGTGGGGATCACCACCAGCAAAGCCTAGGATGGATACCCATCAGATCATCCTGCAAAGGGTCCATAGCCGAGTGCTTGGCCAGTGACGACGGCGGAGAGGAGTTTGAGCTGGACTCAGAGATCAGCAGGCGCATTTTAGCAACAAGCAACTACATCAGCTATGGCGCACTGCAGAGGAACACTGTGCCTTGCTCTAGGCGTGGAGCCTCCTACTACAATTGCCAAAATGGGGCCCAAGCCAACCCCTATACTCGCGGTTGCAGTACCATTACAAGGTGCAGGAGTTAAGATTTTATTTTATTTTTAATTTTTTTGGTTTTACCATTTTCATTTGAAAGATTTATGAAGGAGAGGAGAGGAGAAGTTGGTGGTGATTTACCTCTTGTTATTGATGAAAATATTGTTGCCATAAATTATATTTTAATTTCTTTGTAAAAGATTATTGTGATTAATCTTATTTTTTCAATGGGTGTTTTGCTTTTATACATTACATCAATTAGGTTAGTTTAAGAAAGATCTGTTGATTGATAGGCTCTCTTTATTTTTTTATTTCTTTGGACATTATTTGATTAAATTGTGTGTTTTTTGGTTAATTGTGTGTTTTAATTATGTAGTTTAATAAACATTTTTGGGACAAATTTGTGAATTATGTGTTGCACTTTTCCTCCAAAAATCACTTTGGTGGGATTTGAGAATTGTTTGCCCAAATTTGATTTGTAGATTTTTTTTTTTTTTTTTTTTATTGTGTAATTTTTTTTTTTTTTTTTAATTTTTTTTTTTTTTTTTTTTATTCCTTCTGGAATAAAAGTTGGGTGAAAGAAAAGCAAAAGAAAAACTGACATGAAAGCTAGGAATTAGGTTTAAAGAAACTGCAACATGAAAGCTAACCAGCGAAAAAAGGCAGTTCAAATTTTTATTTGGTGGTATCATTTTTAGAATTTCTTATTATACAAAAAGTTATGTAATTAAATTGTACAAATGATTTAGAAAGAGTAAATTAGGAGATACCTTTCGGCCTCAATAATAGACAAATGAGATGGAAACACCTTATTTTACCAAAAATATTTTTTTTTTGAAAAATATAATTCATTAATAATAAAATCAAGTATTAAAAATACTCAATTAGATCATGCATATAACTTAATATTATAATTAATAGAAAGTTCGTTCATCCTTCAACAAAAGAATTATCTATATTCTTTTGAATAATAAAATTAAAACTAAAAGAAATGATATTGGATTTTTTTGTTTGGAGATAACCTTGACCGATATAAATATTTATAATAACAATTGGTCATTTAATTGATTTGAACGATAAAATAACTTCTCTAGATCTTTTATGTTTGGATTGCTTTTTCAAAAATTTATTGCATATGACGTGCACTGATGAGTTTAATCCACTATATGTTAATAGCATCAATGGAGAAATATACTGTACTACCAGGCTCCATTGATTAAATATACACATCAATAAAATAAAATCTAAATTCTCCAACCAAATAAAATCAAATATCATACCTCTTAAGAATAAACCTTCATAGAGAAGGAACTAAACCCTTGCGGAAGGAGGGACAAAGAACTATAAATATGGAGACAAAGCAACAATAACAAAAAAAAAATATAGATCTATTAAAAGAAATAGATCTGAGTTTATTAAAAATGAATAACATATTATGAGCCATAAGAAAAAAGAAAAATAGAGAGCCATAGCTGATTAACAACAGTAACTCCAGATAAAAGCTAGTGTTAAATAAATCCGAGAGAAAAGAGAAAGAGATAAATTCTAAAAACAAAATAATTTTGCATTATGGCCTAAAATAGTAAAATTTGCTGTCTTAGGCTGCAATTTGTTGAATTTCTTTTTTTTTTTAGCGGAAAAAAAAACCCAAAATTCATTAATTGATAGGATTACGATACACTAACGTAAAGACCTTATATAATGATTTTTTTTAAAAAGAAATATTCAATAATCCTGCTTTGTCAGAGAAAATAATAATTCAAGGTAACTTGCGTTGATGAAGAAATTAGATATATAAGTAGTAAAATGTCATAACGACATGGTACAAGTTTTCACCATAAACGGTAGATATATTAATGATATTTCAAATTTTTGAGATAAGATGACATTGCAAGGTATTTTATTAATAAAATTATTAAAAAAAGACATTTACTTATCTTCTAATGCAACTACCATACAAATTTGTCTAAATCTGATGTATTAACCCATTAAAATACGGAGCCAATCACTTTTTTTATAAAAAAAAATATAATTTATTACTATTATTTATTTGTTTCTTCAATCAAATCAAGTTAATACTTTCATTTATATCAAATAATTTTATTTAACTCTCATATGCATAAAATAATTTTATTAGATTGATGTTCTAATCACAAATATATAAATGATATTTTAATCGATATATGCATCAATTTATTCAATTGTGCTTGAAAAAAGATTTAAAAAAAAATCAATTTGAAGAGATGTCATGTTAATTAATATTTTCCTAATTAATAATAATCATATCCTCTTGTTCCTTTTTTTTTTTTTTTTTTTTTTTAGGCATACTGTGTTAACACTTTTCACGTTGAAAACTGATATGATCGGAACAATTGAAAAAGCAATGGACAAAAAAGCATTAATTTTCTCCTTTTTTTAGTTTTTATCTTTTAACTTTCTTTAGCGATATGTGGTTGTTAGTGATGGCCATCCCATCCTTATGTCTATCCCACCTAAAAATTTTCAGGATATATCAAATCAATCTTTTCCTTAACTAATATAGTCCCCATTTTGCTCCAAAAAACCACAAATTTTTGCAAGGAGCCCCTCTTCATTTTTTTTTTTTTTTTTTTTGAAAATTGAGGCATGTGTTAAAGCCTTCACGTGAAAACTGTATGATCGAATAATTGAAAGCAATGACCAAAAACATTAATTTCTCCTTTTTTATTTTTTATTTTTAATTTCTTTAGGCGATATGTTGGGGTTGTTAGTGATGGGTCCATCCCATCCTATGTCTATCCCACCCTAAAATTTCAAGATATATCAAATCAATCTCCTAAACTAAGTATGGTCCCCATTTTGCTCAAACACCAAATTTTTGCAGAGGCCCCTCTCAAAGATCTTCCTCTTCCCCTTTTTGGGACATCTTCTCTTCCAAGATTATTCTGCTTCCAATTCTTTCAAGACCTTTACTGTCCTAAATGAGACACATTGTAGCCCAATAATAAATTGGAACAAACTCTTTTTAAGTTATTAATATTATTTATTTTAACGGCTGTTAATTGTTTTATTAACTGTTAACTGTAGCAGTTTATATAATGATTTAAATTAGAAGTGTTTACTAAAAAATAATTATTTAATTAACTATTTAATTTAAAATTACAAATAAAGTAGTTTAACTTAAAAGTATATTTGTTACCCGTCTGGGTATTTGTTCTTCTGTCGTAGCTGAGCTTCAAGCTCTGCTTCATGGTTTGCACCTAGCGTGGGATATGGGGTTCAAGTTTTTGATTGTTGAGCTTGACTCCCTTGTTGCTAAAGATATTCTGCAATCCCTGCCAACTAGTAATGCTTGCTTCTCCAATTTGGTTCAACAGTTCCGTGCTATGCTTGGTCGGACATGACAGGTCAGAGTGCAGCATTGCTACCGGGAAGCTAACCAGATGGCTTACCGGTTGGCCAGTATGGTTGTTTACTCTTTGGTTGAGAAGCAGTTTTTCCAGACTCCTCCTGCGTCTGTAGTGACTGTTCTGCAGAATGATTTTCAGGGCGTCGTTTGGCCTGAGCTAATTAGGATGCATGACTCTTTAAAATAATTAGTAATTTTAAATTATCCATTAGTGTAAAGTACTAATTAAATTCCATGAATATGAAATCCATGGAAGGGATTTTCTTTTTGGTCTTGCATGGCCCATTTAACTCTGTGGGACTCACTTTACACTGGCCTATATCACTTTTTGAGATTCACTTTGTAACTTCAACCGACATTTGTGGATTTATCCTGACAAACTCTTAGTGGTTGCTAAAAAGTTTAATTGGCAAAAGGAACCTCTAAAAATTAGGCTTTAGAATTTTTTATTTGAATTTTGGAAATCTGAATTTGTTATTTGGAGGGACAAAAACAAATGAATTAGATATTTCTTTTTTTTTTTTTTTTGAAGTAACAAATGAATTTAGAAAATAATAATTTGTTTGGAAAGAATTGTAGGAAAGGAAAATTTTGAAAATATGCATGAGCTGTAAGTTCTGTACTTGTCTTTCATGATAAGAGAGTGACCTATCTCATAAGTCGCACTTGGTTTCCTACAATAAAAGGAATTTTTTTCATATACATAAAGAGTGACCTATCTCATAAGTCACACTTGGTTTAGTAAAAAATATTTTTTCAACTTCAGAAATTTATTCCATCCTAAAATGAGATTAATCTTATATTAACTAAGGAATGAAATGCATTAGCAATGCAATGATTTATATAAAAAGCGACTTTGATCTCTGTAAAGGTGAGAAAATAAATTTACTATCTGAAAAGTGCACTTTATTAAGAGCATAACATTCTTTAAGGTCCATAGCCGGAGAGAGATTTCACCTCTATATTATTAAAAAAATAAAAATGCTTATGCCAAACCGAAAATAATGAAGAATTTTTCCGTAGCTTCGAAAAAACAAACTAGAAGAAAAGTTTCCGTCATCTGTGATAAACTAAACGGGTGTCCTCTCCTATATAATGTGACGCGGCCCATTAGGTGTTTTTAGCTATGTGGCTACAAAGAATAATTGGGCCTTTCCACCTAATAGCCCATTGGGCGTTTTCAGAAAATGTAAGGGCTATATAGTACTAAGAAATGATGGCCCTTTCCACCTTGGTTGTATTTTAATGTTAAATATATTTTATTAATATTTAAGAATTATGTTTTTTTTTTTCTTTTAATTAATGAGCTGTGTATCAGTAATGTTGAAAAAAAAATTAATAAAATTATATTTTGATTTTAATGACCGTGTCAATATTTTTTTTTTCTCATTTTCTTTTAAATAGGAAGCAGCACATTATATTCTTTTTTTTTTTTTTTTTTTTTGTTCTTTTTTTTTTTTTTTTTTTTGTTGAAAAATAAAATTGTATGCTGTTTTGTGCATAGAGGAACGTGTGACAATGGTATACAACATTAAATTGAATTTGAAACTAATTTTCTTCTTTTTTTTTTTTTTTTTTTGTTGAAAAACTAAAATTGTATGTGTTTTGTGATAGAGGAACGTGTGACATGGATATACAATTAAATTGAATTTGGAAACTATTTTCTTCTGGAACGATCCGTTTCCTTAGTCTGTTAGTCCGTTATGTAAACTTAGCCCATAAGAGTCAAAGGTCCGGCAGCGCATCGAAGCAACAAAACGACCAACACGTTTTCAGAAACCTCTTCATCATAGCCGTCCATTCTCATAATAGATCCGTGTTTTCTTCCTCCTATAAATTGAAGAGGTTTCTTGTTGATTTTTCATCTACCAGTTTCCATTGATCGCTTGTTTTTCTTTGTTCGTCAACCGTCTTAAGGAAGTTCCGGTTTCTTTTGCGAACTTCGACGACTTCGGTTCCATCGAGATTTGCAATTATGGCAGAAGGAGAAGCAAATCTGCAAAAACAACAGATTGTATGTGTTCATTATTTCTTGAATTATATTGCGTTTTCTTGACGATAAGAGAAAATAAAGTTCAATTGTTTCTTCTTTTAGTTGTTATTGTGATTATATTTGTGAAGCCTTGAATCAATGATTTGGAACTTTTTATATTGGTGTTTGGTTTCTTAGAAAACTGTAAACGGAATGAATACGATTGATTCGACCATTGGAAAATTACCTTTTTTTATCGAGTTGTTATTCAATTAGAAATTAGCCGAACAACAAATACTATGAAATTGTTAATTTCATAGTATTTGTGTTTGTAGAAATTGAATATTTAAAATAATCATCCCCGTGATATGGATTTATTTGTTTATGTTTATGTTTTTGTTCGGCGAAGGAGGAGGATGAGAGATTGAAGTATTTGGAATTTGTGCAAGTGGCTGCAATTCATGCTTTGCTGGCATTCACAAATCTCTACCTATATGCCAAGGATAAGTCCGGCCCGTTGAAGCCTGGTGTTGAGACTGTTGAGGGTACAGTCAAGAGCGTAGTTGGACCTGTTTATGATAAGTTTCATGATGTTCCTTTTGAGATTCTCAAGTTTGTAGATCGCAAGGTGAGAGTTTCTTTTTTCTTCCCATGTTTATTGCTGCTTTTGTAGTTCTCTAAAGCATATGTTGGAGCGGATTGTGATCAAAGGGGCTAAATGGGAGCTGAATGGTTTTTGTTGGTTTAGTTATTCTGTAAACTGGAAAACTTTATTGTGTGAAATCGCAGTTTGAGTTTACTTTGAACTGAGATTTTGTTGGCATGTAGTGCAAAAGATTCTAGCTTGAAATTCTCCGTTGCATTTGGTTTTGGTGAAATTTCAATTGAGTTAGATTCTGAAGCCAAATTATGTTGCATTTTTACTGCTGTGTTTGATATCTTCATGACATCGAAGAGAACAAAATTTTCATAACTGGTCTTTAAGAACATGATGATTCAAACTAATCGCTTCAGAATGAGTCTTGCTTTTGAAGATTGATGAAGTTTTTGTCTTATTGTGAATGTGCTATGATCATTGATACATTTGATATTCTGTAGTTGTTTCTATTATAGGAGGGTTTTAATTTAAGATATTGTAATGAGATATGTTCATATTCTCATTCAAAGTTTTCATTAAGGTGCTGGCATAATGAATGGAAATTGATTTTTGGGTTGCAGGTCGATGAATCTGTTACTACTCTCGACCGCCGTGTGCCCCCAGTTGTCAGGCAGGTTTCTGCTCATGCTATTTCAGTAGCTAGAGATGCTCCAGAGGCTGCTCGTGCCGTGGCTTCTGAAATGCAACTCACTGGTGTGAAGGAAACTGCTTCTGGTTTTGCAAAGACTTTGTACACAAAGTATGAACCCAAAGCTAAGGAGCTGTACACTAAGTATGAGCCCAAAGCGGAACAATGTGCTGCCAATGCTTGGCGCAAGCTCAATCAACTCCCGCTCTTCCCTCAAGTGGCTAAGGTTGTTGTGCCAACTGCAGCTTATTGCTCTGAGAAATACAATCAGACAGTGGTTAGCACTGCAGAGAAGGGATACAGGGTGTCCTCCTATTTGCCTTTGGTGCCTACTGAAAGAATTGCCAAGGTGTTTAGGGATGAGGAGCCTCAGTATACCCCACTTGTTTCGAGCTGAGCATGAGCAACATATTGACTTGCCCTTGAAATATTGTCATCATGTAGATTTGCCTTTGAAATATTGTCATTATGGATTATTCTCTTTTATGTGTGGGGTATACAGCAAGAAAATGTGTGGATTTTGTGGTGATGTGTTTCAAGGATCAGTTCCTGTCGTTTGAATTCATAATATAGTGGTTACTGTTTCCGTTGCGTATAATTGATTCATCTTTCTGGAATATATATATATATATATATAACGAATGTATGTATTTGGCTAAAAAATTATAGTAATGATGATGATGATAACAATAGTGCAAGCAGAAAAAGAAGCTATAATTCACGAACAATGATGTAAAGTAGGAGAGATTTTGCCAAGAAACTCTGTGAAAATGGACGATGTAGTTAAATTCTGTTTTTTTTTTTTGTTTTTTTTTTCTAGTCAATATGAATCCTCAAATATTCAAGGCGAAAGTGATGCATAATTTTTACCAAGTGTGTGTAGTACGACACCGTTCTGCATCCAATTTCAATAAGATGAACCGATGCCACGTTACTCTTTAGGTCCAACTCGCATTCTGGCCCATAGCTTCGCTCTCAATCTCAGCCATTTCCAATTCCATACTTCCATTCCTCGAACAGAGGGCTTCCGAGTCTCAGAAGCAGTAACAGAAAGTCACCAATAGTCATGGCTACTTGTTTGCGTGCGCTACCCATAACCTATTCAATACCTTCTTCATCGTCTAACTCTCAATCAATCAAAAGAAGAAATCTGAGAATCAATTGTTCTTCAATTGGTGCAAAACATTCATCTAAAATTCCTATGCCCCCAATAAACCCTAAAGATCCGTTTCTATCAAAGCTCGCTGCTGTCGCTGCCAATTCACCAGAAACGCTTCTTGACCGGCCCGTCAGTTCCGATACGCCGCCTTACCTTGACCTCTTCGATTCTCCTCAGCTCATGGCAACCCCTGCTCAAGTAAGCTCCTTGTTTTACGCGCAAGTGAAACTCAAATTTGATTATTTATCATCTGATAGTTTTTGGTTTTTAATTGATTTTAACGGTTTAATTAGGTGGAACGATCAGTGTCGTACAATGAGCACAGACCAAGGAAGCCGCCACCGGACTTGCCTTCACTGCTTCTCCATGGGAGAATAGTTTATATTGGCATGCCTGTAAGTCATTCATTTTGGATTTAATGATAGATTGCACAAACGTGTGCACAGATTTTTAAGTTATTAAGGGAAGTGTCTGTTCTTTGTAGTTGCTAAATACTTGTATGAATAAAGAAGAAAAGAAAAGAAGTCCTCTGTAGGTATTAATTTTCAAGTTTTAGGATGATCGATTAAGAACTATATACTTGTTTACTTAAAAGTTAAAGCAATCGTCACTCCAAGCATGGAAGGATTTTGATTTGAAGCAATATGGTTTGTTAGTAGCCCCATTACTTTTGTTGATGCAATCCAGTGAGCATGTTTCACATTTGTTTCTTTCAGTTGGTGCCTGCTGTCACAGAGCTGGTTGTTGCGGAATTGATGTACTTGCAGTGGATGGATCCCAAAGAACCAATATATCTGTACATAAATTCTACAGGAACAACCCGTGATGATGGTGAAACTGTAAGATATTTATTTCTTGTTGCAATATTATATATCATAATATTTCAAACTATAGCTTGAAGAATTTGTGTTCTGTAATTGTGTATTTGATGATATGACCATTTTGTCTGAGCAAATTAAGTACGCTATATAATAAGCTTTCAGTTTAGTTTGAAGTCAAACCATTTTTCTCATTTAACAAATTAATAATATGATGATGATGATGATGATGTTACTTTTAACTATAGTCAACGTTTCAAATGTAGTTTTTATTGAGCTTCTTTTCGTTTGAAGATTTTCATGTGGAAGTTGGTCCAACTTAGAGAAAAGCAGGAGGCTAAATAGACAATGAGATTGTGAGTCCTATTTTCAGGATGAGAGGAGGGAATCTTGAAGGATTTCTTAATTGGCATGGGCTCCTCAATTACAGGCGCTAGCCTGACTGTAAAGAGTGATTAAGTTTCGATATAATTCATAATGCTTAATGAAAATCTCTGACAATTCTAGTGGCATTGTTATGTTGGAGGTTTAGTATTTCTCCAGAATGTATCTAACCATCTAGGTGGGCACTGCTGATTCCAATGGGAAAATTGGCATGTGCCTGTTCATTGACAGCATGATCCCTCAAGCATGGACATGGCAAATGCATGTGATGGCACCTCTTCATGAGGGGGGGTGCTACTGTTATGCTTGCTTGAAGGACTGTAGCACTGGAGAGGTGGAACCTTATTCAGCCCTCAATTCAGCTTCCAAATTGGGAAATTTTGTCTAATCCCAGATGATGTTGGGCACACTGAATATGGCCTGCGTTTGAGATCCCCTTTTAGTTTGATTCAACTGTAGAAACCGTTTAGGAACTTGGAAATATATATGTCTTATTGGGAGATCGAGTTTGATCGACTTAAAAGATTGGTATGTGTGTAAAATTTTCAATTAGTTTTTAAACAAGCCAGAATCAATTTAATGATATAAAAAAAATGTGAATGGATACATATCTCTTTTGACTTGATTGACGCTTTAGGTAATTATTCCAACAATTCCTTTCTCAATTCTTTGACTTGTTGAATTAAAATTTGTTTACTGTTCAGGTGGGGATGGAAACTGAAGGATTTGCCATTTATGATTCGATGATGCAGTTGAAAAATGAGGTCAGTTATTTTTTCCAAAAAAATTTTTTCTCTTGTATTTCATAATTTGCAAAATTAACTCCATTTGAGTTGTGTGACTTACTGATGCTGTTAATGATAAAGGTGGCTAGTTATGGAGGTAGTTGTTCTCATTCTTTTATTTGATTGATATCATATTTGCTTATGAACATGAATCTGTGCTCTTGTGATCTCTGTCCTAGGTTTTTGCTTGATAACTAGGTTGTTGCTCATACAGATACATACAGTTGCAGTTGGAGCTGCTATCGGTCAGGCTTGCCTGCTACTTGCAGCGGGGACAAAAGGCAAACGGTTTATGATGCCACATGCAAAAGGTACAAAGTAATTGCTTGTCCAATTTGCATTGTATATTTTTATGCTTGTCCCTTTTTTTCTTGAATGCTAAGTGTTCTTTCAAATTACTTCCAGCCATGATCCAACAGCCTAAAGTCCCATCTTCAGGACTGATGCCTGCAAGCGATGTTCTCATCCGTGCAAAAGAGGTCAGTTAAGTTTATTTTGTTGCTCGAGTGAAAGCATCAAGGTCAACTAGACAACTATTTGTATTTTCATGTACTTGCTTTTAGACTCCCAATACAGAGTCATTTTTTATTGTTTTCTTTTGGCCATTTATGCTACTGAGAGCCTTGCAAAGTCACAACTGCTAGTCATGTTGAATTTTGTACTTTTGGATATCTTGCTAAATCCATAATTGTTTTTGCAGGCAATAACTAACAGGGACACCCTCATTGAACTTCTTGCCAAACACACAGAAAATGTGAGCTTGATTTGTCTGCTTTGTTGTTTTTTAATTCACAGTGAGTTAGACTTGGGGACATGTTTAATGACTTGATTTTTCATCAGTCTGTAGAGGCTGTAGCTAATGTAATGAAGAGACCATTTTATATGGATTCTAGAAGAGCTAAAGAATTTGGGGTCATTGACAAAGTAAGTTCGTATATAATGTTTATGTTTGTTTGCATACATGTCTTGTGCATTCTGTTTCTGCATTTTAACTAATGTGATGTGAAAATATTGAATCCAGGTTCTTTGGCGTGGTCAGGAAAAGATAATGGCAGATGTTGTCACCCCTGAAGAATGGGACAAGATGGCAGGCATTAAAATTCCAGATCCATTCTAGTGATGCCTCAGAACTGGTTGTGATGCTTGGTTGTGCGCTGCTCCATGGAAGAACGAGATTTCTGGCACTCAAGTTGGAATACACAATAGCCTAGGCTTTTGAACAGGGTCGCAAAAGTTACGTTGGATAAAGCTACATACTATGGTAACTTAAAAATCTTTGTCGAAAGTTAAAAAGAGTAACTTGAAAGAAATGGAAAGCGTTGTAGCAGGAGCAAAAAATTTTACCTATTTGAGCGAAGATATTAGTCTTGTATAACTTTACTGATGAACTTACGGTCTGATCATAAGCCAGTCCATGTTTTGGTTTTTCAGTTTAGTTTTGTTCCTCGTGGCCTTCACAAAAATGCATGCCTATTGATGATGGGTTTTTCTGGCGTTCCAAATTAAGAGGATATCAGTAAGTGCCATAGTTGCTGCAGAAACCACTTAAATCTAAACCCTGACTCGAATTGAGCTCTTAAGCTCAAATGTAATCAAAGTTGAGCTCCAGTCAGAACAAGTTAATTATCGAAGAAATGTAATCATAAACGAGAAAATTAAGGAAAAAAATTTAGTCGTGACTTGTAAACCGAGAATCAAACGTTACGTGAGATTTGACCCGTTGAAGGGGAGCAGCAACAGTCCTTGCAGGGCCTATGTGTACTAATGAGCTTTATTAAGGAGACGGAGGAAGAATGAGATGGGTAGGGGGGGAAAAAACAGTAGCAGATGCTAAATTTTTACATTTCATGAAAATTTGTAATAGATAATTTATTTTTCCAAATGGCCTATGTGTAGTCGTAAGATTGGTAGAGGAACTGGAACACTGTGCTTGTATATAAAAACTGGAGGGAAAATTTATAGCTTTCTACCCTCCAAACTCTGAAGTCGAGAGGGAGGGAGAGGACGGAAATGGGCAATACCTCTCTTCCTCTCAGGTTCGCGGTTTTTCTCTCCTTCTCACTCACTGCCTCGTCGTCCTCTCAGTTCTTCTCAAAACCACAATCACAGTCAACGTCTTCTTCTTCTTCTCCCCCAAATCCAATCCCCAAAGCCACACCCTCCGATTTACTCTCCGTCCTGGGCCCTACCACCCAATCCTCTAAAATCAACCCTCTTGTCTCCCGCCAACTCAGATCCTGCTTCAAATTCCTCGTTCCTTTCACTCCTCTACACCCCAAACCTCACTCTCTACGCCCCTATGTTCAAAGGAGACTCACATCAGAACGCATAATCCAGTTTAGAAGCCGGAGAGAAGAAAATGAACTCATTTGGTGGCCGCCTGAGCCGGTTCTCGAGCTTGCTCGCCTTGCCTTTGATTCCGGTGGCGATGTTGACGCAATTCATCGAGCCCTAGATCCTACAGTCTTGCCGGTAAGTTTCATGCAAGCTTCTGTTTGTATTCTTAGACTAATATCTTCAGTATTGCTATGTTACTAAACCAAGTTTTCTCTAGTAATGTTTATAGGTACCTGATGTTGAAGGATGTAAAAGAGTTAAATGTGAGCTTACTAGAACACCATATGGTAGACGCTTCATAAGTGAGGTTTTGTCAAGCCTATATTTCTTTTCTTCTTCTTTCTTCTTGTCTGGTGCGATTTGTCTTTTTGCTTTCAAGATCAGCAAATTATTTAGAGGTATCATGTCATTGATAAATTGCAGGAATTAAATTTGTATCTCAAATTTCTATTTGAAATGATTGCTGCTCGGGGCCCCTCGATTGGGCTGAATGTTTCACTAAATCGTTATGATTTCTTTCACGGTCACCTATTCATTGCTGCTGACACAGGACGACTTGGTATATTGTGAGTATGCATCTGTCTTATCTTTTTTATTATTATTATGTCTAGTATTCTAGGTGCTACATATAGTGAGTTTTCATATTGTTGCTCTCATCTATTGAAAAAACAAGTGAAAAGAAAAAAAGAAAGAAGGTATGAAGGAAAACCAGGAGAAATGGGTATAGAAGAAAAAAGAGAACTAGTGTGAAAGAAGTATGCTGTTTCTCAAGCATTAGATATCAGGATGCAACAATTGCACGTCCTTAATGGAAAATGGTTGCCAAGCCTGATTTTAGTTGCTTTCCATGTTTATGAATTGATTTTTTCTATACTAATGATTTATAGGAGGCTAGACCAGTGTATTCCAAGCACTGTGTATATAGTTTCTCTTTCTCAAATATATACGGAGTGAACGGTGATTACTGGGTGCTTCTGTATATAGTATTAATTAGCTGGATCCTTAGTGTCTCAGGTCTTGTTACTAACAAATGCTACAAATCGGGTGCTCTCTTTAAGATATAATTGTTCCCTACTATTTTGGTGTATTAAAGAAATCACACTCTTGTAGCATAACTCTTCTTAATAATTCTGTGATTGTAACAACATTTTATTTATTTATTTAATATTTGTAGTATCTTAATTTTTCAGATTTCATGCTAAAGAATACCCGGCATACGATAAACATACATTTCCATTCAATATGGGATATTGTCAAATAGGTAAAGTACTGATCTCTGTGACTAAATCAGTATAACAATTTTTATCCCTTTGTCTCTTCACTTTATTCAACTGGATCTGTTCATTACTCCTGAACTAAATGATTATCTGTAACTGTGCTAATGCTAATTTCTTTTTCCTCCTTTCAGATTCTAGTGTAACTTATGATGATTCAATGAATTTGCGCAACATTCTCTGGCTGGCTCCATTTCCAAGCAATTCATCTAGAGCTTGGAAGTCACCAGGTACACTTGCCAAGTCAAATCGATACTTCTTTTGTATAATTAATAAAAAAATTGTTTCTAGCTCTGTTAGTAAAAAATTGGCAGGTCAAATGCTAATCCAATATCTCAAAAGCTGTTATTTCTCAATTTCTAACATTCAGATTCCACACTTAAGCTGAATTGTGTGCTTCTATGACTATATCTAGATGTCAAGTTACATGCATCTTATTTTACTCCTTGGTGGGAATATCAAGGATCAAAAAGTTCTCAATTGATATCCTTCAAGAATGTTATTGGTTGTGCCACAATAGTTGGTCTGATTTCTTGGTGTGGATTTTAGTTTTCTAGCCTCATTTTACTTTGTCTCTCTATGTTGCAAAATCTAAGGTATTGAGTTGTGGTTGCATGGAACCGCGACATAGCAGACTGAATAATACAAAGCTTATTCTTTTTCCTAGTTTTACAGAGCTTGAGCATGAGAATGAGCAAGAAGTAGTGATCTTTTGAATGATTTTTTAGTTAGGATTAGGTAAATTTCTTTGATTTCATATCTTAAATCAACCATGTCATATAATAGGTAAGTGCTCGAAGAACAATTGCCACACATTATCTATTTTTTCCCTTTTCTGGAATCAAATGTTTTATGTTACATTTTTTTGCAACTTCTTCAGAAATCTGTCAAAAACAAACTAGATTTAACTGTCAATACTCCCACTCTAACAAATAGTTACTGCTGTTTGACATTGATCTGATAGGAGTCCTAGTTGTGCTGGATGCCCATCCAGGAGGAATCATATACAGAGATCTAATACCTGAATATGTAAGGTTTGTGAGGACCATATATGAAGGTTAGAGTTTCTATTTCCCTTTGTTATACCTTTTCACATTTGTTATAACCTTTTCGCTTGCTTAATTAGATGACAAAAACTACTTGCTTAAATTTGTTTCATGAGGATAATATTATTGGTCTGGCAGATGATCTTGGAGATGTTGCGGTTGATGTCAATTACTTGAATGTTGGAGAGTCAGTACCAAATTACCAGATCTTCATGTGCTGAATCCTTCTTAAGGTAGGAGCATTTCTCCTTGATGACTTGTTAGAAACTAATACAATGTCCCATGCATTTTTTTCATTTTCTTTTCCCTATTCCTTTTAGGTGCTTCAGTTTGAGCTATGTAATAGATGATTGGAGGGTGACTCTCCTTCCAATATAACTCACCACTCTATCTTAAAGCTTGTTGAAGTTGAGATCCTAACTTGAAATCAAATTTTTTTATCATTGGGAGGTTTTCTTGGAGACATTGTTTTTCTTTTCCAAAAGTTGCATTACTTGTTGCATCCCTGAATCATCATTCCAAGTGTATGACTGCTGTATAGGTTTTCTATTCCAATGGTACATCATCTAGTGAGGCTTACGCTGGAGAGATGATTGACTGAAGACCATAAGAAAAATCAGGATCTACATTGAAGAAATGCACATAATAAGATATATTACGTTGCATCTGTGATCTCTCTGCTGGTGGATTATTGTTTGTGTTGAAGAACTTGGCCTGTTTCTTTTGCCAACGTTAGGATGAAAAGATGCATTTGATTTAATGTTAACACTTTGATTCTTCTATCCAAGTTTTTGAAAGCGATCTAAAAGCATATCTAAGTGAAGGTGCCAAGCTGGTGGTCCAATATCGAGTAAACAAAAACAAACTGTTCATATATCCCTCTACAGCCAGCATCAAATCAAATGACATTCACTGTATCGAAAATGATATGTCATTGTAACTAGGATTTTGATATTATTTTAAATTCTGTACTAATAAAATGCCTTCAAAATTTAATGTTCCTTCAATTAATTAAAAGTATTGTTTTGCCATCATCAAAGTACAATACACTATCTTAAAAGCTGTTGTTGAACGGAGCTTAAAATTACAGGAAATCGGATACCATTTGGGCGCAACTAAATTGGGTTCTCTGACTAAATTGAGTCGTCGTTCAGGACAAGTGTGAAACGTGATACGACAAGTCGGCAGCACTTTCGAATACTCCTGGCCCCTGAAAACTTAGGCTAGGCTAGATGCCACGTTTCTCTGTAGGCCATCCGTAAATGCAAAGTACTATTCCTGTCCTTCTCAGCCCATATTGGATATTTTCCGTCTGAGCCCTTTTAACCAATTTGATAGTAATTGCATACGTGCGCCCTACGCACGTCGGCGTACATTTTGTCTTCACACATATCAAAACCTAACAGCCTTCTTCTTTTGCTTCCTTTTCTGAACACTCACCTCCTGCTTTCCTGCACATTTCGAAACGAAAGCGATCATTTAAATCTCTGAAACTTCACCTACAAATCTAATCTCATATACATAAATGGCCGTACACAGGATCGAAAGAGCAGATCTATGGAAGAACAATGCGCGAGTACTTCAGCTCCGCCTCAAAGAGCGGTTCCGAGTGGCGGTGGACAGGCATCGTCCACCGATATTTGCCGATGGTTACTTCTCGTCGAAGGTAAATCGGTGGCTCACTCGCTTCCGTGACTTTCGCGAAGGTTCTATGCAGTCTTCTTCAGCCTTTTATCGTAAAAGAGGTCAGTCTTTCTCTATTCATATTTTTACTCAGGGACTTATTTTCGTTTACTGGTCCTTTATACTTTTTTCAGTGAAGTGGATTTCGCTATGTGATCATCTACCTATGACTTCCCTTTTTTAATTATTTAAGATTTTTACTCATCTGTTGCACTGTTTGGCTGGCATTGACGTTAACGGCTTAATTTTGTCTCTCTACTAATTAATTGATGTAATTTATCTTTTAATGATCAAATTTAGTGGTGAATTGATAATCAATAATCTTATTTATCGTTAACAGTCGTGCCTTGATCTTGTATAGTTTCGTTTTCATATTTTACTAAGTCTATTATGAATATATATTTGCTCTAAGAGTTATCAGGAACCAAAATTGTTGGTACTTTGGTTTCGAGGAAGAAATTTCAGCTTATTGGGGAATTATAATTTGCATTATCTAAGTTGGCATTCCAGTAGGATATATAAACTAAATGCATCTTCTTCATGAGCTATGTGTTATGGGTGAAAAATTTGGAGGATTAAATCATGAACTTTTTAGTGGATTTTTGAGAATGCAGTTAGTAAGGACTTCAAGATTGAAGATGATTCTGTGATCGTTCGCATGCTTCAGTCTGTTGCTGTTCCTCTCATTGGAAATATGTGTCATATATTTATGAATGGCCTGAATCGTGTTCAGGTATGTGAACTTGCTTGTGTTGATTTCTTTGTCATTTTTTTTTTTTTGGAATTACCTGGTGCTTGCATTGGTTTTTGAGTTCTAAAGTTTAATATAGGTTTTCTGGTATTACAGGTGTATGGGTTAGAGAAATTACATGAAGGATTGCTTCATAGGCCCAAGAACAAGCCTCTCTTAACGGTATAAATCACTTATCTACTGATGGATTAAACCCAATGTAACATGTTCTTTTACCCAATTTAGATGGTTGTTCTTTGTGCTACTTTATGTTATGCAAACTGGAGTTTGCATCTCCATTTCCTTTTTATATTTCCCATTTGTAGACCATGGATGATGATGATGATGATGATGAGTTGATTATTGGTTTTCTCCCCTTTTTTGCAGGTTAGCAATCATGTTGCTTCTGTGGATGATCCATTTGTTATTGCTTCACTACTCCCTCCAAGAGTGCTTTTAGATGCTCATAACTTAAGATGGACACTTTGTGCATCTGACCGTTGTTTCCGTAATCCTGTGACTTCTGCATTTTTTCGATCTGTCAAAGTATTGCCTGTCTCTCGCGGGGATGGAATTTATCAGAAGGTACTCTATTAAGTTTGCTATTCCATCTGTTAAAAATGTTACGGTTGGATACTTTACAAATGACACTGGGAGATTTAACTATTTGAAAACTTGCTTGTGATAAAATAATGTGAAAATTACACAACAATTATCTTGTTTTCTTCGTCTTTCTGTGTTCCTCTCCCACACAGCTAGCTCAACACCCCTCTTCCCCACGTCCGCTTATGTGTTTGTAGTTTAACTTTTTGGTCCTGAATTTCCTGTGATAGTACTTGTCTTTTCTCTTTTATATAGGGCATGGATTTGGCTATAGCGAAGTTGAATAGTGGTGGATGGGTTCATATTTTCCCAGAGGGAAGCCGGTCTCGTGATGGTGGAAAAACTATGGGATCTTCGAAGAGAGGTGTTGGGAGGTAAATATCTAATATGAAGGATATCTAGTCTTTGTGAGTGGCTAGGAGGTTGTAGAGGGAGATTCAACTTTTATTTTGATTAACAAGAATTCTATTGATTTTATTTTAAAAATTTATTTATTGCATAGGTTGCTTTAAATAGCTCTTTTCCTATTTCACATGCTGTCAATTGACTAGACTATTGTTTTTTGTACTTTATTAGGTTAGTCCTTGATGCTGATACTGTTCCAATGGTCATCCCATTTGTACACACTGGGATGCAGGAAATCATGCCTATAGGAGCCAACTTCCCAAGGATTGGCAAGACGGTATGTGGTCTACCCTTGCTTCTTTCAGTAAAAGTTATTTCATTTAAATTTTAGTCATTTCTTAAGTCGGGGACTCATATTCATGTGAGTAAATGGGCAAATCCAGCTTCATATAAATTTGCTTCCTTCCAGAACATAAATAATGGAGTGACTCGGTCAGGGTTTCTATTCAGCTCCTTCTTTCTCTCTGATTGTTGGATTGGCTTGCTAAAGCCTTCATTGCTAGTTAGAACTTGTGATGTCTCTTTCAGAAGTGGTGCTAACCTGTAGTTCTTCAGGATGAATTGTTTTATAGGGAAATTCTCTTTGCCTATTTTGTCAGTTATCCTTTGTCATAAATATCTCCATCACTCAATCCCCCACCCCCAACACACACTCAAAGAGAGAGAAGAAAAGAAGTCTTGGGATGAGTCAAGTTCCTAAAATTGCAAGTTCTGATATTGTCTGTGACGGGAAGGTGATTACTTTCCTAGGTCAAACTGCATGTATCAGTCTAATTTGTAACATGCTAATGTTAGATTTACTTGTGACATGTAGCATGTCTCATATTTCATTGTAATCACTGTTTTACCTTACTAGTTAATGTTCATGGATCGTGTAGGTGACCGTGCTTGTCGGCGACCCCATCCATTTCGATGATTTGCTTAATGCAGAAGGAATAGAAGACATATCAAGAGGAAAGCTATATGATGCTGTAGCTTCTAGAATTGGCAGTCGACTACTTCAACTCAAAGTTGAAGTCGAGAAGTTAGCAATTGAACAGTCTATCAGGCTGCAACATCCTGATGCAGGAAGCACAGAGAGAGCAGCTGCCAATATGTTACATCAAGTTGATTGGGACTCATTTGGTATGGGAGGCAACGAGTTTACTGAAGATAGTAAATCGAGATCTGAAATCCAACCAAAGCCAAATGTTCTCTCTCATCAGGATTCCGTTTCTTCTGACAAATATATTATTAGATCACCGGAATCTGGAATTATTTCAAGGATGCATGCTTATATGGACTCAACTGAGCTACTAGGTTTTGCAGCCAGAGGTTTATTTATGAAACTTAGGGAAGGGGAAAATAATCCCAGTGTTACAGATACAAACCCACTGAGAGCATGGAAACAGTATTTCAATGCGAGCCTACTAAAATGGAATAGTTGCTAACAAAATTACTTGGCAGTGCATACAGTAGTTAAAAATTTTGATTTTAGTGTAAATAAAATGAGATTTTGATCGGAAGCGAAATGAGTCAGCAAAATGAAAGAAGCGAGCTAGCATTCTCCTCGCTTTACTTTCTTCCTGTCCAATTTATAAGATGTCTGTTTCGGAGAAATTGTCATTGCATTTCCATATGAATAAAAGAAAAGAGTTTCTAGATATAAAATGTACTAAATAAAATTTCGCGACTGTAGCCAAAAAAGAAATGTTATTTTCTTTTAACTACTTTTCATAGATTGTCAGAATAATTTCGAGGAAAATATAAAATTCATTAACAAGAAATTTAACTACCAACCGTTTTAAGCTCGATACTAAGGAAGCACAGGAATGAAAAATTACTAAGCAAAAGCAGTAATATATTTAACTCAAGGAAAAGAAAATATAATTTGATTAGAAACAACTCTCAACAATGATAACGCATTAAAAATTCCTGAAGTCTTCAACTTTCTCTGAAACAAAATCCAAAATAATTGAAACAACAACAGAATCTAATTCATCCTCCTAATAAGCTCATTGATATAGTTCTCACGGTTTCCAGCATCACCACCCTCCACGTAATGGTTTCTCTTCTTCTTCAAACCTCCAGATGGAGCACTCAGCTTAAATGGCCAGAGAAAGTTATTTGCCTCCTTGAAATGAGGTCCTACGGTCATGATCTCATGAATCAAATCTTCAATGCAAATAATTCCATGACTTCCCAGAGCCTGCAGATATAGAAATCTATACGTCAATATTGAGGCCTAAAGCAAAATCAGATGCAAGTCAACTAATGTAATACTATCTACCTGTTCAATTATGGAATTATCTGTCAGAGCAATCCTCTGCTTGTCCAGCTTTCCAAAACCCCTCTTGTAGATCAACTCTCTCACACTTTTAAGATTAGGATAACTACAAAACAGAAAACACAGCAAAGAAACATATATGCTCCATGAGCTTCAGCGCATCAAATGGGTTTTAGAAACAGAATTATTCAGGCTGTGCTGGCATCAATAGCAAACATTCTCCATCAAAGAACAGATCTAACATGTCCATGCTTCAATGTCATACACTTTGTATATATGAACAAGCCCACAAGGCTTTAAGTAATGTCACTTTTAGTGGTAATTGATATGATTTACCAGAGAGGGATTGAAAAAGTCACATGTTGGTTCATGTCCATTGGTCAATTTGGTTTATAAGATATGAAGGATCAATCTGCCTTACCCGTAAGTCACATATGGCTCAACCCTGCGCAGCATGCTGATGGTTGCCTTGTTAACTTTGAGAAAGACACCATTAAATATCTGTCAAAGAAAATTAAACAGTTTTAAGCACCACAAGAATATAGAAGTGAATAAAACACCAGGTAACCACCTCAGTTGTGGGATTACAACTAGGTTAAGTAACTTGTTTATTTTTCATATCAAAAGGACAGTGAATTAGTACCTGTCTCAGACGCAGAAGTTGCAAAATTTTCCTTGTCTTTGGATCCATTGCATTGATACTGTAAATGTGTAATGGGTATTTAAAAAAAGATAGCATCAATTAACAGACACAAACATCATTATAATTGAAATGACAACTGAGAGACAATTCCATAAATCTGTATGTTTCAAATGCAAACATTTTTTTACTAGCTTACCCACGGATACGAATAATAAACAGTAGTTTAGCCTCAGGTTCTACATAAAAACCTCCTTTCAGTTTTGCCTCCCTTTTCAAGCTTATCAGCTCCCTTTCCTGTAATATTGACAAAATAGCAAAATACATCATAAATAACATGAAGAAAACAGCAAGGCTAAAAGGTGACATTTCAATCACAAGACAAAATTTTGATGACTACATGTTCTTGATATTCTTTAGCGTATTTCTCAGCCCTCTTGTAGATAACAGATCTGTTTTCAGCATTTTTTTGCTTCCTTAATTTCAGTTCTTGGGTCTTTGCCAGGGCCCATTCCTCACTTCTCTTCTGTTTCTTTAACACGGATTCAGGGATAAAAGCTGCTGCCTTAGTTTCTTCAGCCATTTCTGATCAGAAACAATCAAAAGAACAAAAGGCAGAAAGTTAGAACCCAGAAAAACACGGATACTAGTACTCAACATTCAAACACTCAGATCAACATTTACTGATCTTTGAAGTAAAGGAGAAACCAGATCACAGCATATCTAAAAATTCAACATAGGATAGTATCAAACGGAAAGGTATATCATATATGTCGAAATGGGAAAAAAAAAATTAGCATTTTAGAAAAAAAAATTGCAGCATTGAACATTGAAAAATCTTTTACTGGCTTAATAATCTCAGCATAGTTAACATTAGACTAGTAGCATGCAAAGGACAATACAGTAGCAAACAGCTCAATTTTCATAATTTTCACAAAATTACTAAAAACACAGAAGGTAAAAAGGATAACAAAAACGCTAAAAACAAAAACGCAAATAAACGAAATACATGAAGATCAAACTTGGATGAAAAAGCACGAACTGATACAAATCGATGTAGCCCCTTTGAGCAGAAATGAGCCGCCAACAAGAAGTTGCAGAAGGAGATTTTAAGCGAACGAAGAGCTTATTTATATTCTGTCTTGTTGTAAACGACACCGTTAATACATTTTCAGATGGTTATTTAGTCATTTCACAAAAAACTAGGGTTAACTAGGGTTTTAGATTGCTCCAAGCGGTCCTGGGAATATCGATAACTAAAACGCAGTATAGCTTGCCGTATTATGTTAAACGTTATCGTAGAAGCTTCACATCTGGTTTTACAATTTGACGGTCACGATCAACTAAAGTTCCGACCCCACCTATCCATCCAACATTTCGACTCCCACCTCCTAAATTTGCCTTTACAGATCACGCTCGCCTCCCTCTCTCTGTGTGTTCCTTTTCAAAATCCTTAATAACAGTTACCATTTCTTCTTTGATGAGTTAAAAATGGCAGAAGAAGAAGAATACCCTGACGTAGAGCTCAGTGACAAGCAAAAGAAAGAGATCGCCAAATGGTTCCTTCTCAACGCTCCCGCCGGTGAAATCCAATACATCGCTAAAGGTCTAGTTCCAATACACATCTTGTGTTTCTAATTCTTTTTCTTTTGGCGATCAATTTGTTAATTTCATGGCGGTTTTTGCAGATTTGAAATCGGTTTTGAATGACGATACAGTTTATAACGAAGCGGCTGAAGAGGCATTCCCTTCCTACAACAAATCTCACTTGATTTGCCTCTTATTACCTAATAGAAGCGGAGATGTAAAGCATTTCTTCCATGATTCTTCTTAATTCTCTCTGTTTGATTCTGACACTGAATTTTTTTGAATTATTTCAGTTTGATTCAATTATAGATCTATCGGTTTAGAACCTTTGGTTTATGTTGATAGCACTTGATTGTGAGTGATATTTTCTTGCCATGGACTGCAGTTGCTGGTTACAGCTTATAATGAGCTTGATAAAAATGAGTATCTTGATCCTAGAACTGCTCAGGTTGCAACTGTTGACCATGTTAAGCAAGTAAGTTGAACTTATTTTAGATTATCTAGCTAACTACATTTGATTAGTAAACTTATCAACTAAAGAAATGAATGAATATATTGTTTTACATGTCTTGTTGTCCGTCTTTTATATGTGATGCGCTAAATTGATTCAGGTTTGTACAGACGTAAGACCTGCAACTGATGAGGAACTTCCTTCGCCTTATGTTGAGGAATACCGGTACACTTCTAACTTTCTTGTTTTTTATTATGCAATTGCGATCATTCAGAATTTCCTTTAGTTATGATCAAAATTTTTCCATAATTAGAAGTGCACATTACAAGTTTATGTAGACATGGGTTCGTAGATTCCCCCTTAGTAACAATATATGTAATGTGCAATACAGCTAGTTGCCAGTAAAATGATAGTTTATGGCAAGCATTATAGCAAATAACAATTTAGGTGCAGTTATTTTGTGCTGTATGCATTTTGTTACTGACGCCATTTCCTGTGGCAGTTATATTCTGGATGCTGAAATACTCAAATATGTTGCTGAAGCTTATCCAAAGGGAGTGTGTGCTGTGTACTGTACTAATGGCAAAGATTTGGAGGGACCAGGATCTGAATTTGAGCTTGTGGTGGTGATTTCCGCTGTTAAACAGAGCCCAAAGAATTTCTGGTATGTAGAATTAGCCAAATACTTAGTTACTAGTACCTAAGCTTTTGCACTCTGTTTGGAACTGTTTTTGGTTGGGACACTCCTTTCGTACCTTTTCATGCATGTTAGTCATTATGCCAAAAGTTAGTATGTTTATTAGGGTGCATATTCTAATAACCTCTTATCGCATATTGAATAGCAACGGAAGTTGGCGCTCAGTATGGAACATCGAGTTCAAGGATGATGTACAAATGCTGGGAATAAAAGGCAAGATACAGGTAATCTCTGATAACCTCCATCATGAACAATTTTTGGTTTCTTTGCCCTTTGAAATTTTGAACTACATTATGGAGATAAGCTATTTGTTTTCCTGTGCTGCTGCTTCTTTCAGGTAGCAGCTCATTATTTTGAAGAGGGAAATGTTCAGTTGGATGCAAAACATGAATGCAAAGACGAAACAATTTTCCAGGTTGTTACAATTATTTTGGTACTTGTTCTTTGAAGTATTATACATTTGGCTGTTCATTATCAATCAGGCATTTTATTGAAAAGGCATGTAGGATGTGATAAAATGGATATTAGTACATGGTAGAACTTCTCACTGTTCTTGCTTCTTAGAGTTGTGAAAATGTATACTCCATATGTGAAAATGGTGTACCTCTTAATGTTGCTAATAGAGAAAGTTCATGATGTAGGCACTTCTCTTTTAATTGCACTCACGTCTCTGTAACAAAGGATTATTTTTTTGTTAGTGTGCTCTATACTGTACTATTTTTTGATTCAGAAGAATGATCTTTGTGGTGAATAGATGGAAATATGAAAAAAGTCGATTGACCTTTTGTCATATTTCTGCTCAGGCCCCAGATGATTGTGCATTATCCGTGGCCAACATTATTCGCCACCATGAGGCAGAATACCTAGCATCCCTTGAGGTTCTCACTATCTCCCTGTACAGTTAAATAATTGAATTCTCAGGTTCTTATACTGACAATTACATTTGATAGGCTTCCTATTCAAATCTGCCAGATACCACCTTCAAGGTGAGTTTGATTACATGAGTTGTACGAAATATTTTTAAGATCTGATTACCTTATATTGCTGAAGAGTATTAAGTTTGTATTTTGTTCATATTATTTGATTTTACATTTTTCCTATTATAGTTTCTGTTTCATTTTTATTTACCTGAAATATCCTCTGGTCCTCGATAAATGTAATCACTTGGTAGGAAGGAACTTTATGGTAGTAGACATAAATCTCTAATCTCTTCAATTTTTTCCTCTTTTACTTTCTAATTTCCAGCCCTTAAGTGCTATCTATGTTGCAGGATCTGCGGAGGAAACTTCCAGTTACTCGCACCCTGTTCCCATGGCATAACACTATGCAATTCAGTCTGACAAGAGATATCCAAAAGGAACTGGGACTTGAAAAATGAGTGATACAGCATTTAAAATATATAACTCAATGACCATAAAGTTGCATGAGATTTCACATATCAGTCCATTTGTAACTTAAGACCGACGTGAATTGGAAAGCGAGTAATAGTTTGACAAGAGTACACACTGCATTGCCTGATTTGTAAAAGAGATGGTGAGACCGTGACATATTGGTCCGTTTGTGCACCGGGCATAAATTCTTCAGAGTTATTTGCTTTAGGTGTTCCTATTGTTACCTGTCCTTTGATTATAGTCATTTTGCTTCTTGCCGTGTAATCGTTCTTTCCCCTCAGAGTTCCTCTCAGTTTTGGTTTGTACCATGTAGGCCTGTACTATTCCTTCAAGTCATGTATAGCCGTGTTGTTAATGATAAATTTTCTTTCTTCTTGTGGTATTATATGGAAAATCCTGCAGTGAATATTCTTTGCGTGTTGAAACTGGTGAAACTGATGCAGAAGTGTGTTATGAGAAAGGTCACAAAGTTTAAATAATTGACAATCCCACATGGATACGACCAATGAAAATCATTTTGGCAGAAATGACAGTGGGTAGAGATCAGGTAGTGCGGGTCATATGCGCTACTCGTTTCCAAATCCGAACGCTATATGCATTTTTCATACTATAGTTGATACTCGATCAGCGAGGGAATCCATTCCTAAATCGAACAGTTGAAGATATTTGTGGCTATCCATCACTCGCAAGTGTTCAAATGGGTACTCGTTTGTTTACTGGTATTTTGGCTTATAACCATTTAAAAATTGAAACTAAGTTTAATGAAAACGAAAAAATGAAAGCATTTATGGAGAAAATTTCAGCAAAACTTGTGCTTCCGTGGGTAGTTCTAATACCGGTTATCGAAACATATATTTAAAAACAAAAAAAGTGATTCCGTTGCCGGGAATCGAACCCGGGTCTCCTGGGTGAAAGCCAGATACCCTAACCGCTGGACGACAACGGAATTCTGGTTACTGAGTGTTATTATAATTATCACATTTAAAATTTTATGTTCTTTAGGAATACCGTTAAATTTGTCTAACTTATAATAAATTATTAAGTAAATCGACTACATTACCCTTAGTTTAATACCAATTCTTTAAAAAATTATTAAATTAACAACATTTTTCCACAATTATGGCGGAAGGAAGACTAAAAAGACTTCCTTAGCATAGAAAATTGTACTTTGATTATGACTGGTGGAAAAGCCAGATACCCCTAACCGCTGGACGGAAACAACGGAAATTCTGGTTACTGAGTTTTATCTTATTAATTATCACATTTTAAAAATTTTATGTTCTTTGGAAAAATACCGTTAAATTTTTTGGTCTAACTTATAATAAATTATTAAGTTAAAATCGGACTACATGTACCCTTAGTTCGACTACATTACCCTTAGTTTAATACCAATTCTTTAAAAAATTATTAAATTAACAACATTTTTCCACAATTATGGCGGAAGGAAGACTAAAAAGACTTCCTTAGCATAGAAAATTGTACTTTGATTATGACTGTAACGTATGTCAATAGAATAACCAAATAAAACGGTAACTTCATTTACATCACATTAATTATATGAGACCTATTTATATATGTATATATTTTAAAATTTAACTCATTTTTTATTTTTTTGTGTAAATTACCGATATTTAGACTCTATTATTGAACTATATAATTCGGTTTGAGGCTTAATTATAATTAAGGCTTCATGATCCTCTTTACATGTGCGTTTAATAGTGATCGAATCCAAAAGCTCCTTTTATATCCCCAACTAACGTTGCAACATAACCTGTAGATAACTCATTTTCTATTTTAAAAGGGATGGAATGGGAAAACCAAGTAACACATATTAAATTAGTCAATAAGACCAATATTTCGAAAACCAAGTAACACATATTAAATTAGTCAATAAGACCAATATTTCTTTTATCAATGATCAAAAAGGACAATACAATGGCAGATATTTCTTTATTATATTGTCTAAAATGCGTTTACTTTGGTTGCCATTCTTTTCAAAAGGTCTTTAGCACATTATCAAATTAATTTTTTTTAAAAAAATTTAGAAGAAATCAAACTAAAAATTTCGTTAGAAAAAACTGTATAAAGATATAAGATACATATCAATATGTTTTTACATTTTTTATATAGAAATTTTGATAATAAACCACTTATACAAAAAATAAAAAAGTATAATTTTGATCGAAGAATTTGATTGAGTTGACAGAGCATAATATTTATATATAAACAATTGCTTACTTCACTTTGTGGCTATTCATAGCCATGATCTTGCTACAAGTCTAATCTAATCACTTTTAAATTTTTTCCTTTTATTAGAGATAATATCTACACTTATTTCAATATAATTATCTAAATAATAAAATACCTTAGATAAAATTACCGTAGAAAGCTATTAGATTCATACATATCAGAGTGAATCTATGAAATTTTATATACATTCTTAATAAGTATAATTTGTAAATATTTTTATTTAAAATAAGTTTTTTAGATAATATATGGCCTTAGAATTTTCCTTAGCATGTGAAATTCTATAAGTATAAAAGGGTTGGGTAGGTTTTTATTTTTGACCTTTTATATTACAAAGGGGAGCATTCAAATTTTTTTTTTTTTTGAAATGAATAATTCAACTAGTTAATTATTAGTTCAATTGATGATTTTAAATTATTCTATATATTTTGAAGGTAAATTAAATTATACTATATATGAAACACTTTTAAAAATAATATGAATTATTGAATTCACATTTTAATTTTATGTACTCTAATTTCTAAAGTACAACATGGGAAACATACGCTTCATTATGGCATATGAAAGGTATTGTATTCAGAGCCAGCTGCGTGTGTATCAAAAGAAAGAAAGGCCCAGTGGCCCACCGAGCCCAACTTCCGGTGCGCGTGAGTCCTTGTGTGAACATGTTCCCGAGTCCTTAACTCCGTTGTGTACGTACGGAGCCGTATGCATCTGTTCACTGTTTCTTGCTATTGTTCTCTGCAGAGCGCGAACTCCGATCCTTGCAGGGTTTGTCTCCTATACAACGCCTCAATCTAAACGGATCAGTAACCAAGCTTAGATACAGCTTAAATAACCTAGTTTATTAGGTTTTCCTCTCTGGAGGTCCATTCTTCTCCGGAACCTTCGACAAAGGTATAATCTTTTGCTTTTCTTGTCCATTTTTCAGCATCCAAACGGTAAATTTTTTTATATAGCTTCCTCTTTTTTGCTTCTGTTTTTTTTTTTTTTTTTTTTTTTATCATAGCTTCCTCTTTTTATTGCTTCTGTTTTTTTTTTTTTTTTTTTTTTGAAGATTTTTTTGCTTATTGTTTCTGCTTTTTTATTTTTTTTGGTCCTTTAATGAAATTGGTTATTTTGTTTTTTTTTTTTTTTTTTTTTGAAGGATTTTTTGCTTTTGTTTCTGGGCTTTTTATTTTTTTGGTCCTTTAATGAAATTGGTTATTTTATTGCAGGACATTGCTTGGTTTGCATTTGTAAGAAAATGGTATATGCTACTCGCTTTCCTCTATTTACATATTAGGTTTTTGATTCTTTCTTCGATAGCCTGAGCTGGGGCCTGACTTTTCACTTGCTTTGTTTTTGACATAACAGTTGCCTCTTTCACTGCTAAAGACCGCACAGGGACATCCCATGGTAAGTATGGAAACGTTTTTAATTTGTTGAGATTATTTTATTTTAAATTTTAAATCATTTTCTTTTCGGTGTGGAAAAGATAATTATATTGCACATACGAATTCTGAATTTTGAATGTTACTAAAAACTGCACTAAGGCTATATTTTCCATTAAGCTGTTTTGAACGGGGTTGATTAGCTTTTTTGTTGTACTTTTTAGTTAACAGAATCAAATTGCAAAGTGGGATTTGGATATTTAGACATTTATTATATCAAGATGCTATCTACGGAGGCATATATTACTGTAGCTTAGCTTGATTCTTTTTACTTAAAGCTAGATGAATGGTTTAGGTTGCGCTGGAATGGCAACTTTTCTTATTCTTATTGACTAACTGTGATTGTCTAGTTGGTGGAGCTCAAGAATGGAGAAACTTACAATGGGCATTTGGTGAATTGTGATACTTGGATGAACATTCATCTTCGTGAAGTAATTTGTACCTCGAAGGTAATTTAATACTCGACCAGTGAAGATTTCCTTTATAGAGTTATGTTATTTTGTTACTTAAACAGTGTATCTCTTTGTGCTTCATGGTCCCCATCTAAGAGTTAAAGCCATAATGTAGGATGGAGATAGGTTTTGGAGAATGGCAGAATGTTACATCCGTGGAAATACGATTAAGTATCTTCGAGTCCCGGATGAGGTAATTTTCAGTATTTGCCTTTGTCTCAAAAACTTGCATATATTTCACTACGTGCTTTTTGCTGATGAATACTTATGCAGATTTTGCATTTTTCTGAGCTTTAATGTTATTAGTGTTAAAATCTCTTCTTCTCTGGAATGATGTTACTTAGCCAAATCAGACATAGATGTGCTCCATAAGGCAATCTCTTCAAGCTTCTGTTGATTGTTGTTGTAGAGGCACATTTGTGGCCTCTTGTAACCTTGACCAAGCATTAGACGAGTTGCCTTATGTAGAAGTGCATCCTCTGTTGACCACTTAGAGATTGGTAGCTGGCTGACCGGAGTTTTTATTTTAAGGTCTGTTTACTCCATATATACTTTGGCTGACAATGTTGAATGTTACTTTTTGTGGAAAGAAATCTGAATTTGGTTGCTGAGAGTTGGATAGGAAATACCACATTTTGTTATGTTTATGGCCAATGTGTGTTACGAATAGAAAATTTAGCCCGAAGCAGAGCTCGATGAAGGAAAATAATCCATATATTAACAATAGCAGAGTTGAGTCCATCAAAACGTGCTCTTGTTGGATATTGTTTCTATCATTTTCATTTCTGTCATGTCTGATTCTACTCCAGCTTTGCCTGTCTCTCTCCACTTGTATTTCAAACAGTTAATAGATATTCTTCATGCTATTAGATGTATAGTAATCATCACTCACTTTATTTGGTATATTTATCCCTAGGAAAGAGAAAACAAATGAAGCAGAAAAAAGGATGTGGACATGATTGGGTCTTATTAACTCCATTTGTGTTTTAGTATTCCTTAATGTCATTTTTTCTGTGCATTTTGCTCATTAGCACCGCATGATTTAATAATATCATCACTTGTGTTTTATGTGCGAACTACCGTCATTTGATGAAGAATGAGTTATTGCTCCCTTTCCCTGGATGAAAAGATAATTGAACACTTGTCCTGTTTCTCAACAATATCTTCAGTAATTAATCTTCCCGGGAGTATGTTATTGCACACGTCTAATATCTGGATTTTGATAATTGTTGACCTGCTGTTGCAATTTTCCCTTGGTTGTTGACACATATTTTGCTTTGGTAGGTAATTGAAATTATATTTTCAATCCATTCTAATATAAGCTTTATGCTATAGGTGATTGATAAAGTGCAGGAGGAGACCAAGAGCCGCACAGGTAATTTTCTAGTTTATGTTGTTCATTGTAGCTGAGGTGCATATTCATGTATTGATGCAATTAAATGGTAGATTTGCTTTCACCCCTCAACCCCAAGCACCCTGCCGCTGCCAAAAAAAGGAAGTTATGTTGTAGCCTTCTTATCTCCCACCAATTCTGGAAATTATCCTGCATGATGCTGTACTTTGGTTGAAAACTCAAAATGTTTTCCACATTATATATACTCTAGTTGCTAGTCCAACACATTGGATTTTGTTTTTGTGAGAACAAATCAGAAATTTAACTTCGTGGTAAAGCTAAAATTTATTAATAATTTCTAGGAAACTAATATATTTATGTGCACAGGTTCATTGTTAAGTTGCATGATTGCCTTTGGATGAGCTATCCTACAAAATGATGATTTTTTTACTTTTCAGACAGAAGACCACCTGGAGTAGGTCGTGGAAGGGGAAGAGGTAGGGAGGAAGGTGCTGGTGGGAGACAAGCAAAAGGAATAGGGCGTGGTATAGACGATGGATTTGCCAAAGGCACAGGCGGTGGGCGTGGCAAAGGAGGCAAAGGTAATCTCTTTGTTCTTGTCATCTCTGTTGTGGATGAGGAATACAACATAATAGATTGTACTGTGGACGAGTGATATTATTCTGTCTTGGACAAATGCGTTGGTTGTCTTGTGATCTTAAGTGTAAGACATTCTTTGTTATACTTCACAACCAACTTTGTCAAGGCCTCGTGTTCCAACAAAAGTGCTAGTTTCTTGCTGTGATGGTGCTTTCGGTAGCAATCCATTCTTTTTGCTGCCTTGCAGTTTCCTATAGAGCTTCTATTGGAAGAAACCTTTTCACTTAGTAACAAACTATGCAGTACACATGCACATCTAAATATATCTATAGTGGAGGAAGTTTCACCTTTTTTGTTTTTGTCTAGAATGAGTATTAATTGTTTTTTTTTTTTTTTTTTCTTTTTGAACAGGCGGGGGACGTGGCCGTGGTTAATCTAAATGTACTGCTTAAGCATAAGTGATTTGATTGGGGGTTTAATAGACCACTTTTGAGTCCAACTATTTGTGGACGAGCACGAGATGTATGCTAAGAAGCAAGACTGAAGGCCATTGATGTGGTTGATGAGTATTATTAGGAAGGAAAAGGTTGCTTCAAAAACACATATTCAGAATATCTGTTGATTTTAGTAGGTTGCATTGTGCAAAATATATCTTTGGAGTTTCTTTTGTCAATGTCGTTCTTATGATTTCACAAATCAATGCATCTACTGTAAAAGAGTTATTTGTACAATGTAATGAGTCAATTATCATTTGTTGGTGCAATTCGTAAAGAAAGAATACGTCTGCTAGAATTTGGAAGAAAGAGTTCTGATTCTGATTTTCAGTGGATTTAGCTAGTGGGGCTTGCACCCCTTATTAATGGGTTTTCTGCATTTAATGGTTGGACCAACGAATCTTGATCCAAAATCTTATATTATATTTTGGTTGTTAGTATAAAACAGCAATTAGGAATAGGACAGAGGTAAACACTTATTACACAAGTAAATCATACGAAAATCAGAATAATAAATTACAATTTATCTCGCTCCAGCTTTACTTTTTTGGTGATTCATATTAGAAAAAGCGATTTAGAGATTTATATTTATCATGGTTGGTCTTTTCGCTTCTTACAGAAGTGGGAGGTTTTGAATCGAGCCTCTTTACCATTTCTTTCTTCCTTTGTTCTCAGTTGAAGAGGAATCTAGACCGTACAATAATTTTTAACTCAAGTTTCTTTTTCGTTGGCTCTAATATTTAATCCTCTACTGTGCAATAGCCGATGCACTAATTTAACCATCTCTGTTCCATTCTTGTCCTTATCTATAGGGACACAGTAGTCAAATGGCGACTCTGAAAATAATTGTTATCGGACAAAAAGAAATCGTTTTTTTTCTTCCAAGGATTCCCATGGACTTGTCCATGCTTATCTCATCAACTTCATATAAATCGAATCATTGGTAATTTGAGTCCCGAAGCAAAATTCCTTTACTTCTTTGATCTTTCACCTCCACTGCTGCGGAGCAAGTGTCCCGGCACTGGAAAAAAATGGCTGAAATTAAGACCGATACTGCTCATGAGCACCATCTGATAGTAGCAGAAGTCGATATTTCGGACCAAAAGCCACCACAACCACCAGGGCGTGTTGCTTCACTTGACATCTTTAGAGGCCTCACGGTGGCGGTATATCTCTCTATCCCTCTCGTAATAACAGATAACTAGCTGTTTATTACTCTCTTTTGTACGTAGCTCTGAATATAATTTGGGTATCAACTGAATATCGGTGAAGAAGTTTACATGAATGCTCACCATTCCTACGCCAGCTGTCTGTTTACATCATAAATGTTAATAGTATCAACCAAATGGGTCCATAGCTCAGTGGTAGAGCATTTGACTGCAGATCAAGAGGTCACCGGTTCGAACCCGGTTGGGCCCTTTTAAAAAAGTGTTTTTATTCCTATAATTTTCAATTTAAAAGGTTTTAGAATACAATTTCTTTTCTTTTCCCATCGTAGCAATTGATTGAAATTATGTGTTATGGACTGCAGTTAATGATATTGGTTGATGATGCTGGAGGAGAATGGCCAATGATAGGACATGCACCATGGAATGGTTGCAATCTGGCTGATTTTGTGATGCCATTCTTTCTGTTCATAGTTGGGATGGCTATTCCTCTTGCTCTCAAGGTTTATTTACCTTTTCTTTGATTCTGTTTGATATGCAATTAACAGTTCTTGTTTGCTTATAAATTTTATTGTTCCATTCAGAGAATAACAAGCAGAAGTCAAGCTGTTAAGAAAGTGATTTTCAGAACTTTAAAACTCCTCTTTTGGGGTCTCCTACTACAAGGTAACTCCTATACTGCAAGTCTGCACTGACTCTGCATTTAATAACTCTCTTGCTTTGTTGGTGATTTGATCTCATTGTGTTATACAGGAGGCTTCTCCCACGCTCCTGACAAATTGACTTATGGTGTTGATATGAAGGAAATAAGGTGGTGTGGCATTCTTCAGGTAGTGATTAAGTTTTGATATTACTGATAGGACCACATTGTTGGTTTGAAAGAAAATGTCTTTATGCAGCTATTTTCTTTTATTTTCCAGAGAATTGCTTTTGCATATCTAATAATGTCACTGGTGGAAATCTTTACAAAAGATACGAATCCTAAGGATCTTCCGCCTGGCCGGTTCTCTATGTTCAGGTTATATTGCTGGCATTGGTAAGTTCATTTTTTTCCATGTTTATCTAGAATTTTATCGTTATTTGTTGATCAATCTTCAATAACTGCCTTCGGCATATGTGTTCTTGTTTGCAGGCTGGTGGGAGCATGTGTTCTTGTCATTTACTTGGCTGTAATTCATGGGACACGTGTCCCTGATTGGCAGTTCACCATCCATGATAAAGATAGTCCTGATTTTGGCAAGGTTTTCAATGTAAGCTCCTGGTTTCTTACACCTCATACTGGTTTACTAATTTCTCTTTTAATGATTTGTCCAACCCTATACATGGAGATCAGGTGTTCAGGTGTATGCTATGTGTGCCAGTGATCGATGGAAAAATAGATTTCTCAATTCACATCCTTGATTTTGAGGCTTATTTCAGAAAATGAGACTGTTGAATGATTCTTTTTTATCTTACAGTGAGAAAGTATGTGTTTATGGCACTATAGGACTGTACCTTTGTATTCCTGCAATTGTACATTAAAGGGGAGCGATGTGCCTTTTAGAGTCAAAAGGTTCAGCTTCCTTTTATGCTTAATTACAGTTATGCTATGTTGAATTCAGGTAACCTGTGGTGTTAGAGGAAAGTTGGATCCTCCTTGTAATGCAGTTGGCTACATTGACAAAAAAGTCCTAGGACTTGCCCACATGTATCAGCGTCCAGCCTGGAGGAGATCTAAGGTGCATAAAAGTTTATTCCTGCTGCTACTTGTCGTTTAATTAGTTTTTGGATTGTTTTTTGATTGTCAATGGCAGTTAAAAATTTATAAGTTTCTCCGAAGTTGTGCAGGCTTGCACAGAGAATTCCCCATATGAGGGACCTTTCCAAAGTGATGCTCCATCATGGTGCCGTGCACCTTTTGAACCTGAAGGAATCATAAGGTAACATGATTATTATTTCACAGCTTACAGTTGTTTGGTGAAGCTGCAAATTTCATTCATAAAGAGTCTCATTATGTTGTTTTTCTTGGAGGCCCTTTTTTCTTTAAAAAAAATAAAAATTATATTTCCGTACATTGTATATGGATATTTTATTAGTGATTAGCAGATGTAAGAACTAAAATTTAAAATTTGGCTGTTTGAGAAAGTGTGCCCTTAAGCTTCAGAGATTTGTACTCTTCCTAGCAATATCTATTTTAAAATTTCCCTTAGTTCTGTCAATTGTAACATAATGGTTCAGTGAACTAGTTATGAGGAAAGCTCTCACGAATCATTCATCCAAAAATAAAAGTTTAGGTTTATTTATCCCACTTTTACGTTGTATGTATGCCTTGAGAAAGTTTCTTACCTCAATGTGTGGATTCAATCTCACTGCAGCTCTATATCTGCTATTCTGTCTACTATCATAGGAATTCATTTTGGACATATCCTTGTACACTTGAAGGTTAGATTTATGATATATATAGTTTTAATTAGATCCAAATCCTGCTCGTACTGCTTTAATTGATGAACTTTTGAGTTCCAGGATAATTCAAGTAGGTTGAAGCATTGGATTCTTCTGGGATTTGCTCTTCTCATTGTGGGTTTTGTTCTTCATTTTACGCATGGTAAGAAGGTTTGACACCCAAATTTTTTTATCATTATATTATCATCAATTCTGATACCATCCTTTTCTTTTCAGTGGTACCCCTAAATAAACAGTTGTATACTTTTAGCTATGTTTGTGTAACATCAGGAGCTGCAGCTTTGGTGTTTTCAGCTATCTATATTCTGGTATGTTGCGTTACTAAATCATGATGACCTCATTTCTACACAAATTGACTGCACGAACTATTGTAAACTGTGACCCCTGAAACTGGATTTTTACCATTCCAGGTTGATATTTGGGGTTTAAAGTTCCTCTTTCTGCCATTTCAATGGATTGGCATGAATGCCATGCTTGTATATGTTATGGCTGCTGCAGGCATCTTTGCTGGCTTTATGAATGGCTGGTACTATGATGACCCTCATAATACCCTGGTATGTTATAATGCAATCTCGTCATGTTCTTCTTTGACCTCTTAACTTTCATTAGGATGACCGGAGGTCGGCCCCAAAAGGAAATTTCCCTTAATGAATGATAAGTTCATAATAATTTTAATCTATCTTTGGCAGATATATTGGATTAAAAAGCATATTTTTATTGGAGTTTGGCATTCGCAACGAATAGGCATTCTGCTCTATGTTATCTTCGCGGAGATCCTCTTCTGGGGTATTGTTTCAGGCATCTTGCATAGCCAAGGAGTTTATTGGAAGCTTTAGCTATTCATTGGATATATATTTTATTGAAGTGGTTACAAGTTGATCAAGGATTATTACTTGCTAGTGTATCATGTATCTTTCCTGTTGGCATTGTAGCTTAATGCAGTTGATATGATATTTGCTCTGTTGGCTTCTACATCAAAAATTTCTGTATAGATTATAAACTTGCCCATCTTTTTCTATCTGTTACCCTGAATTCTACCATTTAAATTGCTTCCAGAGAAATAAATTTTAATCAAATAAGAGTTCTGAAAATGTTATAGGAGCATATTTTCCTTTAAAATTAATAATATTGTTCAATTTATCAAAAATATGAAAACATATATGTTATGTCACTTTAGGGGCGTTTGTTCAATTGTTTCATATTTTTTTATAACTACAATAACTTGTGAATACAATAGCATCCACGCAAAATACAATCGAATTCGTAATATTTTTAAAACAAAAGCGGTAAAGAAAAATAATTTAAATTTTCACAAATCGTATAAAAATGATAATCTCAAAACATTGATTAATTTTATCACTACAAAGTTACTGATTTATTCATATATGGTGAATGACCGTTATTTAGAAGAAATGAAGGAAGGCAGGCAACTCCTGTGAACGACCGTTGTTTAGAAGCAATGAAGCTTGTAATTCAGAGGGAACAGTTTCCCTTTCATTTCCAAACGACAGGAAAAAAAATGTTTCTGTTACTTATGCGCAATAGATGAAATTCGGAAAGAGTTCTCCTGTCGTCCGGAATTGACGAAAAATTTTCATGTTGTCGTTTATAACATTGGTCTCTAATGTTTCGGCCCACTAGGTCTCTTATAAACCGAAAAGATAAGTGGCCCAATAAGGGCTCAGTCTGAAAGAAATCAAGGTCCATTACGGAGATACTGTCTGTCTTCGGCAACAAGTCTAGTCGGAGAAAACCCTTCTACAAACTAAACTTGTTACAGATGCAATTTGAGTGAAGCAAAGATCAGAACCGGTCTCATTAAGCTCTCTGTTCAAAATTTTCTTTTTCTCCAATTGAAATTTTGTATCAGCTTTCTCGGTTCCTTTCCTTTGGTGTTGGTTTAGGTTAATTGATAAATCCACGATGGCGACAGCGATGGTAGAGGATTCAAGCTTCGAAGATGACCAGCTTGCGTCTATGACTACCGAGGATATCCTTAGAGCCTCTCGTCTTCTTGATAACGAGATTCGTATCCTCAAGGTCCGATCTCTTCCAATCTCTGTGTTATGTTTGCGAATATGGGCATATATGTTGTGGCTCTGTTGGATGGGTGGGTTAGGGTTTTTACAGGGGAATACTGCTGCTTACATTATCTAGTTATCGATGTAAAGTGCTGTCTTTGTGTTTCTGATATTCTTGAAATTGTGCTTTTTGGTTTGTGACACGTGTTTTTAATTGGAAATTCAGGAAGAGTTGCAGAGGTCCAATTTAGAGCTGGATTCGTTTAAGGAGAAGATAAAAGAGAATCAGGAGAAGATTAAGCTCAACAAGCAGTTGCCTTACCTGGTTGGCAACATTGTTGAGGTAAATTTTGTAAATTTGTTGAAATCGGATAATGCTTGAGAGTTTATTTTGTTCTAAATAGTCAGTTTTGTGTTGTTTGAAATCAGTAAGTCCAACTGCATTGGTAGTTTCCAAGAGGAGTGATGTAAACTATCCCTAATACTTCGTTTCCAGCTTTTTGAAGCAGGGAACTTTTGTTTCTGTATGACATGAGCAAGCATGTAGCCTTAAAAACTTCAAGTAGATGTAAAATTTAAACAGACCACTGAATGGTCAGAGTAACTCAATAACTTATGGTCTTGGCTTGGTGTCTCAAGAGTTTAAATTAATATACAGAGTACATTAGGCTTTTATCTTGTTTACTTTGAATTGGAAAAGATTTGCTACTTTCTTTTTAGGTTTATTAAATTGCGTACCTTTCTCCCATGGAAGTACAAATTGTTGTCCAACTGATTGCCATTTGTGACAGAACGTCTCTGCAACTTCTATTCTTCTCTTCTCTTTTCCTCAATACACTAAACTTACCATTGATAATGTTCAGAACCATGTTTTAATATTTTATTGACACCTCCTAAGGATGTAAGGTAAACTCCTGACCTAATATTGATTTCTCACAGCTTCTGGTCTAGTCTTTAGGTGTTCATGAAATTCTCCTGATCTATTATTCATTTCTCACAGCTCCTGAACTAGCCTTTAGGTTTTTCATGAAATAGGTTTGAAATTCTAGCTGCATTAGTATCTAATTCCATATTTTTACTCCTTATGTGTGTAGATTTTGGAAATGAACCCAGAAGACGAAGCTGAGGAAGATGGTGCAAACATTGACCTTGACTCTCAAAGGAAGGGTAAATGTGTTGTGCTGAAAACTTCTACTCGTCAGGTAGCTCAGTGGATTTTTTTTTTTTTGTTCTATTTTACTGTTACAGCAGAAAACATGAGTTGTTGGAACTTTGATTTAATGGTACTTTTATTGCAGACTATTTTTCTGCCGGTTGTTGGTCTTGTTGACCCAGACAAGTTGAAGCCAGGTGATTTGGTTGGAGTCAACAAAGATAGCTACCTGATCTTGGATACTCTTCCATCTGAGTATGACTCTAGGGTAAAGGCCATGGAGGTTGATGAAAAACCCACAGAGGACTACAATGACATTGGGGGCTTGGAGAAACAGGTAGCTTTTGACTTTCAAAAAATACATTAAGTGGGTGCTATATATTTTATTCCGTGTTAGATGCTGAATCCATTCTTGTTATTTCTGCATCAGATCCAAGAGCTAGTTGAGGCAATTGTATTGCCCATGACTCACAAAGAGAGATTTCAGAAGTTGGGCATTCGTCCTCCCAAAGGTGTCCTCCTGTATGGACCTCCTGGGACAGGGAAGACACTGATGGCCCGAGCCTGTGCTGCACAAACAAATGCCACGTTTCTAAAGTTGGCAGGCCCACAACTTGTGCAGGTACTACATTTCTTTTAATATATTCTTGTCACAGTGATATTTGCTTAGCTTTGAAATAAATAAATAAATGACTGAGATTGAACGTTTCAAATTGTGACATGCGTTAATGATTTTCATTATTTCTACTATCTGTTATTTTATTCCAATTCTCCACAATTTTTTTTTTTTTTTATATGTATCTGTGTGTATGGTATTCCTTCTTTTAATCAGATCTGTGTATTTGATTAGTGAATTAGATAAGAATCTATTTCTTTTGAATTATGCTACCCAACTGCCTGCTTCCTTTATGAAGAATTTGCTTGAATTTCTTTTGTGATGCTATTTTTTGCTGCAATATTGATTTGTTTAGCTACCAAATAAAAGAGCAACTAAATTTGTATTTTTTGCAGATGTTCATTGGTGATGGTGCCAAACTTGTCCGTGATGCTTTTCAGCTTGCAAAAGAGAAATCACCTTGCATCATATTTATAGATGAAATTGATGCAATTGGCACAAAGCGTTTTGACAGGTGTGTCAGCTATTCACTCTTGAGCAAACTTAGATATGGATTTGCTCCTTTAACTCAGATTAATATCTGCATTGCTTTTTAATATTATTTATAATAAATTGAAATATCCTATCTGATTCTAAATGTGTCATTGTTTGCAGTGAAGTAAGTGGAGATAGGGAAGTGCAGAGGACCATGTTGGAATTGCTTAATCAGCTTGATGGGTTTAGCAGTGACGAGAGGATTAAGGTTGGTTAATGATTGTATCATATTTGGTGTTTATACAACGAAGACAAGAAGATGGGTTGATTTGTTTGATTATGACTTTGTTGCCTTGTAGAAATCTTACCTGATTTCTTATTGGACCTCTGATGGCTACTGCATTGTGGCAGTTAAAGTAGTTATTTGCTTGTATATTCAGAATGGTTGAAATTATAAAACCTTGTAAAATTTCAGGTGATAGCAGCAACAAATCGTGCTGATATCTTGGATCCTGCCCTCATGCGTTCCGGTAGATTGGATCGCAAAATTGAGTTTCCACATCCAAGTGAAGAAGCAAGAGCTCGCATTTTGCAGGTTTGCCAAATCACAGTTGCTTTCTTTTATGGCTTAGTGCAAAGAATTATTTTAATTACGAGTTTTATTTGGATGGTACAGATCCACTCAAGGAAGATGAATGTTCATCCTGATGTCAATTTTGAAGAATTGGCTCGGTCCACTGATGACTTCAATGGAGCACAGCTAAAAGCTGTTTGTGTAGAGGCTGGGATGCTAGCTCTTCGGCGGGATGCAACTGAGGTGCTCTCTCTCTCTCTCTCTCTCTCTCTCCACACACAAAAACACATACAATATGTGCTTACCATAGAAGCAAACACTTGTCTAATGCATTGATTGGCTCTGAAATCAGGTGAACCATGAGGATTTCAATGAAGGTATAATCCAGGTCCAAGCAAAGAAGAAATCAAGCTTGAATTACTATGCATAAGTTTGAAAGGCGGTTTCTGTTCCAGCTCAAGCCCAATGGTTGCAAGCTTTTAAGTCAGAATTTTTTAATACGAGAATGAGCTTCTTTTAGTCCCTTGCTATGGTTTCTATCCATACTGTAGAAACTTGATGTAAAAGTTGAAAGATGTAAGAAATTATACTTTGCTTGGTTTGTTACAGTTAATTTAATTCGGCATCTCGAATGAATGTTACCCAGCAAAAACAAAATTACAGCGCTTAACGATTTTTTACGTAGTTGCATCAAAAGGTTTTAGGCTCAGAAATTCCGTTTAACTAATATTTGTTCGAGGAAATTTCTCTACCCTTTAGACTACCTCTGTTTTTCAGGACACTTCCAGCCTTTCTAACGCCTATCCTCAACGTACACCCATTTACAGGATTCCTGAAAAACGTGGGACCACTTTTTGACGGGTTGAAAACCTCTTTAAGATTATTAATTAACCTCTCACCCCTTTAAGATTATTAATTCACCTAGCAGCGGCTCAGGTCCTCAGGATGCAAATTTTGTTTTTCGATGACAGCACTATTTTTCTGATTTTAAGAAGTAATAAAATTTTTTTTTTCACTTATTTTTATATATGATTAATAATTATTCCTTCAATTTTTTGAATTTTAATATTTGAATATATTAAATTTAAATTAAATTAAGAGTAATATAATCAATTTATTCAACAACTTATTGTAGAATAACTTCAATGTTTTTTTTTTTTTTTTTTTTTTTTTTTTTAATTTTTTTTTTCACTTTTATATATGATTAATAATTATCCTATCAAATTTATTTGAAAATTTTAATATTATGAATTACTTAAATTTTAAATTAAATAAGAGTAAATATAATCAATTTATTCAACAACTTATGTAGAATAACTTCAATGAGTTTTTTTTTTTTTTTGCCATTTATATTTGTTTTTTTTGAGACAATAGAGACAAGGTAACTTTAAGAATCGGAGCTAGAACTTAGTATTTATTCCCCAAAATTTTTTTTTTTTTTTTTTTTTTTTTTTTGAGACATAGAGACAAGTATTTAAGAATGGAGCTAGACTAGTATTATTCCCCAAAATCTTTGGATTTTCCTTAATAAATTATTCAAAAGTACCCTTAAATTATGTGAGGGTAATTTTACCCTCGAAAACTTGAAAGGAAGAGAAATAAAAATGAGTTTGTTATCGGAGCAAGATTTGCAACAGCAAAAGCAATCAATCAATCAAACTTTTTTGTTTAATGAACTCTCAATTGAATAACTTAAAAAACCAAAGAGATTCTAACAAAATTTTCTTTAAAGAAACTCTCAACAAAATTTTGTTTCTCTTTCATTCCTCCATATGTAAATCCATATTTGGTGCATTTTGCAATTCAAAAGAAATTAATTGCTGTATAACTTTTAACGAAAAACTTGCTCACAAACAATGGCCTCTAAGCAACAAACACACACCTTCACTGCTTTTGCCTTTTAGGTTGGACATATTGAGTTCAAGAGGTTAGACATTCTCTAATTGCAATAGAGATTAAAAAGAAAAGGGACAGAGAGCCATCCATTAATAGTATGCTATTTCAATTGCAGCAGCATTATATATAGTGATTCTCAAAGATCAAACTTTTGCCAAAACGAAACATTAATAAGAAACTTTATTTCTCAGCTGAATCAAAGTCTAAATAAGCTCATTACTACCAAAAACTATTGCCTTAAAACCACACTACAATATTTTAGTCCCAAAGGTAATTATAGAATATCTAAACAACTTATGCTAAAACTCTGATAATATAGATAGAGTACATCTGTTTCAAGGATGCCACAACTGCGGGTCCTCAACACTTGATCTCCTTCAGCCCATAAGCGAAGTACAGAAAGGTTGGATCAGTAGCACCTTCCTTATAGTATGCAAATACCAAGCTGCCATCATCATGCATGCTCTCGCCGACAAAGCTGCAACAATAGCTCAAATATTCAGAATAACCATTCAAGCAGGGAATATTATCTTTAAATAGAAGAAGAACTTCTAAACTAAAGTGTATAGTTTTGGAGGTGTATAACTATATATTATATAAAGGTGCACATACAATTGGAGGTCATTGAGCTTCGAAAGCAGAAACTTGGTAGCTGATTCGATGTGCTTCTTGAACAACTCTTGCTTCTCTGGCTCCAATTTGGATGTCAGCAACTTGATGTACCTCTTCATGAAGGTAACAAATTGCTTCTTGTCAAAAGATGGTTGCTCCTGTAATGTGATCATAACAGGAAGTAACAGTTTCAGACACCGCAAAATGATAATCATCATAGCAAAGACATGAAAAAAATAGGCTAAACTAGCTCATTAACCTGAAGCCGGAATGTGTCAACAATGTCGACAACCTTGACAGCTTGGTCATCAACACCTTCATCTTCGTCTGCACCTTCAGCAGAAGGATTAGCACCAATGTCTACATCAACTCCCCCACGAACAACCCACTGCAAAAGCCAAACCATGAAACATGATATTTGTTGCAACACCGTATCAGATCAACATATATACCCAAAAGAACCATCAATTCTAATTTGAAAAATCGCCAACCTTTCCCTCAACTTCCCACAGCATCCCATTCTCAATTTCCTTGTATGGGAAGGAGTCAGAGAGAAGCTCATCACCTGAAATCCATAAATCGAATTAAGTATTAAAGGATGCATATAAACATTAAAAGGAATTCAAAAATCACATAAACACCATAATTAGTACATTATGTCTTTGCTTGATTAAAACAAATCTCAAATTCAAAGAAACTTCTTTCATCCCTGTTATCAACTGCTCATAAAATATTTATCATCAAACCCCTTTTTCTTATTAAAGAAGTCCACAATAATTGACATGTGGAGATTATCATTATTATAGTTTTATATTGAAAAAGATAAGAAACTGATTATACAATAGCATACAAAAATCGTCCAGTGGTGGGATTATATTTAATCATTTAAAGCTAATACACGGCTAAAAAGAAACTACTTTTAATAGAATAAATAAGCATAAGCTGAATTAGAGACCTCAACCCCACAAATTTCATGCTAAAATCAAAGACGATACACGGAAAATCAAAATCAAATACCATGAAAGAGGAAGTGCTTTACCTGTGAGAAGATCCTGATAAACGAGCATGATTACAGAAAACAATAAAAAAGAACAAAAATTCGATTTGTTTCTTGACTGTTTATTAAAAACAGAAAAGCAATCAAACCAACAAAAAGACTAAAAATTGGTGAGAGCGCGAGCAATCTTTGCGAGATTGAGGCGCTGAGTATTTATAGTAAAAAAGATTAATGCAAGGCGGTGACAAGAATATGCAATTTCAAATTACGAAATTGGACATTACCGAAACTCCTATCCTAAATCGGGAGTAAATCCTAACTCCGGAGGACTCGTGGTCGCATGTGGAGTCAAAAAAGTTTTAAGAGTTTTTTAACCCTTTTTTAAACTAATAGTGGTAAAAAGTAAAAATCGAAAAAATTAAAAAAAAAAAAAAAGTCAAAAAGAGCTCCCGTCCAAACAGGGAGAATAACCTGAATATGGTAGCTAAAAAGCATCTACGGGGTTCATCGTCATGATTTTACTACCGAGGTCATTATCATTATGGGTTCAATCATTATCGATACAAACTCTTTTTAAGTTACTCCCTTTAAACCCTCATTAAAGTAAAAAAAAAAAAAAAAAAAAAACTAAAAAGCATCTACGGGGTCATCGTCATGAGTTTTACTAGCCGAGGTCATTATCATTATGGTTCAATCATTATCCGGATACCAAACTCCTTTTTAAGTTACTCCCTTTAAACCCTCATTAAAGTAAAAATAAAAAAAAAAAAAAAAAAAAAAAAAAAAAAAAAAAAGTTTTGTATATTAATTACATTCTAGTTATTGCAATTAAGTGTTTTATGAATTTTATGGACGATCAACTGTGCAAATAAGACAAGTCAAGTTCGAACCGGCTAGACCCAAAGTTCGATAAGCCTGAAATCTAGATTCAGATTTGAGTTCAACCCAAAAATTTTTAAATTCAAACTCGATACTCGAATAAATTTAAAATAAATATTATATATATGAATATATAAAAGCTCGATAAGGCTTTATGAGCTTTCAAGCTGAACATAATCAGTCTTGACTCAGCTTATTAGCAAATGAGCCGGCTTGAAAAACTTTTTTGAACTCTTCTGGGCTAAATTTGGACAATTGACGAACTGATTTGACTCGTTTACACCCATTTATACCACCGTACATTAAAAAAAAAAAAAAAAAAAACGCATAAGATAATTAGTCACTATTTACAAAGACGATAAAGGTCAGAAAAAAATAATATATGTATAGTATATATAAAAAAAAAAAAAAACAAAACGCATAATAGTAATATCTACAAGACGATAATATAGAAAAAATATATATGTATATATAAATAAAGCATAAGATGGCTATTGGGTGCGAATATCCATTGCATACGCTCATGTTCCTTGATGTGAATGCTCATTGCAACTTGCAACTTTACCATTGCTGCCCATTGTGTTGGTACTGCAGACCTTTGACCTTTTGCTCTCCATTTTCTGATTTTTGACATCCATTAACATCCACTCCTACTTTCTTTTGTCTTTTGTCTTTTAGCCTAATTAGCAATATTCCTCTTATGGCTCTGAGTTTTACAAGTTTAGTATCAACTTACTTTTGATGACCCTCATGACAAAATTAGAAAAATAAAATAGAAACCGAAATCACTTGGTCTAACCCCAATCAACCATCACCCCTTTTTAATTGATTTAATTGGTCTTTCTAGTAAAATTATAAATAGATTTCTCCAAAATAATATATAGAAATATAAAAATATAAAATTAAAAATTTATTAACATCATCATATAATTAAAGTGTAAACCGGCTCAACTAGCTATATTATCATGTTGAGTTTAAGTTCAATTTCTTAAAAATATATTCGAGTAAACATCAATAAAAAAAAAAAAAAGGAAAATAGAGATAAAATTTGGTTACGGATTGATGTTGATCCCCTTACCAATAATCAATTCCCACTAACCATAGCTGCCCAAAATGTTTCACGTTTCACTAATTTAGACTTTTTTTTTCCCATTGAATACTATTTTTGTTTAGTTTAGTTAATGTATTAGGTGAACATTATTGTTAAACTAATTAGACTAATAGCATGATTCTCAAGCTAACGTAATTACCCTTTTTAGTTTTTTTCATGGCCCAAAATTCCCGAATTAATATCAATTATTTCCTAAAAGAAAAAAAAAAAAATGCTATGTTTGGTTGTAGTGGGCTAACCATAAATGTACATGCTTCTGCAAAAATCTTGGTTCGAGCTTATGTCCGGATGAAAGGCATATTCTTCAAATCTTAAGAACACCATGTTTTAAATTATTTTGTTTACTTTACTTAGCTGTATTTGGTTCCAATCTTAATCATATGAAGTTCAGTTCACGAATCTACCTTTATATTCCAAATACATACCAAATCGTTCTTTTCAGTCTCCATGTTCTTGTTCATGTTGTGCTTGTCCCTTCTCCTTTTTCAATTTTCTTTTTCCCTCTCCTTTTCTATAACATGTTTTTTAATCAAATACATATCAAAATCCAAGCATACTAAACTCTAATTATGAAATTCCTTTTCCAAGTTTGAATCCCTTCTCATCCACAATCAATCTACAAAGAAAAATTTTTCCATGTGAAAGTAAAAAAACCATATTCGAGATCAGACTCAAAATAAAAACTATAAATGTAATTCCAACTTTATGTGAAAATAAGTTAAATCTTCGAACTTTTAAGTCATAAACAAGACAATTGTATTTAGATCTGCTATAAAGATGTTTTCTAATATGACCTAATAAATCTGTCTCCAAAATGACTAAATTTGTAAAAAATATTTAAAAATACGAGTTAAAAGGGATTGATATCGAGTTTTGATTATTTTTATATCAACTAATTTACTGTAATCCTTTTATCTGAATTTGGGATTTGACAATTTTTGATAAGCTTATTGAGTTAATTATTATGATTGGAAAAAAAAAGTGTATTATTGAATTTTATTTTTGATAAAAAAAAATTGAAAATGAGAAGAAATAAGTGGTGTGAGAAGGCACATGAAACCCAACCCAAATCCAGCTCTGAATTGACCCACCCACTTTGTAACCACCCAACAAATAAATTAACACAAATCATAGCTCAGACCAGTTAATTAATCAGTTAAAAAAATGATAATTAAAAATTAAATAACGATTAAACTACTGAGTTGAGCAACAACCTATGTCAAACAACTATCAAATTCACACTCCTCACAGATCAATCTCAACCGTGGATCCAATCACGTGGATTAATATTAACCGTCCATCGCACGCTCGTTTGGACAGCGGTTATTACGACCTCCAACAGCAATCTAACCTCCCAAATCTAACGGCACGAAACCTTCTCACGACATAGGGAGAGACAGAGGAGAGAGAGACAAAACCAACAAAAGAGAAGAAGAAGAAGAAACAAGCAAAGATAAAATTTTTGATCGAAAAAATTCTCTGCATCACCATAATCACGAATCCCATCTATCTATCTATGTATCTATCTATTTATCTATTCTATCGCCTAAACCTATCCTGATATAGAATTCGCTTATTTGTTCCTCTTTTTTGTGTTATTTTGTTATTAAATTAAAATCTGTTCTGCTAATTGCAGAGAGGGGAAGAGGGAAGGGTGGGAATTCAACGGTCTAATTTTTTGATTTTTTTTCTTTTGGTATTTTTTGTGGTGGTGTGATGGGTTTGGGAAACAGTGATAATGATGTGGTTGTTGATGATGGAGATGGTGGAGATGTGGGCGGTGGTGGTGGAGGAGGAGGATGCGGGAAGTCGTTTGGCTCGGTTTCGTGTTCGATTTGCCTTGAGGTGGTCACCGATAACGGGGATCGATCGTGGGCCAAGCTTCAATGTGGACACCAATTCCATTTGGGTAAGTTCGGATTTTAATTGTTTTTTTTTTTTTTTGGTTTTCTTTTGTCCTGGGAAAATTTTGACCTTTTTGTTTTTGGATTGGGAATGTCGAGATCTGAATACAATGTTGTGGGTATTGTTCAATTGTCTATTTTTTTTGGCTTGATGATGATAATTAGGTATGTGTGGCTTGGTTTTTGAATTATTTGATGCAATTTGATTGATTTCATTAAATTGGTTTTTTTTTTTTATATATATATGATATAAATTGAATGGAGGTAAATATTACTAATCTAACAGTTAATTTGAAAACAGATAAGAGTTATTACTGAATTTTCGTCAATGATGTTTTGTAGAGATATGTTTCCAGATAGATCATTCTTTTCAAATCACGTAGTTAATCTTTTTGTGCCGTTTAATCTTTTGTCTGTTGTGATGTTAATTTTATATTCAGATTCAAATTAGGATTTCTATTGGATTTTAAGATGCTTCTAGTTGTATTTGGCATGATGGGCTAAGAATTGATCCTGGAATAAATACTCTTGCATGTCAATTATGTCAGCTGAAAAAATTGTATATTCAAGTTCAATATGGGTTTTTGAATTCTTAATTTGTTTATTCTGAAACTTAAAAATGTTATACAAGGGTCCATTTTAGTAGGAGTCTTCAAATCTGGTAATGTTTATTTTAGTTTTTAGTTCAGTGTTATAATTTAAGAGCTATAGTCGCCAAGGCAAGGGGAAAGGAAAGACTATGCTTAAATCAGATTTTTGATCGTTTTATTTGAACTTACATCTTTAAGCCAAATTCACTCTCAAACAAGTTACAGGTTGTAATCCAATTCATAAAATTGGCCTATATTCTATGAATCTAATGGCTTAGAACTACTAATCCTGAAATTAGCTTTGTAATTAATCTCTAATCCTATGCCATTAGCTTATGTTTCCTATTTCCTACTAATTATGGTTCATTCCATGCATGAATTTGGTCTAGTTTACTGAGGAGAGGGCAGCCTTGCTTATTTTGCTGAATGCTCTCTTTTAAAATTTATTATTTACTTGCATTTGTTTTCTTTTTACGTTGTTTAGGGTCTTCAAATAAAATTTTCATTATTAGTTATTCACATCATTGATGCAAGAGCATCGATGAAAATTCCAAGACGCATACATGATTAATTAACATTGAAAATATGCATTCTGGATGTTTTATACATTCACTAGTATTTTTTTAGTAACTTTTTGTAATAAAGAGTGGCAAGAGTTCTTTCCTTTTAAAGGAAATAGTAGCTCAAACCCATGTCCTTATTGTTGTCACTTTTGTTTCTGAAAGAGCCTCTTTAATCAGGCCATCATTGCATGATAACACTACCACTTGCTAATTGGATTGTTGATGACATCTTAGTGTTTACTAGTAAATACCTTTTCTATTTGCCTATCATTGATTCTCTTCATGGATATCTCAGATTGCATTGGTTCAGCATTTAATATAAAGGGTGCTATGCAATGCCCTAATTGACATTGAAAATATGCATTCTGGATGTTTTTTATGCATTACTAGTATTAAATATGTAAGTAATTTTTTGGTAATAGGTCATGAAGTATCTTTCACTTTCTAAAGAAAAGTAGATAAGCTCAAACCACATGTCCTTATTGTTGATATATATAGTTTCTGAAAGACTCATATTAATAAGATTGATGCATAATGCAATGATAACCTACACTTGTAATTGGGGGTGATGAAATCTTTAGTGTGACCTAGTATGAAAATAAGCGTTTTTTATTATGCTTATAATTGATTCTCTCATGTGATATGTCAGATTGCATTTGGTTCACATTTATATAAAGGGTTATGCAAATGCACTTAATTGCTTGAACAAAAAAAGTAAAGAGGAAAAAAAATTGGAATAAAAGTGCTAAGTGGGCTTTTTAATGCATTAAGATTGCAGATCTCTTTTAGGCCAAAAACTGGGCAAAAGAATTTTAACCTGGATGCCTGGGCATGAGAGGACTTTATGAAGAATAGGCATCCGAATATGGTAAACTTAGTTACTTTTCATATACAAAAAAATTGAAATGAAGAAACATCTAGTTATTGTTTTTTTGTGTTTTCTATGCGTCTTATATATTATTTTATATTTAATGAAATAAAGGTTGTAATGTTAAACTCTCAATTTCAAGCCATAATGTTAGCAAACATTTTCTATTGGTGGGATAGGGGGTTTCTTTTTCGTTTAAAAAGAAAATTTTAGTCAAGGGGATAATAACCAAAAATCAGTTTATCATCGGTTTCAGGACTTTATAACATTGTCTGTGTATTTTTCATAGATAGTACAGCTATTTTCTCTATATTATATTTGGCTAGTGTTATTTAGTGTAAATGTGTAATTTAATGATTAATATTGATATTTCAAAGTGTAAGCTTTGGTAGTCTCACTGGGCTGTGGGTTTTAGGTGTAATGACACACTTACATGGTCTCAAGATAAAGGGTGCAAGTTAACCTGGAAAACTTGTTACCGATTTATAATCTTTCTATTATCTTTTATGCTAAGTATGCTAAAGGTCTTTTTTTTTGCAAAAAGATAAGAGTACAATAGTGTGAAAAAAAAAAAAAAAAAAAAGAAATCTTACGTTGTTATTTGTGGGAAAAAGTAACTTGCTTGTAAAAAAAAAAAAAAAAAAAAAGAAATCTTACCCTATTGGGGAACAGAAGCAACTTGCTTGTAGTCCTACGAGTATGAAGCTAAACAGATAATAATACCTTAAATCATACTTGGACTGTTCATTGCCAAATTTAGGTAAATCACCTTGATATTAAGCAAGAGGCTTTTTATCAATAATAAAACATGGAGACCCTTTGATCAGAAGTGAAACAAGGACATTTCTTCAGGTACAAAGTGAATATATAAGGTCTTGAAAGGGAAAGTGAATCAGCTTCTGGGAAGCTAGGCACATGTATCTTTGCTGTTGCTGCACTCAAAACTATAGGTTCCTATGACTTTCTCCGAGACTTTAAGCCTTCTAGATGGCATCATGGTGCAATGAAGAAGTTTGCTAAAATGGGGTAGATCAAAGAGTTGTCTTTGCCTTTAGTAGGGTTGTATGCATTATTGTGATTCCGGTTGACATAGCCTTATATCATGCATTATTGTGATTCTTCTTGACATAGCCTTATATTGTTTATAGGTTTCTTTCATGCGGCTTTTGTTTTATTATATTCATGGCTCTGTACCTGTCTCAAATTGATAGCTTACTAAGGCATATATCTTTTTAGCTGGTCATTATGAATTTGTCTATTTACCTGTATCTGTGAACTATGACTGTCAGTGCCCCTTTAGAGGAGATCTTAGATTTGTTTTGTTATAGAACTTTCTGCTAACTGCATTCTCTGATCTCATAACTACTTACAAACGTGAGTGATACATTTCATGGCTTCTTAACAAATAAGTGTTATCCATGTGTATGTACCAGTGAGCATTTGCAGGTACAAGAATGCATTCAATTGTGCATAATATGCCATCACCTATTGATTTTGGTTTAAATGATTTTGCAGTCCTTCGGAGTTCATTGGTGTCCTTTTGGCAGTTTGGCACGACTCCCATCATCTTTCGAGTAAGCATCATCTGATAGCTAGAGCTTGCAATTTTTTCTGTTTCAATTAATATGCTGTGATGGTTCATTTGTCTATTTTCTTTTCAATTAAGCTTTTTTGCTCTTGTATGTGTGTGCACAATCACTCTATACTTTATATTGAAATTTTCAGTGAGGAATCAAACATTCCTCCTATGAAAGAGAGAGCAATGGAAAGCGGGTATCTGCATACTAGGAAACCCTCACCATTTGAGTTCTTGAGGTGCATGAAATATGCATCAACCATCCTCAATGTATCCTATTTTAAAGTTTTTGCTCTTTGTCTAAGAGCTGCAATTTGCGACTAGAATGAGATAATATGCAGATCTCTGGGGGCCTTGACATTGGTTATTGCTTTATTACCTCTTTTCTTTTTCCTTTTTTTTTTAATCCTTGGTTGAGTAGGCATTCATTATCTCTTGGATGCAACACCTGGATATATTGTTCTGAAAGTATCCTCATAATGGGTTGGTCTAGAGAGTTTGATGTAATAGATTTGTAACACAAACATCCAATTTTAAGACACTGGATCTCCCATAAAGTATCTATGACTAACTGTTCACTCTCTAGCAATAACTGAATGGGGAAACTTCCAATTCTTCTTTGTTCTTCCCCTTCTACAAGCTATGACTCGGTCTATCAGTGCTGCTTTAGTATGTCGGGGCCAAGTGGTAGTGGAATTTATTGTTAATGAACTTGTGGGTTCCATGTCACAATATAGATTTCAGATTTTATTTTAATATTTTTTGAGGTTGGAATTGATGAATCTCAATTAATGTGCCAAGAGAGCATGAAACAAATATATATGGCATTGCACCTTGTGGGATAGGAGGATTATAATTCTTGTCACTTGTAATCGCTAAGTTAAGAATGGGGATTGACTCTGTGTTTCTATTCCTTGTGCTTTTTGTCATTGATAATGAAGAGGAGAAAACAGGAAGTTAGGCCTGATTTTTACATAGGCAGGTATTGGAAACCAGGAATGGGATGAAGGATTATTCTCATTCCTACTCTTATTCCTGGGAACTGGAGAAGGCTCTTGTATCTTTTTCCTATTATGCTTACATTTTGCCTTTATTATCTAGTGTTTCTAATAGGCATTTATCGATTTTGCAGGGAAGGTGAATTTTCATCAAATGCATGTAAGAGATACTCCTGTTTCTGCTTAATTAATGATCTTTCTTTCCAGCCAAAGCAATGAAAGAATTATCAATAACTATGTTGATAAGGTGGATATTGTAATGCAGATCATGATCTACTGGGACAACATGCTATCTTTGCAGAACATACAGCAGCTGTTTCTTCAGCTAGTCATCCATGCCCATATATAGCTTATTTTGGTCCAATTCATCCATCATCTTCCAACTCCAGTGGAAGTGTTTCGGATGGTTCAAATTTTAATAATCACTGGAATGGTCCTTCATTACCTAATGAAATGCCTAATTCCTATGCATTTCCTGCAATGGATCTCCAGTATCATGGTTGGGAGCACCATTCTCCTCCCTTCTCTACAACCAACAGTCGGATAGGGAATGCTGATCAGCCTTCAATTCCTTCTGTTACTCAAAGGCCAGCTAGAAGCAGTTCTGATCTTCCAAGATCAGGATCATTCATGCATCCATTCCTTGTTGGCCACAGGTATTTTTTGTATATTTGGCTCCCCTCTCTCTCGGCTAATGAGGAATACTATCTGTTCCTTTTTAACGGAAAAAGTCTTTATTTTGATCTTCATCAGACATATTTAGGTTGAAATTATAGTAGATAAACTCATTTAGGTGACATTGATTTTATACGTCTCTTATATTTCCACAGTTCTACTGCCAGAGCTGGGAGCTCAGTTAATTCGTCTATGATTCCACCCTACCAAGGGAGTAATGCACGGGCTCGTGATAGAGTGCAAGCCCTTCAAGCATACTATCAACAACAGCCCGGCAATTCTCCAGCAATTCGCACACCCATTATTTCTGGAGCCCGAAGGTCCAGCAGTCACAGAGGCTTGTCTCAAGTGGGAACTGTGGCATCATCGTCCGACCAGACCGGGTTCTATTTCGTCCCACCCGGTACATCGGGCCGGAACTACCAAGAAGTGGAAAATCCTCCACAAACCCGATTTCGTGCATGGGAAAGAGAACACTTGCCTTCATTCTCATTAAGTCAGGTGGATAGAGAATCAAGTTGGGGTGCATTTCATCAGGCAGCCAGTGGGTCAGATGCTGCAATCAGATCGAGCAGCTTTCGGCAAAGGCATGGATCCGAAAGAATGTCATCCCAAAATCGGTCATAGCTTTGTTGATTATCCTTTTGGGTAAAGCAAACTACCACTACTGAAACCAAAGTTATGTATGCTTGAAAAACGATATAAAATGCTTGGAGTCTCGGTCTATCAAGACAAGACTCAAAAAACTGTGGGGTGGCCCTGAAAAAAACGATCTTTTGAGCAGCCACCTGGCTGTGTGATGGACTTTGGCATCCTCTAGTTTCTTTGCCTTTGAGGATATAAAATAACATTTTACCTGTTGGATAGTAATAGATTTGGACGTGCTATATGCTGGCCAGTGGCCTTGTTGTGCAGGGGTAGCCCGGAAGTTTACTATTGATGAGAGTTCCCATTGACAAAACTACATGAGAGTTCCCATTGACAAAACTACGTAATTTGGCGATAATAGGCATGTTTGTTGCTTCGAAATTTCTGGTCGGTACTCGTGAGAGGTTAGCCATTTAAGAATTGGGTTCTGGTCTCACCAGGCTCTCATGAAGATCAGTTGGTGGCCAGAATGACCGAAGTCAATAAGATTGGCAACTAGATAAACAATAATTGTTTTTAAAACTGATTATACAAGCAACGGTAGAATTTCACCGCTTTTTCATCCTGAAATTATAAAAATTGAACAACTATTACCACAGACCAGGAAAGTTAAAAACAGAAGAGGAGTATAAAAACTCTTATCCAAACAGCAGTTTGAGTAACCTCTCCAAGATCAGTTTGAACATTCTTCAGATCCGTTTTAATGACTAGGAGAAAAATGTGATCAAATAATCAACCAGCAATAGTCTGAAATGCAATTGTATTTGTATGCTAACTCTAGTATTTTTATAGCTCTCCTACAGTTCAATGACAATCTTCAGTAGCGGTCCCTCGAGTCCATTGATTGGCTTCTATCAGATCTCACCTGCCAATTGCAACCACAATAATAAACAAAATCACATTTTGAAAATAGAATGTATGGAAGAAAATAAATTTAAAAAAAAAAATCCTCCATCAGTGAACAATGAAACCATACAGAAGATGAACGCGATTGAGATCCAATGCTCCTGCTCCTGCTCCTGCTCCTGCCACGTTTGCTGAGGTCTCTACCTGATCGCTTGCTAGGAGACTGGCATTGCACCGAGACGACAAAATATAATAAACAAATAACCGGAGTATAATCCAATCCAATCAAGCCGACTTTGATGAGGGAAATTTAAATTAGAGTTCACTTACAGATGCAAGTGGAGATCTTGATCTGGATAGGGATCTGCAAAAAATTTCCAGAAACAACCCAATTATCCACAAGAACCCATTATAATCCTTGATCCAAAAGCCTCAGGTGCCATTTCCACCTCAGAGTCCGGCAACAAAAACAGAAATACAAAATACCACCAATCTTTAGAAGCAACTTCAAAAAATAGGTTCAAATCACCATATGATAAAATACAACCTCACGTTTGTCAATGAACATTTCCCAGCAGATTATGAGAACCAAATCAACATGTAGAAGAAAGAAAAATCACTAGAAAGCACCATGGAGTAAGTTGCCAAAGTTAAGGACATCCTCCCCATCCATAACCGAGAAGAGGAGATATAAACTCTCCCTATCTGTATCACCAAGTCCTGGGGGAACAGGTGATGTGTTTGTTCAAGTTTCGGTTATACAGCTGATGTGTGGGATAGTACCAATATAGATCTCAGAGTACCATCGAATAAGTGGCCAAAGTTAAGAACATCCTCCCTTCTGTACACACCTCTCCCCATCTGAATCACCGTGTCCTGGGGAACAGATGATGTAGTTTTTCAAGTTTCATTTATACAGCTGATGTGTGGGATGGTACCAATAGCACTTAGATCTGACTAATCCAGCTTTAAATTGCGACCCATCCACACTTCATCATATCTAGCACTAAACGACACACCACCATAACAGCATTATAAGATCGTCAAGATGTTCGAGAGGTGCTCATCAACATACTTAAATCACATTACCTCAACCACCAAAGAGATGCAAGTATATAAGCACCACAACACATCATGTTCCTAACATCCAATTCCAGGTCACTGCACAAAGCCAGATCTAGTAAGCAAAGCAGCAACCCTTATAAACAAAGTACAACAACTTGCCAACCTGGTAACACTTCTTAAGTGACCTCTTTCCACTATGCATGTCCATGAAGCAATAAAGGGATTAATTAAGAACATGTCATTTTTTATATTCTAAAAATGAAAATTTTTCTTCCATAAATACATTTGAAGTTTGAACATGTCAGCAAAAGAACCACACAAGGATAACTGGTTACTCGCCATGATCACTAGCCTAGTAATTTTTCAGAACTGGAGTATACACGAGGAAAAATTGAGAAACAGAAACTTATAAAAAGGAGGTAGACTTGCTCAAGATCTCAGCCCACTAAGGAATGGAAAATGGTACAAACTCAAAGGGCTCGCATCTAACAAAAAGCTAAAAGAAAAGTACACATGGTGATGAAAAAGATTAGCGAAGCCTTCACACTTCATGCAGTTTCTATCAAAGGAATTTGGTTCCATCAAAACAAGACAACTATCAGCACGAAATATAAGATATGCCACTGTAAGGTTAAATATGAAAGTATACCTCCACCCAGAGGCAAGATTTCCTCATCAGGATCTCTAGGTCATGTGTTCAAAACAAAATAAAATACTTTTAAGGCCACAGAAATGACACATTAAAAGCATATGCCAAAAAAAAAAACACCCACAAAAAAACACTTTAACATGGACCAATTAACCATGTATACAGTCAAATTTTGAACTTTGCAACTTAAATGTAACAGCTAGATGTAAAATATATACACAATGGATTACTTCAAGTCAGCAGAGTACTCGTGAAACTTAGTTGAGATTTGAGATCCATTCTGCAAATTGGCTGGTGACTACAACATACTAATAAATAAAAGTCATTTTTATTTATATTAACATACAAATGGGATTCTCTTTTCCTTTTTTTTTTCTTTTTTTTTTTTTTTTTAGGGGGTGTTAGGGCTAACCCCCTGATTTCCTGTAGAGAAAAGTACATTGCAACTGAAACCATTTTAACTAAATTTAGAGTTTTTGCTTTTGGGAGTTAAGACATCAGAAAGAACGTAGCAGTAAGAAAACTTGCAGACTGAAAACTGCAAGCTGCACTGATCACACAAAATAAGGTATAAAAGGAAAATAATTTGAAACCAAACAAGCATTTGTACTGAGAACTTGTGACCGTGTAGTACCACTCAAGTACCACAAATACATCAATAACCATCATAAAAGAGCTCCTAAAACCAAAAAGGGAAAACAATGCAACAGGGAATACCTTGAAGGTCGGGGAGATGATCCTGTACGAGATCTTGAAGAAACGGATCTACTACGAGATGCAGACCGAGATCGATGAGAATATTTCGCTCCAGGAGACTTGCTGCAAAATAATCCAACTTTCAAAAATTATCATTAGAAACAAAACAAACTGTCCAATCTTCAGCAAAGTTTAAAGCACACCTCCTGCTCCGGTCACTGTAGCTTCGGCTTCGGCTTCGACTCCAGCTCCTGCTTCTGCCATAGGGGCTACGACTAGGACTCCTGGAGTAGCTTCTCCTTGAATCATACTCCCTTACCTATACAAGAGCCCATAGATAAGTACACCAAAATGGAAAGTTAAGGCATATCACTGCATGTATATGTTGGCATACCCGTACATAAGACCGAGAAAATGCATTTCGAAACTCAGAATCATCAAGTTTCCTGATCTGTAGATAGAACAAAAGGAAGTCACAATTAACTCAAAACCTAACATATATAATAAAATAATAAAACCATAAAATCCTTAAGAACAGATTTAAAGTTAAGATAACTTACAGCACGATTCATATCATCATAGTTTGTGTAATCAACAATTCCCGTCATACCTATAATTTGATGAAACAAGAGAAAAGAAAACGGTCATTAACACCATCAATTTAAAGTTAGTATATTACTCTTGCTGCTTACAGCCAGCTAAAAATCAAAAGAATTGCAAATTATTTTGCCAGGAATCAGAGGTTTAGTCCACTCACCACCACGATCACGAAATACTTGAGAAAAGCAAACATCCCCAGCTTTACGCATATGATCCTGATCATTGAACACGTACGATCAAATTACATTTCAAATATGACATGAAAAGGACTTCATGATAAACTGTCGGAAGTACAATTTTTCATAATGAAATCATCATACCTTGAGATCTTGCCATGAAGCAGAAGATGGTAGTCCAGTAACCAGAACTATAAGAAAGAAAGAATCAAAATCAACTTTCAACAACATATACTCAATGAAACTAGAAGAGAGATGCCAGAACGAAGCATACCACGATAGTCAGAACGTTTGGAAGGTCCACGACTTCCACTGCTACTGCTATAACTGCTATAACGGTCACTAGGAGATGAATGCCTTCGACCACCATGAGCAAGCTCAACCTAAGAGAATCAAATGCAAACAGTTGAAATACAAAAATAACCACATAAAAGAAAGTAGATCAAAGTTAACTGACACTGACCCGTAGGCGACATCCATCAAAGTTATACCCATCACGACCACGAATAGCATCTTCAGCATCACGAGCATCTTCAAACTACAATTTAATTTAAAAAAAAAAAAAAAAAAAAAAAAAAGAGTACGCAGACATATGTGATTATTGTGAATGTAAAAATCATCTCCATGCCACTCTCTGCTCACCTCCACAAAAGCATAGCCAGGAGGTCTTGGTGGGATTTTCAAATCAACATCGACAATGGGCCCATACTGCAATCAGAAAAAACAAAAATTTTGATTAAAAATTTAAGTTCGCTAACAAAAGCAAGTTAACAGTTAGAAATAGTTAAACTATAATCAAACCCAAAAACCCAGGAAATTCATTCCATTATAATTCAATTATAATTTAATTATAATTTCAAAAAGTAAAAATTTTATAGTACCTTGTAAAACAAATCTTTCACTTCTCTCTGACGAATATCTCCTGGAAGATTGCCTACATAAAGAGTTCGGCTTGCACGGCTGCTCATTTTTTCCCCTGAAACCTGAACAACGATTTCAATTAATCTTGTTTATGAGCACACACATAAACATAAAATTAAAACACGAAAATACAAATAAGACATTTTCGTTAGAAAACAATACAAATTTTCAAACATCAACCTCCAAGAAAGATGATATCAAAATTTTAAGCGTCGAATAATAATAATAATAATAATAAACAAGAGTTGTTCTTTAACCTAGTATAATATAGTTATGTAAGAAAAATATAAGTTCTTTTAATATTCTTGTTCATCAGTGAACATAAGCAATCAGCAAATTATTTTATTCGGTCAATTATTAAAAAAAAAAAAAAAAAAAAAGCCTTACCTGGGTGAATAGTGAAGAAGAATAAGAAGTTAACTGGGAGAATTGTGGGTTTTGCAGACTTTGGATACTTCTGGAACGGTAATGAGGTGGTTTTTAGCCTTTTCGGCAGGAAAAAGGAAAGAGAAATATATGACGTGTCATCATTTACCATTTTAACCCTGACAGTCAGCATTTGTTTCCGTGGCTCCACGTGTCATATTGTCACTTCGCACTATTTTGAAACACGCATCCGGACGAGGCAGAATCTCATCTTTTACGCTACTTCCTGCACGTCGACCAAACTTTTTTAAAATGTTTATTTTATGATGATTTGGGGATGAAAGTTGGATTGGATTAAAAAATTATGTTAGAGTTGGGTCAAAATTAAGCTGAAATTTTTCATTCGGGCTCAAATTGGATTGTAGCTGGGCCTTAATTGGGCTTGAATTATCCCAAATTGAGAAAACAAATGGGCTCAAATTAGGCTACATTTGGGTCCAGATTAGCTAATTGAGATAAAACTAGGTTTGAAAGTTGGGCCTCATTCGAGCTAGGATTGCAATTTTATCCGATCCGGTGGTTACCTGATCCAATTTTGATAGGTTCAGATAAAGAAGCTAGGACATGTTCATTTAGGAGTGTGCAAAACATTCAAGCACATCGAACTGAAAATCGAGTCGACCCATTTTGGTTCAAGTATCTAAAATGAGTAATTACAATGGGGTTCAAAACAGATTCATGTACAAAAAAGTAAATTTCTAAACGAGTTCGATTACCTAATTCATAATGAGATTTAGATAATGAATTTTATGCGGATATCTAATCGCTGTCATCCATAATTCATACTAAAATTTAAGTTTAAACTAAATTGAAATTGAAATTGAATAAAATTAACGCTGAACCCAAATTGAACTAAAGTTAAGTCTGAATTAGGTTGAACCTGAGTTGGGCTCAACCTAACTTAACTATTAGGTACAAATTAACTATAAAGTGCATGAAATAGTTAAACTAAATGTAGCTCAATTTCAAATTTCTCATTGGTCAAGCCGAAGATTTTCAGGGCAAGTAGATCGCCCAACAAGCAAATATGGCAGCTCATTTTCTTGCTTGAGTGTCTATTTTCTATGCTTGTTCTACTATTTGGAGGGATTTTCCTCAATTTCTTTTATTTGTAATGAATTTTGTTGTTCATTTTTCAAGTTTTTTTCACTTAATATTAAGATATTAAGCTCTAGATGTATGGGGTAGACCTATCCATCGTCTCGGTTAGTTGGAACTTCTTATTAAATTTCTCGTGATTATTATTACTAAAAATATAAAGTTTCAAAAAAAAAAATTGCAGCTCAATTTTAAAATTAATAGTTTGACGTATGAAATTAGGTTTTCTTGGACACTCGGTTGCTTGTGTTATAACATTCATTTACAATTTTCATTAATAATTTTTTTATGTTATATTGTGTTTTGAGTTTTGAAAAATTTATTATATTTTTCCAATCAATACATCAAATTTTCCTGAGAAAGGGTCATGATATATTTTTAAAAAATTATTAGATCACTTAGATGACTTTTTCTCTTTAGCTAGGACTTAAAAGTCTTTTTTTTTTTTTTTTTTTTTTTTTTTTAAGTCTTTTTTTTTTTTTTTTTTTTTTTTTTTTTTTTATGAAGAGCAGAGAAGTTGTATTTTCCAAATTTATCCCGTGGTATATATATGGCGTTGGCGTTGGACTTTGACCCCGCCCACCAATAGTTGACCAGAAATTGTCTAAGTTGGTGGAATCGAAGAAAGAAATTTGCAAAACAAAAGTAAAACCACCCATCTTACAAGTTACAACGCCAACAGGATTCTTTCTCAGTGCCTTACACTACTTTTAATCTAATCATGTACCGTCCAATTCATGTACATCTCCGAATTGTTTTTATTCCCTTTGCCAGATGTCAATTTGTTATTTGAAAATGTATACGACTGGCATATAATTAAGCACACGGCATAGCTTCCCTCGTCTCTCCCACCGTCTCACGAGGTCGCCAATTTTGCCTTCGCTTTCTTCTCTCTCATATCTCTGTTGTCGCCTTCAAAAAGCCAACTCAACACGCCTAATATTGCTCATAAATCGCCTCCTCTATCTGAAAACGTAATTCTCTTGTGAAAATGGCTGATGCTAAGACCAAATTTGAATCTGTTAGAGAATGGGTTGCAGAGCACAAGCTTAGAACCGTTGGTAATTATCGTATTTTTTTTTTCCGTTCTTCTTTATACTTTTATGGATCAGATGTTTTTTTTTTCTTTTCTTGAATATTATATGACGATTTGATTTGGGTCTTGAATTTTTTATGTTTCTTTTTCTGTATTGGAAAAGGGTGTCTATGGCTTAGCGGTATTGCGGGTTCAATCGCATATAATTGGTCTCAACCCAATATGAAAACCAGCGTCAGGATCATTCACGCTAGGTAATCTTCACTTATTTTATTAGAATCTTTTGTTCATATTTTTCTTTTATTTTGTCTTTGTTAACGCATATGACCTAATCTAAGTATTGATATGTTAAAAATGGATGGATTTGCATTCTGGTTACATTGCTAATTTCTGAGTTAATTAGAAAAAATTCAGTTTGGATTTTTTAAATTCTTTTGCAAATTCGTAAATTTGCTTTGTGATAAGCACATTTGGAATCGTGCTTTGCAATTTATTTGTTTGAATTGTATATATTTAGGTTATGTTTTGGTGTACTCGTAATGTTTTCACTTTAAATTCCCTCGATTACATTACATTGAACATAACCTTAGGCTATCTAGTTTTCTGTATCATCTTCATTGTTGGGTGTAAATGCCATGCTAATGGGGTCTTTGATGATTCCTCACTTGCCATCTTGAGAGAATTTGAGAAGCTGGTGCGCCAAAATATCTGTATTGATATATTTAGAAAGGGGGAAAAAAAGTTACTTGGGAAGAATCTGGTGGTGGCAAATGGAATTGTGGAACAATGCCATTCTAATACCATGAAAATGTTTTAGAAGTCTCAGACTTCTTACCATTTCACCAGAAGATGGCTCTTTATTAATCTGTGAATTTATGCAAAAATTTTCAACTCTAAATAGTCAAGTGAAGGCAAGAATTAAGAGACCTTCATATCATATTTGAATTTGGTAATTTGGGAAAAATCTGGGCCTTTTTGAATGGCAACGTGGGAAAGCACATTAGTCTCCTTGTTTGACTCTTGTCAATGCTACAAGGCTTCTTGTTACGCCTCCAGATTTACCTTTCATTCTTGCCATACGTAAGCTTCAAGTGTGCAAGGATTCCCAACCCTCTATAGGTTAATATAGATTTTTATTTCATAAAGTTGATCTGCTGTCTAGGAATGGCTTCAGACTTATACTTTCTTTGCATAATGATGGGCATGGCAGTCAATTGGAGTGATTGGGTAGAATGTTACAGGTGGTTTGATCTTCACACTAATGATGAAGCCAAAGGATAATTTCATGTCTCTTGTTATTGCTGATTGCAGATGTTGGTTCTGTCATTCTTAAATGATCCATTTTTATTGATTTTATGAATGCATATGACATGCATTTCTTTTCTTGTTTAATTCATCTCTTATGCTATGCATCTTCTTGCCTCCTTTTGCTCATTGTCACCATTTTTCTGTATCATTAGGTCATAAAGCTTGTCTGTCATTGCTAATGTTTCTTTATGTCAATCCAGGTTGCACGCCCAGGCACTTACTCTGGCTGCATTGGCTGGTGCTGCAGTGGTTGAGTATTATGATCATAAGAGTGGAGTAAAGGCTGATCGGTATGCAGCCTACATCCCCCACAAGGACAGCAAATGATCAACAAGAGACTGCATTTAGTTAGGCTAAAAACGTCTACAATGATGTGATAAATGGATCCAATAAGGCATATGTATGTTGGGGGCAAGAGTTTTGACCCCTTAAAATATTTTTTCCCCTGTAATTTACATTGTTTTCTTAAGTACTAGCATTTAGCACACTCAATTGTGAGGAAATGAAATTAAGAAACCAAATTCTTTTTTCAGCTATGCATATTTGTGACAGAATTATGTTTTTTGGAAGAAAAAAAAGTGAAATTAGATGTTTGGTGTGAGTTGGAAGAATAGAATTAAATGTGGTGTATACAGTTGAGATGATTGTATTTTAACATGAATTTGAAGTTCAATTGTTTGAAATCAGAAGATTATTATGAATTGAATTAACCAACATTCAGATTATGAATTTCATTTTAAGAAATCGCAGCCTATAATAACTCAATTAGTGAAGTATCGAACTATAAATTGATGGTAATTTTACATTTTCACACCAAAAATCTTGTTTACTAAAGAAAAGTGGATTTTCTATATTTTCCATTTACTTATTAATAAATCTGAAAAACTTTTTGTTTGTGGTGGGGTGGTTCAAACATGAAATCTGATACTCTTTACATAAAATGAGACCTTTTATTTCCAACATAACATAAAATAAATAAGACTTTCTATTTCCAACATAACAATATAAATTCCTTCAAAAAAAAAAAAAAACATAACAATATAAAATAAGATATCTCATTTCATACATAAAATGAGAAGAGAAAACTAGCTAGAGCACACTTGTTTCATCATCATTAGTGATTTCACTTCTTACAAAATATTATCGACTGCATCTAATCTAATTCAATTCATACGGTGAAGGTACATTATTTTTTACGTGAACTAAGGACCCCTAATAATATTTTTTTAATTGATATTTTCTAACTCTATCCTTTTTGTTTTTCTGAAAGAAACAGATGAAAATTCCAAATGCAGTGCTGTGTCCTGCCCGGCCCAGCCCTTTAACATTTCTGGTCACTGTCCCTAAAACACCGAAAATTAAAAATTGGCTCTTATAAACCAAAACCCTAACATAGCCAGACTCTTTACTTCTTTCATACGCACAACGCCGCTCATCTCTTCGTTTACTACGTTCTCCGCATCATTTGCTGGTTTTTCTAAGGACAACCAAAGATGAGTCGAGGGACTGCTACTGGAACCAAGGGGAAGAAGAAAGGAGCTACATTTACTGTCGATTGTTCAAAGCCGGTAGAGGATAAGATCATGGACATTGCCTCTCTCGAGAAGTTTCTCCAGGAGAGAATCAAGGTTGGAGGCAAGGCTGGTGCACTTGGCGATACTGTTACCGTTACTCGTGAAAAGAGCAAAATCACCGTCACTTCCGAAAGCAACTTCTCCAAGAGGTAAAAACTCTCAATTTTTCTCTGTTATATTTGCTTTATTATTTGAGTTGTTTGATGCTTCACTGTGAGAATTAAAACTTATTGTGATTGTAAATTATTTGAACATGGTCTCATTAGAGTTGAGCATTATTGGGTTTCAATTGATTTTTAATAAATCGAAGACAATGCCTTTTAGGCTTTTTCAGTCCTTAAGTTGGATTGTTTTGATTTGATTTGGATTAATCAATTGAAATGATGGACTACACTTGATTAAACCCAATTGCTTCAGTTTGGTCAAATTGCCATGGCAGACTACTTCTGCTGAATTCGATTTTCGATTTTCTAACATGAAGTAGTTGACGTTGCTATGACAAATTTCTGTATGCTTAAACTAGCTTGTGTTTCTCTTCTAGAGTGGCCTGTCACTTATTTATTGTCTGAGATGCTTTAGGGGCTAGGTATCCCGACTTGGAAACTATGGAAGCTCCCTTTTCGTGGTGCAAAAGATGTTTCAGCCAACTAAAATCACCAACTTGAACATGTTTCTATATTTGATTTTCTATAATATGAAACATGATTCCATATGCTTGCTGTGTAGGTAAAATTGTCACTCTGCTGTTCATTTCAGTATCAACTTGAACAGGGAAAATAGTTTGTTCCCTCAATAGTTTTCTGAAAATGGCTTTACCTTCATTAATCTCATTGCAATTGCTCAACTCAAGTAATTATTATGCAGAATTTGCTTTACTGTTGAGATGTTGATGTGGGGTTAACTTGTTCATTATGAGTTTGAAAGCCTGCAATCTTCTATCCTGGCCTATTAAGTTCACATGGTCTCCTGTTTGATTGCCTGGTACAGGTATCTGAAGTACTTAACCAAAAAGTACTTGAAGAAACACAATGTGAGGGATTGGTTGAGAGTGATTGCATCAAACAAAGATAGAAGTATATACGAATTAAGGTACTTCAACATTGCTGAGAATGAGGGGGAGGAGGAAGACTAACTATTTGCAACTCAATGTACCTGTCTTAGTTTTTGCCTATTTTGAACTTCTCTTGTTTATTGTTTTGTTGAATGATATGCTACATTTATCAACAGAAATGTTGTTCTATAATTTTGGTTCTTGAATTAATGGTTTTAGTATTATGCTATTTCTATAATCTTTGTTCTTGAATTAATGATATACTTTTTTTTTTTCTTTCTAAAAGTATACATTTTTTGATAGAGATATTCAATTAATGAATATAAAATTATAAAGATTAGATGACTTTAAAAAGAGAAATTGAACTATAATTGAAGCTAAATGAAAAGGTTGAGCAAACTTATTTTTATTGGATGAAAGGGAATATATAATAATATCTTTCTTTTTTGTCTTGGTTGATTGGATGTGATCTTTTTAATAATAGAAAAAAAGAAAAGAAAAAAGAGAGCATATTAATTCACTATAGAAACAAAAAAATAAAAAAGAAAAATCACTGAAAATAGATATATTTCGAACGTTTCTGAATATTTATGGACTTCAATGGACTCAATATTTGATACATTTCAGATTACTGGTTTTTTATGTTTAAGAAAAAATTAATTTAATCAAGATATTTTATAAAATAAAATTATAACTACAAGTTATAATAATTGATATTTTGAAAGATCAATTTGAAAAAATATAAATTTTATTAGGAGAAAATTACTTTAATTCAAGATATTTCATAAAAAATGATAAGCACAAAATTATGATTTTAAAACATTATGTTATTACCATATACATAATTTCTTAGTTTATATGATAAAATTTAGATTTAAATAGGAAATTATGTAACCATCAAAATTATATTACCATTAAATTTAGATCTAAATAGGAAATTATGTAACCATCAAAATTATATTACCATTAAATTTAGATCTAAATAGGAAATTATGTAACCATCAAAATTTTTGGTTTATTATATATAAAATAGAAATATAATATTATATAATTCTAATTAATCAATAAATTTAAAAGTTTTTTAATTATAATAAGACTAAATTATCCTGAATAATATTTTTAATCAATCAATAAAATTAAAATATAATTTTAATGAACCAATAAAATTAAATTTTTATAATTAAAATGGAATTAAATTGGATAATTTCCTATTTAGAATTAGATTAGAGTTCCTAATAGAATTTAGATCCAAATATAAAATTAATATAACTAATCAAAATTAAACTATCTTTCTTTTTCAAGCAATAAAATTTTCAAATAGATATTTATTTTCAATAATTTCCTATTTAGAATTAGATTAAACTTCATAATAAAATTTAAAACTTAAATAGAAAAATCACGTAACCAATCAAAAATTAAACCATCCTTATTTTTATATATTTATCATTAAATTTATAATCCAATAAACTTCCTATTTAGAATTAAATTAAACTTACTAATATAATTTAAATTCAAATAAAAAATTAATATAATCAATTAAAATTAAACTATTTTTAAAGCCTTTAATAATATTTTTAGGAAGATATTTTTTGCATTTTAATAGGTGAAGGAGCACTTGTATTATTGAAGGTCGCTATTTGCGGATTTTTTTGTGATGTAAGGTTTCCAAAATCATTAAAAAGGTACCACAGTAAATTGACTGTTATTGGAACAGCAAATCACAATTGCTAATTTAATTAAAATGACACAAGCACGAGAGTATAATCGATGCAATGATTTCATCATAAAACTACTTCTACCATCCTTTTCTTTTTAAAGCCTCTGATATATTTACAGAGTTTGCAGTATCATTCTCTTCAACTAGCTTAGCTTACTATGGCTTCTGTCGAACTCAATTTCGCTGTGGTTTTCTTCTTTTTGTTTCATCTTCTAATTCTTCCTAGAGCATTTAATGCAAGCTCCCTTAAGGGAAACCAATCTAAATGTGTGTTTGATGGAATTTACCAGTTAGGTGATTCAATATCAGACACAGGCAATTTGATTCAAGAGAACCCATCATCGTTGTTTGCTCAGTTTCCTTATGGCAAAACGTATTTCAAGAAGCCAACAGGGCGATGCTCAGATGGTTTGTTGATCGTTGATTATATTGGTAAGTTAGTTAATGTCTCTGTTTTTTCTTCACTTTATTTTATTTTTTAAAAAATTATTGATTATATGAGAATAAAGAAACTCAAGGTTTCTTGATCTTTGAACCATGGTAGTTCGGAGCGGGAGAAAGAAAAACAGAAGGACCCTGTAAGAAAAAACAAATGAAATATCCTTTTAAAAAAACTTCCCAAGAAAGCTGGAAAATGAGTTTTTGCTTTTATGTCTTTTTAAGATTTAGAAAACATGTTTAAGTTGTTTTCTACGGTTTTTGTTTATAACTTATTCGATTAGAAAAGAAAATTCTTTTTCTCTCTTTACTTAAATTATTTTTAGTTTTGGTCAAGGTCTATGGATAAGCATAAAATATTTGGTTTCTTTATTTTAATTTGCTTCATGCAATGATGATGATCACTGTGCACAGTGCTGATATGATCTTCACAACATTGTGATTCCTTTTGCTGGTCAAAAATTATGATTCATTAACAAAAAGGTGTAATCCAATTGAAAAGCACAATCAAATGAGATAAGGCCATGAAAGTTAAAGAAAAGGGAAATAATTGATGACCATTAATATACTTGACCATACTTGCTGCTAGCTTTTATTTGATAATTTTGTTAAATTTGCAAATTCTTACAGCACTTTCAACTGGTGTTCCTCTTCTTGATGCTTATAAAAATCCAAATGCTACATTCACCCGCGGTCGTGGAGTAAATTTTGCAGTTGCTGGTTCAACTGCTTTGCCTGTACCTGGTTCAATCACAAATAGTTCTCTAAGTACACAGCTAGACTGGATGTTCTCATATTTTAATGGAATATGTTTCGATCCTCAAGGTCAGTGTTAAATATATAAAAACAAGATAATATATATCCAAAAAGATTTCAAATAATTAACCGGTAATTACTGTGTTCACAGACTGTGCTAATAAACTTAAAGCATCTCTCTTCATTGTTGGAGAGATTGGAAGCAGTGACTATAACTACGCATTATTTCAAGGTAAAACCGTTGAGGAGGTAAAGGCAATGGTACCTGATGTTGTCCAAGCCATAAGCAACGCAATTAAGGTCTGTTCTTATTTAATAAAAACAATAATCTATACATGTATTTGTTTTAAAAGTCTTAAAAATTTTAAATCTTTTTTCCTTGCAGAGAGTAATTGAATATGGAGCTAGACGAGTTCTTGTTCCTGGACATTTTCCGATAGGCTGTTTACCAATCTATCTTACGGGATTCAAAACCAATGATACTACAGCTTATGATGAATTTCAATGTCTGAAAAAATTCAACAACCTTTCAATTTATCACAATCAAGTGCTCCAACAAACCATCGAAGGGTTGAAGAAAGAATACTCTAATATATCTATAGAATATGGGGATTACTATGGTTCATATCAATGGATTTTGACCCATGCTTCATCTCTTGGTAAGTAATATATTTGAATCGTATACGTAAAAGTAATTAAGAAATTTTGTTAAGCTTAATTAATTATTTTATAAGCAGGTTATGTAAAATCTTTACAAAAAGCTTGTTGCGGAGTTGGAGGCGATTATAATTTTAATCCACAGAAGATGTGTGGAGCTCGTGATGTAACAGCTTGTGCTGAACCGCAAAAATTCATCAGTTGGGATGGAATAAATTTGACACAAGAAGCATATAAGCATATTGCAATAAAGCTTATTCAAGACATGAAAATAAAGGGTCAATGTAGTTATTATTAATTATTGACTTAATTTAGCTTATTTTGAATAATAATAATAATAATAATAATAATTTTATTGGCAGATATTATCTTGCCAACTTTTTTCTATCATTATCATATTCAGATATGTGATGTGAGGCCCTAAGCTGTTTTGCCAGCAACAAACACTATTTATGTATTGGTCCAAATTTAGCAATTCATTGGTCTCTGTTAATTTAAATTATCACTTCCCTCAATATTGTAGAAGAAGAGAATTAAACCCTTTGAACAGAAATTGCGTGATTTAAGTTTCGTAATCTGAGTTTTGGCTCGCCTTTGTACCAAAAAAACAGAAATTAAGAAGATCGACTGAGGGGAAGTATGAAAATAGTTTTCTCCCTGCTTATAATTAATTTTATTTTACAACTTATTTCATATTCATGTAAAGCACAAGACCTCAAGGTTTGTCAATTTAATGCAATATATCAATTTGGAGATTCAATATCCGACACAGGCAATTCTATTATTGAATATCCTAGTGCATATCATGCACAACTTCCTTATGGCAAAAAAATGGGAAAAGCCACTGGAAGATCTTCTGATGGGCTATTAATAGTTGATTATCTTGGTGAGCCAATTGGAGTTTTCTTTTCAAGAAAATGAGCTAAAAAGCAATTAGATACTAAAATGGTGATATAATCATAATTTTTGCAGCACAATCAGCAGGTCTGCCATTGGTTGAACCATTTGAAAAACCAAATTCAACTTTCAGTCAAGGAGTTAATTTTGCAGTTGCTGGAGTTACTGCTTTGCCTATGGAAACTCTAGCAAATTTCAAAATCCCACCAAGAATCATAAATAGTTCTCTCAACATACAACTTCAATGGTTTGATAAATACTTGAAAACTATTTGCAATGAGACTAAAGGTTATATATACACACACATTTCGTTGAAACACATAGATTATACTTTCATTAATCATTAATATGTAGTTAGTAATTCATCAGTTTCATTTATCTCTTCCTAATAGATTGTCAAGAAAAATTGAAACCAGCTCTTTTTATGATGGGAGAAATTGGTGTTAATGATTATAATGCTGGGTTTTTCCAAAATAAAAGCATTGAGGAGGTAAAGAATGTCATGGTACCTCCAGTTGTGCAAGCCATTAAAGATGGTGTAAAAGTAAGTTAATGAAGTGCTAAATTTATATTCTGTTAAATAACTTTTTTCTCTTAGGCAAAAATTTATTAACTGTTCTTGTTTAATTAATTGGTTAAAGAAAGTCATAGATTATGGTGCTGTTAGAGTGGTTGTTCCTGGAATTTCTAAATTTGGTTGCACAGCAGCTTTGCTCACAGAACTTTCATCAAACACCTCAACTACATATGACACAATCTGTTGCTTAAAGGATTATGATGACTTCTTTGCAAACCATAATGATCGTCTCCAATTAGGACTTGAAGAACTGAGAAAGGAAAACCCTAATGTACATATTGTATATGGTGATCTTTTTAATGGACACCAATGGATTATAGATAATCATTCAAATCTTGGTAAGAATGTTGATTAATCTAATCTAATCATGATTAGTGAAACTTAATCATACATGTTGTAATAATTTTGTTTTTTCCATTTTGCGTAGGACTTAAAGTATTAAAAGAAACTTGCTGTGGAATGGGAGGTAAATATAATTTTACTCCTGGATTTAAGACCATGTGTGGAGCTCCTGGTGTCCCTGTTTGTGCAAATCCTGAAGAGCATGTTTTTTGGGATGAATGGCATTTTTCCCAGCAAGCCAATAAATATTTAACAGAGTGGCTTGTGAAAGATATTTTGCCAAAACTTCAATGCATAATGTAATAAAATTCTGTATGTATTTTTTTAATTACTCCGTTATTTTTATTTATTCACGAGTATTTAATATACCTATTGATGAAAGACTAATCTCGTTTTCAGGTTCAGAAAACTATCATTTCCTATATAGTTTTTATAAATTAAAAAACTTAATGAATTAGTTTAGAATGAATAGTGTTTTTTATATAAAAAATTTAGGTGCCAGCGTATTGAGGCGGTGAAAAACTACTAAAGATGGAGAATCATATCTACATAGGGACTCTCTCCCTGCTCTCCCCAAACCCAACAAAACTTCTCTAGAAACACTCCAATTCCCCCCGCCTCTCTCTCTCTCTCTCTCTCTTTCTCTTCCTCTGTTTAATCAAAAACTTGCGTCCAACACGCAACGCCAACGTGCAATTTCTGCCCCCACCATCATTTATCATCATCGTCATCGTTATCTTCCTCCTCTTCCAATCTTTCTTTCCTCTTCCCCTTCTTACCATTCAATCAATTCTTGGTCAAATACTATCACTTCACCCACCCTATTTATTTATTTATTTACTAAGTGTTCTGCCAGTTTGAAATTTCACCATTTTGATGAGATAAAACCACAGTTAACCTTTTCTTTTTTCTCCCTTCATGGGTAAATAAATTCTCCTTTTAGGTCAACTACTTAATTTCCATTTCCGTTATTTTGCCTTTACTTCAAGAATTTAAGATAATTAATAAATATTATAATTAAAAATGACTTACCTACGTATACAGACATCAAATTAAATCTATAAAATTAAGTTTATAAGATATTTAATGGAACTGAGGGTATTATTAATAATTCACTCTGAGAAAAAAAAAGAAATAAATTAGAAAAAAAATTATGGAGTAACAACTTTTCCAAACCACAATCGACTATTGATTTGGTCCATACACTATGTGTTGCCAAATAGAAAACCGAGAGAATTTTCTGGGTTCGAAGGCATTTTTTGGAGCTACAGTAGCAGTAATTTAGAATATAAAAAATAATAAAAAAGGGGTTTAGCTCTATTTGGCGGCAGAAAGCAACCCACAAACTGACCCAATATACACGTAACAACATATTGGCCGTAATCAATACAGTTGATCAAACCGGTAAGAATAAGATTCACTGCCCCTGTCTATCTGATTTATTGTGTGTCAAACTCAAGGTCAAATCTTATTTTCCTTCAAAATTCCAATCACCACTTTTCCTCTTCCACGTCATCTACACGCGATGTGAAATCTGGTTGTTTTCCCTGGTTAATTGGTTCGTGCAGTTCGCATACTCCATGCGTGAGTGATTGTAAATACAGGCTCCAGTTATTTAGAGTTTTTTTTTTTTTTTTTTTTTTTTCAACGTCTCTACACGCGGATGTGAAATCTGGTTGTTTTCTGGTTAAATTTGGTTCGTGCAGTTCGCATACTCCATGCGTGAGTGATTTGTAATACAGGCTCCGTTATTTGAAGTTTTTTTTTTTTTTTTTTTTTGAAATTTGATGATGCATTAACATCGGGCATGGCTTTTTCTACAGAGCAGCACTAGAAATGCGTTGTTAGATTGCTTTCTCTCTTATGGGTCTCTTTAAAGAATGCCCATTTCAAGACTCAATCTCTTTAAAGCACTTCTTTCTCTCTCCCTCTCTCTCTCTCTCTGTCTCTCTCTCCATCAAACGCTAGTATATAAATGCATGAGCAAGTCAGCTACTTTGCTCCTCCACTGTAAATACTGAAGAAGAAGAAGAAGAAGAAGAAGAAGAAGAAGAAAAGGGCATGCATGGGTGAGTAGCTCTTGCTGGAGAAGCAGGGCACGTGCAATCACTGTCGTTCTTTCTTGATCTTGACATTGCACGTGCTCCCCTTCTCCAACATGGGTTTCTCACCCTTCCTCCATCTCCTCCCTTTTCTCTAATGAACTAGGTTTATTATATTTCTTCTTATAGATATATATCTTACATTTATCATGTATTTTTGGGTTAATTTAGCTCTAAATACGGTTAGAACTGGTAAACTTGTAAGTGATATCCTTGTTTAGTTTTCTCATGCAAAATGGTTACTTTCTCTTTGGTAGGTATATAAATTATAAGATATGAGATATTACCTACTATTTGCAGTGGTGTGAAAACTTTACAGCAGTAAAAATGGCAAGTTGCGTTGTTTTTGAGAATGCTATTTTCCTTTTGAAAAGAAACCTTTGGTGGCAAGTGCATGGACTATTCAGGAGAAGATAAGAGAAGGTAGAGGTGGTACGGCCGGGCTACAGCAATTTCAAAAATTACAGTGCTCAAGGACCACAGCAGCTCCTTAACTCTTTGTATGGCTATACAAATATATATTAACATGTAGCTTGCTCAAATTTTTTATGAAAGTCAAATTCAGAAATATGATCTTCTCTTTAATATATTTCCAATTTTTTGAAGTGGAAATAAAAGATTTTGTAATGCATTTCAGTATTTACTAGACATTTATTAAATGTTAAATTTCTTGATTTATTTTTTATTTTTTATTTTTTTTTTTTTGGAAAAGACATTAATAAAGAGAACGGTCACAAAAACGTATATACACACACAAAAAAAAAAAAAAAAAAAAAAAAAAAAAAAAAACACAAAAACGTATATGACCAACACGTATGACAAAAAAAAAAAAAAATAAAAAAGAAAAAAAACAAAAGAAGCGACCATTTTTGTATAAACATCGATCACTTATTGACGAAAATGTTATGATAGAAACAGAATTATAGTTTTATTTTCTTACACTTGTTACCGGATAAGTATTTAGTTGGCGTATTGAAATTATGTCCATCTAATTAACCAATCGCGTAAGTTAGAATATTATGGTCGTAGCTGATTGCGAATCCCCTTAGTCATAGTTTCGCGCCCTTCAATTTTATTCTGCTTTCATTATTTCTTTTTTCAATTCTTTGTTGAAAAAAAAAAAAAAAAAAAAAAAAAAAAAAAAAAGAAGCGACCATTTTTTAAACAATGATCACTTATTGACGAAATGTATGATAAGAAAACAAATTATAGTTATTTTCTTACACTTGTACCGATAAGTATTTAGTTGCGTAATTGAAATTATGTCCATCTAATTAACAATCTGTAAGTAAGATATTTAAAATTGCGAATCCAAGTGATAGTTTCCCCCTTCAATTTATTTTGCTTTCAATTTATTCTTTTTTCAATTCTTTTTTTCTTTTGCCTTTATAGGAAAAGTATTATTTTTGTTGAGATTTTAAATTAAGAATCATTTCTCTTTTATTGTAATATCATTTTCAGTACTTGACAATTTTACGAAACTGATAGCTACTGCATATAATATAAAATTAGAACACACTTTTTTCTTATATTAGAGAAATGGCATGGATTGAATTTTCAAATTGATAAATTCAGATGATAGAAATAACTGTACTTGTCTAACATTTACCTCTGATATGCTTTGATCATGTATAATAACTGTGAGAAGAAAGCAAAGGCTGTCCCAAGTGGCAGGAGCAAGGATAGCAGAAATAGATGGCGTAAGTGTTGTAGATGAAGCTAGATTTGGCAGTCAAAAAAGAGATAAGCAAGTGTCAGTACTCTCCTTCACTTTGCCTTAGAAAGTGGGGGGTTTGTTTCTTTTCTTTAAGCAAAGCAATACTAGTACCAAGAGCCCTTTCTTCTTCCCCATTTTTGTCAGCACCAAACTTACAAGTTAAATTAAATTTAATTTTTTTTTTTATTGAATTAACACATTTTAGAGGTACGAGTTGGTATTAAAAACTAATTTTATGTAATATTTTATTAATTTGAACTAATTGAAAAAAGAATTCAACTGAATTTATGTTTGAAAATTAGAAAAACTTTGATAGGGCAATTGAGGTGTTGGAAATTGAAATGGGAATAGATAGATATAAGTAGAGAGAGGGGAGGGAGACAAGGACAGTGGTGAATTGAAGATCCTTAAAATGCAAGCAATGGTGAAGTGAAGATGACAGTGTATTGAGAGAAAGAAAGAGGTAAGGAAAGGAATATATCTGCGGGAGTGAAACTGTGGACACGCAATGCACGAATCTCTAGGACTTGAAAAACTTGCTTTCAATCCTATATATCATTATGTCATTTGCCAGAGTATATATACCTCATGTCTTCTTGATTACAAAACTCCCCTAAGCCATAATCATTTTCCAAGATTTGTTTTTCCGCAAAATTATTGTTAGTTGTACCGGTACCCATCGGTTTTTTCACCAGTAACATTTTATAATTCGTTTTTTTAAATTTTAAATATTAATATAAATACTGTGTTACTGAATACTTTAAATAATAAAATAATATTTTTGATTTGGTCAAAATATTGAATGCTATTAAAAAAAAAAAGCTGAATTGTGTAATTTTCCCTGTAATTAATAATTAATAAAATATGATTTTTTTATTGTGAAAACTGAAATGTGATAACAACTTTGGATGAAGGCTTGAAGGAAAATTTTCCGCCTTGCGTTATATTTGAAATTTGAAAACATGTCAGATTTTAAATGCTAGACACGGCTGGGTTCATAATGCACTCCGGGCCCGGGGTATGCTTAGCTGTAAAGACCTGATAAGGCTAGGCCCCTAATTTACAAAACAGGCCCACAAATTAGGTTCGCTAGTCGAAACGACGACCTCTTAAACCGTTTCGGCTGCGACGAAGCAATAACTCACTCTCACCCCCAACGTTCGTGCGGTCGTTGTTATTTTTCCCGGTCTCCGTCTCAGAAACAGGATAGCGAACTCTTAAGGTCAGCTTTTTTCTTTTCTTTCTATTAACACAATATAATAAATCTCGTTATAATTACGCGTCTTAACAAGTTACGATTTTTTTTAGTGTGCCACACCACTTGTTTGATGAAATGTTTGTTTTTTTTTTTAAAGTATAGGATTTTCTTTACTGTTAGCCGCTGAGAAAATGTGACAAAAACAAAGAAATTAATCATCTAGTTTTTCTTTGTCGATTATTGAGCTTCTTTCGAATGGACTTGATGCTATTAATGGATCCTGTTCATGATCACTCTAATATTGTTCTTTATGTAATTTGTTTCTATAAATGTTATTTGTCTCATTGTCTGATCAAAATGTGAATAATTAAGTGTCAGTGCTGTATATCTTTGTAAAGTGGATATTTCTTGATAAGATTGTTAAGCTGTCCTTTTGTCACTTTTATAGAGTTATGGCCTTTCTTTCCTTATCCTGTTTATGGAGGGATACAAGAGGGGAAAGAAAAATATCTTTAGAGATAATTATGGTTTGGATGATTATTAAAGTTATTAACTTTGCTTGATGAGTTTTCTGAGCTTGTACACAATATTTTAGACTCAAGTTGGCATTAAGATAAAAAGAAACTGCTAGCTGATAGTGCCCGAGTTGAATACTAAGTTTTTAACTCTTCTAATAGATTGTGATTGGAGACTGATAGTGCTTTTCTAATTTTATGTAGTCAACTTTCAGATAATGTGTATCCTTTAAATTTTTTAAACAGTGTAGCATATCACTTTCCTTGTAATCAGTTTTTGATACACAAACTTGTGTGTCTTTTTGCATACTTTCTTTTCGATTTAACAGAAAGCAATGTGTGAGAGACAGAAGGGAAGAGCCTCATCTGAATGACTAGTAAGTGAATAGATTTCCTAGCCAATTAAGCATGCATTGATTATTTGGTCCACTGTAAGCCTTGCTGTGATGGAGTGTTTAACTTCTAGTGCTATTCATCTTTGTTTTTGTGTGTTGATGTATTTTGGAGCATAGTACATCGCCTGTCCCACAAATGAGGTAAGTTTCATCTAAATATATATGTAATTAAGATACAATTGTTTCTTTAATCACACAGTTGCAACTTCCAATAATTATTATTTGAACACATTCCAGCATTTTCTATTTCCTATTCCAGATTTGGATTCCTCTCAGTCTGGCAATACTGTTTTTAATTGTGTTTTGTGTTTTAGTGCCCCTAAAGCCTAACTTAAGACTTTTAAGCCTAACTTAAGACTTGTACTTAAAACTATGTATGTATTAATATTATCCTGTTAATGTTTAGCTAATGCAAATGGGCAATTGAGGTGCTAGACCAATGGGGGACTGATAAAATGCATCTGCATGTAGGACAAAAAGGATGTGGAGAACTTTGGTTTGATACCAACATTTCTTTTTCACTTTATGGGCTTTCTGTAGTTTGAATCATTATGCACCTTTCCAAATGAGTTTAAAATATACCACTTGGACCATTGCATCTAGGCAAGTTTACGTAAAACTTAGTCGATTTCCTTTCCAATTTGAAATTTTTGGCATTTATCTGCAGTTAAGCTACGCAAGTAATTTTTTGGACGATAATATGTTTTACCAACTTCTTTGCATTTGATTAATACAGTTTGCCATTTTAATCATTGGCAGGCTGAATTTATTCATGAATTTCAATACTATATTCTTGATTCTACTGTTTTTAGTTTGCAGGCGGCAGAGATGGTTATTCCACCCCCAGTTAAGTGGCCACCTAGGGTTAGAGAATTTCTGAAACCTTATATTTTGAAGATGCACTTCACAAACAAGTATGTGAGCGCCCAAGTTATCCACTCGCCAACTGCTACAGTTTCATGTTCTGCAAGTTCACAAGAGAAGGCCCTGAGGTCAAGCATCGAAAACACTCGAGATGTAGCTACTGCTGCCAAAATTGGGAAAATATAGGGGGACAGACTCCTGCTCAAGAACATTCCTGCCATTTCTGTTTTCCTGAGAAGAGAACAGAAATATCACGGAAAAGTTAAAGCTGTCATAGATTCTGTTAGAGAATCTGGTGTCAAGCTTCTCTAAAATTGCCTAGGAAGGTATTACTGTTTTCACTATAGGTCCATTATGGTGTGTTTTAACTTTTTTAGGTATATGCAATGTACTTTCTAGAAGCTGCTATCCAATTTTAATAAACAAATGTTCTTCTTTAGGTCATTCATGGGCTGGAAGCCAGAAATTGAATACCTACTATACATAAGTTTAATATATATATATATATATATATTGCCAATGTACTTTCTAGGAAGCATGCTATTCAATTTTAAATAACAAATGTTTCTTCTTTAATGGTCATTCGATGGGCTGGAAGTCCAAGAAATTGAAATACCCCTACTAATAGGCATAAGTTAATTATATATAATATATATATATTTTTTTTTTTTGAGTTTTGAGGAAGTTCTGAAAGCCAGGCAGAAAATAGTATTAATGGAAAGAAAGAAAAAATTTTCAACTTTTTTTTTTTTTTGAGTTTTGGAAGTTCTAAAGCCAGGCAGAAAATAATTATTAATGGAAAGAAAAGAAAAAATTTCACTTTCTTGGATATTACACTTTTTTTTTATTAGTTAGTTGGTATAATAATTAGGTTTGCTTATGATAAATTAAACAAAGCAGTCTTTGACTTTTTTGGCTTATGTGATGGCGACAAGGAAAGGCTAATTTTACTACTCCCACCATGATATTAAATTGACAATTTTTTGTATTTCTCACTACAATTATAACAATAATTGAATTACTTTAATTTTTTAAAAAAAAAATAATCGATTAAATTATGCTTTAATTGATATTTATCAATAGAGATAATTTTATATAGATATTTAGACAAAGATAAAGTTGAATAAAATAATTAATGCTATTTTGACTTTTTATGAGTGTCCTCTAAATGAAAAAAAAAAAAAGAGTCAAAAATTGTAAAATTTAACGCAAAAGAAGCAGTTTTGTAATATTAATTTTAGTCCAATCAGTTTTTCTACACCAAGACTAAATCTTGCACCCGATCATTCATCTAGGTTTGGCATATTTCTCAGCAAAATCGAATATTTACAGTATATAATTTTCTTACTTTTTTTTTTTTTACAATTGTATATATAATTTTAGATGTGATAATTTTTAAATTATTTTTATGTTAAGCAAATTATTCTTTTATTATGATTATACGACGTAATTTATTTAATACAGATTATTAATCTAAAAATTCTCATATAATTTTTAATTAAAAATTTCGATTCAATTTCGTTTTTTTTACTGTTGAGCCTTAATTTTACTATCTTCCCTGATCGACACAAATGAAAACCTTGATAGTTACTCATCAATAACAATACTAAAAATAGTAAAACACGGCACTTAAAAGCAGGTGGGGTCACGTTCCTATAGTGTAGCTTTTGACTGTGAAGTGAAGTGAAGTGATCTTCTTCTTTGGCTGGAGAAAACACCTTAACAATATCCCCTTTCATTGACTATGCGATTTCTCACGATATTTAACTTTATTTTAGAAGCGCTTAGGAGATAATTACCGTGGCTTTGTAATTTTATTTCGGCTAATTAGATTTTTTTATGAATAAAAAAATATAATTATTTATTTCTATTCTTATTCAATTAAATAATTATAATTGTAATATCATTTGATATATTATTCCGTGGAAAAAAAATTAAAAACGATTTATTTTTTCCTGAGAAAAGAACATTTCATAAGGTTCTGATTTACTAATTTCTCCTAAAGTTGTAAGTTATAAAAAAAAAAAAAAAAAAAAAAAAAAACAAGGTTGTAAAAGCAGTCTATAAAAAAAAAAAAAAATAAAAAGAAAAAAAAGCTGGAATGACGCATGCTGGCACTCGTACTACAGAAAATGTTTCTTTGTTTTACGAAATAAAATCCGACAAATTGAAAATATCAAATAACGGCGGCCAGGTTTCAGAAAAAAAAAAAAAAAAAAAAAAAAAAAGCTGAAATTGACGCATGCTGGCACTCGGTACTACAGAAATGTTTCTTTTTACGATAAAATCCGACAAATTGAAAATATCAAAAGGCGGCCAGGGTTTCAGACTCGGTCAATCTTGTAATACCTTTGCAACATCAAGCCCATTTTGTAATCATTTGATAAAGTTCGGGGCATTTTAGTACTTACATAAAAAACTTCAATATTCACCTATCACGTGACAGGCTCTCTTCAATCTTTTAACTGCCACGTGCTATTTTTCTCTTTCGATCTCACGGCCTGTTGGACCCGACATTTCACATCGATCTTATCCCAATATACATGGTCATCGATCCACTTGTCACGTCACTACAAATCACCAGATCTCGATCAACGGACCAGATATACAGTTCACAAGACACTTGTTCGACCTTTAACGCCTCAGTCTTCGTTAAATAACTTCACCGCCCCCCGTTCGCTTCCTGTATGCTGGATATTGAGGTTTTAAACTGTGTTTGTCATCTGCAAATCAGTAGCAGATTACGCCATCGCGCCATGGGCCTTCTAGACCAGCTGTGGGATGACACCGTGGCGGGGCCTCCACCAGACAACGGCCTCGGAAAGCTCAGGAAGCATTCCACCTTCAGTTTCCGGTCAAGTTCCGCCAAGGGTATGCAAGCTTTTTTGCTTCCTTATACCCATGGCGCATATTAGCGGATGATATTCGGAACGTTGAATCTACAAAGAAGAAAAATTGTATAGAACTATTCATTAAAATCAATAAACTTGAACTAACCTTAATTGGATGGATCAGGTTCATCGAGCTTGAAATATTCCTTTGAGGATTTCTTCCGTAACCCATTAACTTCTCATAAACAATAGCTGCGACTAATTTTTGGTTGATTATTATTTTAAATCTGATTGTTTTAGTTAATATCTGATATTACCAGATCGCATGCAAAGCAATGTAAATGGATCATTTTGATCAAAACGGCGTACGATTTGTCTGTCTCTCGATCGTCAGCCTAGATTCTAACTTTTCCTTTCGTTGTGGACCAGAATCCGATGGTCGAAACACGAGATCTTACACTGACGATGCACCTGAGGAGGTGACCAAAGTTACGCGCAGTATCATGATAGTAAAACCACCTGGTTACCAGAACGGTTCTCCTCCGGTTTCACCGGCCGGCTCTACTCCTCCGGTATCTCCTTTCTCTGGTAAGCTTTGTCCTCGTTCTTATCGAATGACAAATATGTCCCTGTCTTTTCACTTAGCAGTAGGTCAGTATTCAGTAACAGCCAAAGATGGCCTCTCCAGAGAAACTGGATCATGGGGTCATCTAGAAAATTCATGAATTAGGTTGGTTGGGTGGTAATTTTGTCATTAAAGATATTTGTCTCTGTATGGTCAAGTGGATAATGACAATTCAATTTAGGTGTGTATTATTGGTTCAGATAATAAATTTTCCGCTCGCTGTTGACGTAAGTTAACCAACTCAGGTTAGCCTTACTTACCAGCCAAGCGCGGTTACTTGCAATTAACTCATGAATTGCTGTTGCCCTACTGGATACGGAGTCTCACTGCCACTCACTGATAGCTCAAATTAAATCCGGCCACGCGTCGGTACAAGTGCTTGCTTTTTTGTGGTGGTGGTCATTTCATATACATATGCTTAATTGTTGCTGTGAAGAGCTCACTCCCTCTTGTAGTTATGTGAATCCAGGAGAGTACCCAGCATTTTGTTTTGTGCTGAATTGCCATAAGATAATTCCGATCGAACTGTTATATGTATGTATGATGTGCTGGAGGTGTAAACCAGCTGAGCCGAGCTCAAACTTGCCAGTATTCAAACGTTGGCCTGATAGAATTTAGCCAGGATCTGTCAGGCACACACACACACAGATATATATATCTATATATGGGATATACATAAGAAGCTATGTTTTTGTTTTTTCAGGTTAATTAGGTTCAATTAGATTGAAACTCGCGGTTTAATTTATATGGCGATATGATTCTGTTAAAATTGAAAGCCAAGTTTTGTTTATTTCATGGTTGGTTTGATTTTGTGTCAATATGCTAAAATGAAATTCTAATTCTTTTGGAATTGGGATGATGATAAATGTTATTAACTATGCAATATTTGTGGTGTTGAAGGAGGCAGAGAGTCGTTTCGGTTTCGAAGAAGGTCGACGTCGGATGCATACGAAAAGGCAAGCGAGGTTGGACCCAGGAGTCCTCCTCCTCCTTACGACGTGTGAAATATGAGACTGGATCTGATCCATCTTTAGCCGGCTATTGTAATGTTTCAGCTGTAGGAAGACATGTTTTGGATGGTAGTGCAGTAATGCGTGCCTAGACAGCACGTCCGTTTGTGTGTTTTCTGGTGTAGACATTCCATGTTTCGGATCTGTAGCTCTAGCGATGATGATCTTTGAGATGGGTATGTAGTTATATGGTATCTGTAAATAGCTTTTCTGTTGTTAGTTGTTTTCTGTTATATATGGTTTCTTATGCTTTTCGCCTTATCGTTTATATATATTATATGGGTAGCTGAAATATTGAAGTCGAGTATGGTGTTTGCTAAAGAAAAAACAAGAGGGTCTGATTTAAAGAATCTGGATGGGGTTGGTATGATGGAGTTATGGTTGGTGGGCTCTCAATTTCATTTTTTCGTAAAAGTTTTTGAAATTTGAGACCAAGATGGGAATTGGGTTGAATTTTGCGCCATACTGTGATTGTTCTTTTTGGTTGCCAAGGTTTTAAAAATGCTCCAATTCCAAAAATATACTAGTAAATCTGTAATATTGAGTGCGACGTTTAACACTTCTGTTTCATCTGTTTTTATTTGTTTTTCCTCACCTAATTAGCGTCATTTAATAATAATGATAATACAGGAATTAAAAAATTGTTATTTGGTCACAAAAATAACACTATAGATAGTGTTATAACTTTCCAAATAGTATTTTGAATCATCTACTCCAATTGTGATAAATTTTTGGAATATTAGGTAAAAATTTATCGTAAAACATATGAATAAGAATTACGAAAAAAAAAAAGGAGAAAATATTACCTCTGTGCTTCCTCCATCTGTCAAGTTCTCAGACTTCCATGTTTAGATAATGGATCGCTCGAAGCTTACAGTAAGCTGGACATGTGCTTTGGTTCATTAATTTTATGGATGCCGAATATTTGAGGTACTATATAGTACAATCTTGTTTTCTAGTTTATTAGAGATGGAGATTGTACCATTTTGCATTGTTCATGGTACGCAATCAAACCCAATAATTGTACCCAATTTATTAGGGATTGGAAAAGAATTGGGACTTTATAACATTATTATAATATTTTGTGTAGCTTTTTACTAACATAGAATCTATATAATATTTCAAATTAGTTGAATTGGAATAGAGATAAAATTGATATAATTCAATTAAAATAGAAAAATAATAGGAACCAAAGAATTAAAGAATAAAACTTCTAATCCATTTCGATTCAATTTGATTCATCGAACTTTTAATTTTGATTTTATTTTTTTAAAAATAAAAAAAGACTTCAATTTAATTTTACTTTCTTTAAGAAATTGAATTGAACCACACTACGCTCATCTCTAATAGTTCCATGTTTGGCTATGGATATTATATAAAGTTGAACAAATGAAATTTTATATTATATAAGCAATAATACAATTCAAATATATTGACGAAAAACAACTATATAAGAATAATTAATTTTTGTATAAAAATAATCTTTATTTATAAAATTTGCCTTTTGTTTTCGAATTATATGTTACTTCCCTTTTCTTTTCAATTTGAAAGCGGCAGAAGAAAAAATTGATTGGAAAAAAAAATTGGTAGAAGAAGAAAAATGACAAGTGCCTAGAAGAAGGTTTGCCTTGTTCATGAATGAATCGAAACTCTGGATTGGGCTTTCAATTAGGGAGTTTTTGCATGGGCGGAGGGCCTAAGCCCAATCTAATATCTTAATCAAGTCCAACCCGTCGGATCCATTCAGAGTCATTAGTCAATCGGGTAACCCGTCGGATTCATTCAAGTTCGTCTCGTTAAACTGAACTTGAATGTATCAGTTATAGTGGCAGATGGAGTTGGCAGCTTTACCCAACAAGAAGGCTTAGAAAATACTAAAATGAAAACAAGGGTTTTTGGGTTTTTGATTTTGCTGTTCCTTTTTCATTTGCAAATCTGGTTTTCTTATGGTAAAGGTTCTTTCTTTCCATTTCTCTGTTAGGGCTACTCAATGGTTTTCAATTTGACCACTCGCCTACTCCTTTTTGTTCCCTGCGTTTATTTTTGTTGAACCCAATTCTACTTTATTGAAATTAGTGAGGAAATTCATGTTACTGGTTAGGAAGACAGATATTTTGTCGTGTTCTGGTCTGTGTATCAGAATTATAAATTTAATGATATTTCTGAATTTATCTACTGTTTTTTTCACTATTTCTTTTCCCTCTTGATGCTTAGTTTTGCTGAAAGTTTAAAATTTTTTAGGGTTCTTTTGTATGTAATTGGTTGAACATACAAGGAAAGTGAAAATTGAGATGACATGCAATTTTCTGTCTGCTGCTTTGGCTTCGGTTAAGCTTCCTTGCGATCACATATCATATCCCAAATTCTATGCACAAATTAGAAATTTGGAATTTTGGATAGAATAAACTCGCCAAGTAAATTAATCTTTCTGAATCAGCAACGTTTGCTGATTTGCAGTCCCTTCTAATTTTTGTTATTTTTTATTGTTTATGCTGTATTCTCTTTGCATAGGTTTGTGTCCTAAGTACTAATGCTTCGTTAGCAGTAGCTTGTAACCAAGTTGGTATTCCAATTGCTGTATAATGTTGAATCTTATGCGTGAATAACTTGTGATGGTAACGTAATTGAGTCAGTAATTTTTTGTTCTTCAAGTTTTAAGAGCCAATTCCTCAGGTGCCAACGACTATTGTGATAAATTTATATTTGTTCTATGGAGTATCAGCTTACTTGTCTCTTTGGAAATATCCTATTTATGCATCCATCATACTAAGAGCATCATATTAAACCCCTGCCTTTTGTCTTTGCAGGAAAACTTAGTGGGGTTTGTGTTTCCAAAGGTGGTCGGTTTCCACCCTTCTCATCTGAAGGGAAACCTCCAAAAAAGGTAAGCAGGGGTTCCAAAGATTTAACTCTTTGCAGGGTGTTTCGCAGAAAGACTTGCTGTGATGTAGCTCAGACGTATCCTGCTTTGCTGTCCATTAGGAGACTTGCTTCAACTGGGGAGGCCAGCCAAGAGTGCTTGCACTTATGGGAATTGCTGGAATGTTCCATTTGTGATCCCCAGATTGGTGTTCAGCCTGGACCTCCTCTTATATGCTCTTCTTTTTGTGACAGAGTCTATCAAGCTTGCGCTAATGCCTACTTCTCTATGGACTCAAACAAACAGGTGGGTGCTCAATTGCTTGGCTTCTATATTGGGAAATTCATCAAGAGTTATGCATATACTCTGCTAAATACTTTCTGATGCATAATGGTCTAGGATCTCTTTCTTAGTTTTTGTATTTATTTGTGTTTCACTGTCAGTTATTTGAAATGAAATTTACTATTCATGACAGAATCTATCAAGCTTACACTAGTGAACTTTATGGTTAAGGTCTGAGTTCTTCTGAGTTCAATTAATGAGTGCGAGGAAATATAGTTGGCCAGATTTAAAATTCTATTTTCCCATTTTTCAATGCTTGGCATAAATCAGTATCCTGAATAGGTTTACCTGTCAGGTTCTAGCACCATGCGGAGTAAATGACTATGTTTGTGGGAAGGCTGCTGAATGGGTCTCCAATGGCACAGAGCTCTGTCGCACTGCCGGTTTTGCTGTTAAATTGTCTGATTATGTGCATATTGACACAGAAGAAGCATCTTGCTATGGTGGTAAAGCCAGCCTTGATTCTATTGCTGAATCATGGAAGGCTTCGCATTCCGAGTTGCCTCAGAAACCTGGAAACTTAGGGATTTTGGAAGATTTCCAGCAGTGGGTGCAGGAAATGCCTTTTAGTGAAAAGGTTTCTTGGGCAGTAGGAGGGATGGTTCTTACTGCAGGGTTGTTGTTTTTAAGGTTGGAATACTTTTTGTTTGCTTTCTACATGTTATCAGAATTTCATATGTGTTCATTGGCTCCTTTTCTTTTTTTTATTAAGTTTGTTAAATGTTAATCCTTAAAGAGTATCCAAAAAATTAGAAATATTCTTCAAAGCACCTTCTATATATCTAGCACTAATGGATCCAGGTGGTTTAATTAGGATTTTTGCTCTAATTTTTCAATGAAATTTGTCCACCAGAGTGCTGCATTAGTTTCTTGACAGTTTATACCTGTATCAAACTTCAATGCTCAAAATTGTGTTGAAATTTGTCTGGAAAATGAAAGATTTGGTGAGACTAGTGGCAGCTTTTGTTATCTGACAATGAGGGCCACTAGCCTCTAGGAGCTCAGGGAATCATTATCCTTCTCAATCACTGAGAAAAGTTGATCCCAGCTATTGAATGATAGAATCTGGTGACAGGTTCATCATAGCATAGCAATCTGGTGGTAGAATGGGGCTAAACTAGTTTCTATGCCTAAAGTTGAAGATCAGAATAGGTGACTCCTTTCCTCTTTCCCTGTGAGCAAGAAATAGGATGCCAGATGCCAATTTTGTTTCCTTATGAAGTCAAGTCATTAAGTTGGAGAAGGCAATACATTGTTGGTAGAATATATCAGTAATGGTTTACATACATTTATCTTAAAGGACTTCTCTTCATAGTTTGTTATTCTGTTTTAACTTTTTGGTGGTCTAATTGTTCAAAAGGGATGCTTAATGAGATAATATTTCATATTGATATATTTGATGACAATGCAGCAGAAGGAAGAGTTACAGCCAGCGCCAGAGGCTAGCTGCTATACAACGAACAGCAAGGAAACTGGAAGGCAAGGGCAATGAGAAATCCCCCAATATTCAAGGGAATAGGAAAGGAAACCGAAGATGAATGCCCTGAACATAAGCTTGATAATGTGTTAGTATAAAGGTGAATGATAAAACTGCCACAAGGATTTGAAATAGTTTATTATTCTTTCCATTTTCTTCTCTATTGAAGAAAACTAGATTTATTAGTTTATTCAAGTAGTCGGAGTCAGTTTCAATTATCAAAATTTTCCTCCTCTCTTACATGTTTTGCAGCTCCAGTTCAAAATGGGCAGCTCTCATATCTAGGCAGTGTCTGACAAATTTCTCTAATGCTGGATTTTGTTTGCCCTCAGTCAGCCTATGCTTATTGACATGGAAAAGAGAAAGAAAGGGTTGTGTGCATTAAATTGTTTGTACAATTACTCTTATGTCAAACTTAATAGCATTTCGAATCAAGGAATTTTCTTGATTTGATATAAAGGAGATCTTAACCTCCCTTTTGAATAATTTGCATAGTTTGTTTAATTACACAACTTTTTCCAATGCTACTTAAAGTTTTAATTTTTCATGTAAAGTTTTGTTACGGTTGCAATCCTTAGATGTTTGTTTGGACTCATCGTCACTGTTTAAGTAAGCAATTTTGTTTCATTTATAATTTTTCTTTCGAGTCTCAACCACATCCTAGTTGCTCTGAATGATTAAAAAAAATGGAACAATAACATTATTTATATATTTTGAGTGAAAAAACTTGAATCAAAAGCAAGTTGCTTGAAAGGTACAATCTGATACAATCCATGCTGGCTGTAAGGAATTATATTTGATGGGTAATATGTGAACAAGAGGGTGAAATGAGCAAACCACAGTTGGTACTGTTACAAACTCAACAAAAAATCAAAGCAGACTATTCTCTCTCTGTAGATTGCAAATGCTAATCAGTGGAATAAGGATGTTATCAAACGGTGTTAAATTTGAACTTTTCAGCTCCACGCCAGAAGATACAGTTGATCTACAGAATTTCTCTCTAGTAATCTGCATTGAAAATTGAATCATCTGCTATATTTCAAACAGGAAAAAAGCATTTCTTATCTTGTAAGACTGCACAGTAACTGAGTAGCATGAGGGAGCTTGCTCTATCTCCTATCAAAAACCGATGAATCTCCAAATGCACTTGTCCTATATTTTAGGAGGCTGTTTACACCAAGACAAGAAAAAGGTCAGATGGTTTCTACTATTGTAGCCTCGTAAAGGGAGGAACGGTCAGCAATCCTATATTAAACAAGTTTAAAGGAAAAAAAAAATGTTATATAGATTTCTGGATAACCTTCTTAAGGGGCAACTTAGAAGTGCTTGCTGATGGAGGTGGCTTCAATATCTCAAAGGAACATACTAGAGCTTCATCGACACTCAATAAGGCACCTGCATTGTCAAACTCCCCTCCATAGTTTGGAGCTGAAAATATTGTGACTAATTTTCGATTAGCAAAAAATTCATATCCATCCTCTACCACCTGCCACATAACAAAAAAATCTTAATCCGGAATGCTGGATTCATAATTATTATTATGTTCCTGATTCTACATGTATTGTACTTGAAGTTTTTCTGGTTGTCTATCACATGCAAAAGGATTGCAGTGGGTCCTAATTACCAGCCACTATTGATAGAAGGGAACATCAGTCACAATATTTTTTATGGTTTAGTAAGGTAAAGGGTTATTACAATTTGGTACATTTTCACTTTTGAAAACTCTATCATAGATGAATCTTTTATTAGATTGAAAGATAATCTTCCTAAATTAGAAAATTTAATCAATAGAAAGCAAAATCATAGGAGGGGTCCCCCCATAGTGGGTGGTTTCAGATCATCTACTGGATCCATTTTGTCAGAGATATCTCCCATCATGATCTAAAACATTCCACCTGTAAGGCCTCCTTGGAGTACCATCATACTCTAAATCTAAGAGATTCTAACAGGGAATTGAAAGGAAAAAAGAAAACTGCATGGATGCTAAGAATATGTTCTATTTACTGAAGTTGAAATACAACGATGCATGTCTAATTCTCAGTATCCTCGCTTAAAAAGAATTGGATTACCTGATGCCCTCGGCAAATGAGATCAAGGTCATTCTTATCCAAAAATTCGGCAACCCGATCAGCTCCAAAGGTACATGAAACACCACGATCGCTATCTGACCAGCCCTCAATTTTGCCATCAGGATCAGACCAAAGCAGATCACAAAGAAGACCACTATCAGGAATTTCAGTAGGCCTCTGAATATCCTTTATTTGGTTCACGTTCTCCAACTCAGGGGAGAGGCCGCCATGCATGCACAGTATCTTCTCATCAATTAGTGCAGCCACAGGCAAGCAATTAAAGCAGTCAGTAAATATTTTCCAAAGCCTAACATTGAATCTCCTTTTACACTCATCATAAAATCCATATATCCGATTGATCTTTGCATCCTCATGATTTCCCCTCAAGAGAAAAACTTTGTCAGGATATCTGATTTTATAGGCCAAAAGCAGACATATAGTCTCCAAACTTTGCTTCCCTCGATCAACATAGTCTCCAAGAAAGAGGTAGTTGCAAGAAGGAGGGTAGCCACCATACTCAAATAGCCTCAGTAGGTCTTGATATTGTCCATGTATATCACCTGTAACGAGCCAGTAATATCAGCGATAGGGTCACACACGGTCTAAGGAGATAAACAGATAAATATGCTACTACTTTCTCTCTCCTTTTCCTTTTAGCACATTAAGTACGGTTTGTCCCTGTTGGCTTGCACAAAGAACAGTGAGATTCATATCAAACTAATAAAGAAGTAATTTCCTTGAAAATAAGAGATAAATAATCTAAATTCTTCAACAATGAAAATATTTTTTTGAGAAACAGAGAATAGCTCGGAAAAAGACAAGTTCTTTATTTTGCTTCAAATGCATATTGTTATCTATATACTTAATGTGTTATCTAATTACCTTACTTTCCTTTTGCATTTTTGAATCTGTTCAATAATGGCATCTTTTTTGAGGGAAAAAGAATGAGGCTCAACAATAATAGGCATTCTCTGGCCATTGTTGGCTCTACGCATTTGCTTCCACAAAAGCAAATCCAGATTAGGGAGAAAAAGAAAAGAGAGAGATACATTGGTCATTATCAAGTACTAAATATGATTACCAACCAATCTTGCCCATCAAATTATCAATTATCAAACAGTACACAGTTACCGATATATCAACCGTTTCACCAACAACTACCATCAAAATCACAATCCCATCCACAATCAAATTGCAATTGCAAGATCATTAAATAGGCATCTTGCCTAGCAATATCCAATGCTTCCAATGAACAATTCAAAAAATCTAGATTAAAATTCTCATGTTCTTTAATCCTTATCAAGCAAACTTAAAAAGAAAAATCCCCAAATAGTTAACGATAACATTATAGAAGAAAAGAAAAGAGAGTGCTAACCACAAACGCGAACCGGAGCTTTTATCTGAAGCAGATTAGGTTGAGAGAGAAAGATTTGGCGTGCGTTAACACACAATTGCCGGATCTCTCCTTCAGATAGCTGCACCTGTTTGCCTCCTTTCCCTTCCAATAGCCTCCTAATAATATCATCCAAGACTCCCTTATCCATCATCCCTTCCATTGTCATCATCATCATCTTAATCTCCAAATCCAAAAAGATTAATTGCTAATGAGGAAAAAGAAAGAGAGAGAAAGATTCTTCGCAACAGAGAAACCCAGAAATAATTGTGCAAAAAAACTGAGAAATAACGAATCAATTGAAGAATTTGTACAGAAAGAGAAAAGGGTATGTGCTAAATTGATTAAAAACCCAAGAAAAACAAAAGAAAAGTGGAAAAAAAATGTTTGAAGAAGAAAAGCTCAGAATTTATAGTTGGAAATTTGAGATACAACAGAAAGAGAGGATGATCCGATGGAGAAGAGAGAGATATGGATCAAGAGAAGAGAAAAAAATAATGGATATGGCTTGTCATTTCCTTTATGAATCTTTCTCTCTCTAAGGTCTATATTCTATTCTCTCTAAAAACAACAAATCTTATTTTTTTGCCTTTTCTTTCTTTTTGTTTTTTTTTTTTTTAAGCGCCACCAACTGCCAAGAAGATTCAATTTGGCAGGTTGAAACCTTCAAACGTAAGGTACAGACAGAGAGAGTGCTAAAGTGCTGAAGGAGTAGAGAGTATAAAACCGCGTATTTTGAAAAGTCAGTTAATACGTGTACTGCAACTGATTTATTGCAATATATACCTGTCATCCTTATCATATTTTACTTTTTTGCTGAAAGCCAAACATAATATGCCACGTCAACATTTCTGAACCTTGATGCTACGCCACGTTTTTGCTTATTTTAGCACTGTAGTGGTGACATGAAACCAAATATTTCTCTCCTGTGATGGTTTTATTTGCATTTTCTAAATTCCTTTCCTTGTGTCAACGGTCCGTTCCATTTATTTGTTATATGTCTCAAAATATTTATAAATTTTTTAAATTTATATATATAAATAATTAATTTTTTCATAATAATCTTTATAATTATTCATTAAATTATTTGCATTTCTAAAATTTCCTTTCCTTGTGTCACGGTCCGTTCCATTTATTTGTTATATGTCTCAAAATATTTTATAAAATTTTTAAAATTCTATATTATATAAATAATTTAATTTTTTCATATATTTATAAATTTTTTAAATTTATATATATAAATAATTAATTTTTTCATAATAATCTTTATAATTATTCATTAAATGAAAATTTTTTATTAATATCTTAATGAGTTATTAAGAGTAAAGAAAGGTAAAGTAATTTTTATTGACTAAATTCTCAATACGCGTGTTTTATCAAATCATGCAAATAAAGTGGGACGGAGATAATATTATTTATGGTCAAACATTCATTATCATTTTTATTTTTTATCCGGATCACTCGTAAACTACTCGAGGCTTGACAGAAAAAAAAAATACATTCAATTTTATTTGATAAATTTAACAAATCAAACTCTAAGTATATTTCTACAATTCATTTAATAAGTGAGCTTAGCCCGAACCTCGAAATGAGGCCTGAGAGTTGGACTGTGAATATTTGCTATCAAGCTAATAAGCCTGTAAACAAGCTCCAATTCAAATCTCCAATCAGTAAAAGCTCACCTTCGCATAAAAGACTTCAAAGAAATTATGCTTCTGCTGCTTTGGGCCGGGCCTGATTAACTTTGGGCCGTAGTAAAATAGAATGTCAATTGTCGTGGAGATAATTATTTGGTTAAAAGATGTGTCGTTTGAGCTTACTTGAGTTTGCCCTTACTTTTTGTATGTTAAATGGGTTTGTTTGGCCCATCTACCTTTTATGGAAGGAAATTTCCACCCATTTTCAGTCTCAACAGCCATTATTGCACCTATTATGTCTGTTGCGTGCAACCAGACAGACACAACAGGCACTGAAAAATTACCCCTCGCACTAAGTAACCATAGAAGCTTCTGATTCTCACTCCGCTCATCAATTTGCTGTAGTTGTTTTGAAATATATAGATAAGTACAGAGATTGAAAATTGAAGTTGCAGCAGATGATCTTTTTGGATTGTCCCACATTCTCTTCAAGGCTTCAAGCATTAAACAGGGGTTCAACTATAAACCCTTCAAATGGAAAGCAAAAAAGAAAACAGAATTCCTTTTGCTTAAAGAAAAAAGATAAATCACAGATGAACAGAATCCAAATTATGCACATTTTAGACCATTGATAAGAACAGTAAAAAAAAAAAAAAAAAAAAATTAGTTTTAAAAAAAAAAAAAAAAAAAAATTCAGTATATTTGGGTTTCCACAATGGGTTTTATTAACCTGATTTGGTTAATATGAAGAAATGCATGAATCTAGGGGAACCCAATGAACATTAGTTTCTTGCTTTTGATTTGGCCAATAATAGTAAATACTCAATACAGCAAAAAAAAAAAAAAAAAAAAAATTCAGTATATTTGGGTTCCACAATGGGTTTTTATTAACCTTGATTTGGTTAATAGAAGAAATGCATGATCTAGGGAACCCAATGAACATTAGTTTCTGCTTTGATTTGGCCAATAATAGTAAATACTCAATACAGCTAATCTCAGGACAACTTGATCAAAGGCTTCATTTTTTTAGTCACAGGCACAGGTCAGAATTTTTCATTTCAGTAATAGAATAATGTTGGAGACACAAATTAAAGGCAATCAAACAAACAAACACAACCCAATTCAAGTAATTACCAATCAAACAACAATCAAAATTAAAACAAAAAAATCCAACTTGCCTATAAGGAAGATACAAAACGATTTGATCTAAATTTGGGAACTACACTCCTTTGATCTCCACAATTCAAGCCGCACCCACATTGAGGACACTCCTCAAAATTATCAATAGGAAATCCAGCACCAGCAATTCCAACAGAAAATTGAAGATCATCTCCATTTCTTGAAACCTCAACAATATCAACCCACATAAACAACAATTTTACACTAACACCTCCTAAGCTTGCGAGTTTCCCTCTGGATATGTAACCTTTGATGGTTGACTTATACCTAAGCTGATAAGATCCTTCAAGAGAAAAACTACAAGTACCATTAAAGAATGCAGAAAATTTACCCGTTGTAGAGTCAAGATCATATCCAATTGCTCCTCTAGGAAGCAACCCAACTGGGAGATTGTAGCTACTGAGAATTTCATAGGGTGTTGGACGGTTTTGAGATTTGGTCACTTTTGATGATGAAAATATGAGAATCAGACAAATAATTGCAGATAGAGATTTGTAGCTTTTGGAGTAGATCAGTAAAGACATTTCTCTTTGCGTTTTTGATTCTTTTTATTTTTCTTTTATTTCTGTTTTTCTGTATGTGGTCTGAGATTCTGTATATTTGCAATAGCAGAGAAGAAAAGAAAATTGGTAGGTAGTTGAGCTTGCAGTTGTTGAAGCACAGGTAAGGAAGACTCTTCGCTAGTTAAATCTTATGTTGGGCTTAGGCAAATTAAATGGGCTTAGGCTATAATATATTATTACTGTTATTTTGGGCTTTGATTGTTTGTTGGCAGAAACGCATGGGCTGGCTCAGGGGTAATTAGTAGGTAATTAAAGTTATTAATTACCAAATAAACTTGAGTAATTCACGACTTTAATTTGGTAATTTTGTAAAATGGCATGTTCATGTCAAGAGTTATTCTATTCCAAAGGGTAATCATGGTAAATAATTTGAATGTTTGGACTGTAGATTATTATTATTCGCTATCTATACAAAATTATTCAAATAAAATAATATCAACTCTACAATGTACGTCTCACACTCTTTTTAGACTATTCTGATTTGATTAAATAGATGGCTTAATCTAATTTAACATCACTTTCCTTTTTTTTTTCCCCCTAAATCAAACTCACAATGTATATATTTCATTTTATTCTGCTTAGCCTAAATCAATAGGTTATGAAAACAAATCCATTTTATTATTTTTATGAAAAAAAAAATGATTAGTTTATAAATAAATTTTAAATTAAATTAAATTATATTTTATAAATTTAATATTCTGATCAAAAGATAGTGAATCAAAACAAGTGGTGCATCAACATAAATTATAAACGCTAGGAGTTGGATCAAATCACACCAAATTGGCAGATTGCAAGTAGGTAAATTTTATAAAATAAAATTGAAAGCGATCCCATTGCCGAAATAATGGATGGCGACTCAAAAATGTTTTATAAGATCGATTTATCGACCTCGTATCCAATGAAATATTTTTGTCACCACTGTTCAAAATAAGATCATTTTCCAAATCAAAAGCAAAAAGAAACGTTTTTCGAATCGCTCGGGGCGGTACAAAAACAACTGGGTACACTCTGATTCTTGTCTCTCTTCTGCTGAGACCGTTAATTTTTGGCATAATAAATATAAAAATAAATTAATTTCTTAATGACTTCAGTTTCAGATTGTGATAGCGAAGAAAAGGACAAAGCAGACAGGTAAGCAAGCATATATTAGTACAATACAAAGCAAATGGTATAAAGAATTGGTTCCAAATTCTAAAGCTGGCTCTATCATGTCAACAGTACTAGATTGCTAAATAAATCTAAAAAAAGGAAGAGGAAAGGCAATAACTAATTTGCTATTTGTAGACGCAGCTAAAGCATGTAAGGTATCAAGCTTATAAAGGAGAGCTATTGCTATGATATTGCATATATCTGCAGAAATGCTGAAAGACGCTGACGAAAATAGAGAACCAATCCCAGAAAGAGCTACCATAACAGCAAAATATTCTAAACGAGATCATAATTTAATTGACAGAAACACCCACATATATTCATCGAACAAAAACACTAATAATAATAACAGAAACACTAACATCAAACAAATGAGGCATTAAAATCTCCAAATATTTAAAATTTTCATCCAATTTCAGAACACATATTTACACTCTTATCAAGCACCTGCAAGACAAACGTAGTACCAACTACATATATTCATCGCAGGTAATATTCTGGTCAAAAGATAGTGAAGCAAAACAAGCTCTCCCTACCCACAAAGGCACAAAACAAAAGGTGCATGAACATCATAAGCTCACTTCATAAATTAAACTTAAATTTGGTCATAAAAAACTAGAACTTGCATTACTTCCATAAATATCATCAGTCGTGTTCTGCAATGGGAGAGAATTAGGGACGGAAGTCGGCTGCCAAGGACGCACATATACGAAGGCCTTATCAAAAATCCCCAGTATGATATTGTCACATATCATATCCTACGCAAGTTGCATGATACAATTGTGCTGAGACCCATCTTAATATACACAATGTCACCATTGTTGGGATCACAAGCAAGCGGTTCAACGGAGCACGTGTCCTTAAACCAAGTAGTATTCTTGGATTGCAACCCAAAGAAACTGATGCCATGCTCCAAACTCCATTCAACTCCTTCATAATCCTTGAAATCCTATATATGAAAGGATAGAACATCTTTCTTGGAATTGTTTTCAATCTCAAAAAGTCTTAACATTTCCCTAAAGACAGCAACACGAGTATTGTATTTCTGTGAGGATGCTCTAGGTGGGAGATCAATTAAACGAAGGGATTCAACTTCATTAAATGGATCTACACCGATCAATACATCCATAGAACTAATCCAAAAGCACATTCCTTTATACGGAATGCCATTACAGTTGAAAACAGGAAATCCAAAGATTTTAGTCCTACAACTAAACTTTTTTTCAATCCAAACACCAGAATCAGAAGTAATCTCAACTTTAAGGTCATTGTAGAGATTGTGGTCACGGAAATGTATAAATGGAATTCTAACTACAGCATACTTAAAGTTGTTTCGCGTGGAGCAGGCTTCGGTCGTTGAAGGGGTGGCCGAAGTCAAGTTTGCCGTCGCTCGGAGCGTCGACCGGTGGCCGAAACACTGATCAGGGAGGGGAAGGAAAGGAGATCGCGGTGCTGCGATCGGGAAAGGAGGTTTGGGCTACTGTCCCCTTTTTGGTTGTTTCTCTCTCCTGTTTTAATTGGTCTATCTAGTTTGGCACAATTCACTGGTTCAATTCAATTCAAACGGAAACTTCAAAACTTTAACGGGTTTCAATGGTTTATGCTTGGTTCGATCTGCCTGGTTAGCGGTTTGATTTTCCTTATTCTCATAAATTTATATTTATTGCAATAAAATGATGTTATTAAATTTAAATTATGGAATTTAATAGGAAAAACTTTTGAAATTTTAAAATCAGGGTATTTAAGCCATATATATGCAATTCTACAATATCATCATCTAGTAATTATAATTATTAATATTAAAATTAGAAAACTATAAATATTTTTTACTAAATAAATTTAATTGGTTCAGTTTTGAGTTTGGGATAAATGTGACTTCAGACTCAATTTTATTTAAATAAATTTTTTTTTACATTATTAATGGATAACAAGATCAATATATAATATATATATATTAAGTTCATTGAAAGGTTCAACAAGCCGAAATAGTATTCAAAGATATTTTGTAATAACATTCACACAAGATTAAAGAAAAACAATGTAAATTTGCCAATTAAAGATCATTATCAACTTTTCTAACTCCATTTTCTATATCAGTCTGATTAACCCAACCTGACTGCAAATCATAAGCATTCAGAGAAAGTGTTCTCAAAATTTTCTGCAAGCTATTTTGTCGATTAATTGCCGGCTTTGGTAGACTTTTTCCTTTATCCAGGCTTCGATTCTTCACATCACCTTCATCGTCCTCATTGTTATACGCACCCATCTCAATTCCTCCTTTCACTAGATGGGTTGAACCTTCTTCTTCAATGGCTTCAGTTGATTTGGGTGAAACTGTCTTGTTCTTGTACATTGCATAAAGTATCAATTGGGCTGACCCTAACACGAACCCCGTTGCATTTGGCACCTAAAATCAATTTAGCCATAATTAATAAAATATGCATTATTAATTTCTAAATTATAAATTGAAGAAGGTAATTAAAGAACTTACTCCAATGTAAAAGTCTTTGACAAGCAATGCATAAACAGACCAAACGCCTCCATTGAGAAACAGGAAAAACGAGAGCAAGAAAGGCATGTATTCCACGCTTTTGGTCTTTATCACCGTTCTCTATTACACATTAAAATAAAATTTGAATCAATTAACAACTTTCATTTGATATTCCATTTCCTATATTAGAAATTTTAAAATGGATTAGAGATCTCGTTATATATTTATAAAACAGGCACTCGATTATTGAATTACTATTCTTAAATTTATAAGACTCGTGAAAAAATTACCATGGCTGATAGAGGTGCTGCATACATGCCTATAGTTAATGCAGCACATAAAATTCCAACAAAGGTGAGCCTTATATTTCCATGGAGGGCTAGAAGAGTCACTGCTATTACTGCTCCAAGAAAAACTACATTTAGTAGTGCCACCAACTTTGCCGTCTTAATCTGAAATTAACAAAAGGATCAATTGATTAAGATGTAATTAAGACTAATAAGCTCGAATTGGTATCATTTCTTACTCAAACTTTTTTACCATTTTATCTTTTGGAGCGTATATCAAGAAGAGAGTGACATAAACGAATTGGAAGACGGTGCCGGTTCCATTGACGGTCACGACAAGTAAACCATCTGGATTAAGAATTCCATAAAAAGTCCATAAACTCGTGCTTAATAATGTAGTTATATATGGAACTCCTTTGTAATTTTCTGTTGATTTCTTCTTCACCACTGTCCAAAAGGTTTTTCTGCAGAGTCAATTTAAAATCATTCCTTCAATCATCTCAGAAAAAAATAAAGAAAAGAAAATTGTTTTGATAAACTAGTTTAATACTTTCTTTGAGTAGAAGTGAACTTCTATTTCATAATTTAATTTGTACATGGCAAACATGCAGACTTGGGAAAATTCAATACTTACATGGGAGAAGCAAAAACCAGTATAGAAATGATATTACCTGCAAGAACATATTACAACAAAGAAAATCATTAACCCTGATATAAACAATTGAATCTACAAATAGAAAGAAAAAAAAGAAAAACCCAATAAAGAGAAAAGAAGAACTAACCAATAATTCCAACAATGAAGCTTAAGCTAGCCATGAATATTGCAATAGTTGGGTAAGTGAAGAGAAACACAAAAATGCAGAGAAAACTGTACAAAAAGAAGAAGTAAGATGTGTGGTTGATGATTAAAGGGTTGATATATATATATATATCAATCGACCTTTTGGTCTACATAGCAATGTCTAAACGTTTGACACGTTTTCACTCAATCCAATTCTTCGCAAATAGTACTGTTAAAAATGGAAACTGGGCCAAGATTCTTTCATTTTTGACGCATTTTTGGTGTCGTTTTATGCTTTTGTTTCTGAGTTCAACAGAGATATTTTTTTTGTCTTTGGTGTTAGGTTTTGCAGAGGTGATAATGGAGTATAAAGTTTGGTCTTCTTTGAATTCATACAGAACTGCTATATAACTAACACAATTTGGTCTGTGAACTGTTATTATCTACTCTTACTATATCGTGAAACGTTACGGAGTTCATTTCTCTGCATTGTAAATTTGTAATACAATAATGTATGGATAGAGTAAGCCGTGTTATAGTAGTCCAATACACGTGTCACAGCGTTGGATTGATTAATATTACTTTTAAATTTTAATTTATAATTTATGGTACCTTGCCGACAATCAAGCAAGGTCATTTTCTTTTACTCAAAATATGGCATTTTATTAAATTACTAGGTTTCTTTTCTATAAAAAAGATTAAGAAAAAAAGTTCAATTCGGTTTGATTTTATAAATATTATTATAATTTAACAACTAAATTTTGATGAAAATAAAATTATTTATCAATTAAATGATTTAAATTTAGTTAAATTAATTTTTTCATATATAGTATTATAACATAAATTATTTATATTACTAAAATATGGAAAATAATTATTAGCTTTCATATTTTGTGAATTGAAATAATAAATTTTTATGTTGCATTGGTTTGAAAAATTTGAAAACAAATATGTAATTATATACCAATGAGTTTCCCATTTATAAAAGTATGAAGAACATGCTCCTTCCTAATGCATCATGTATATTGAGAAATTTATGTTCTTATCTTACTCCATTAAGAAAATAACAACACAAAAAAAAAAAAAAGAATTAATTTTCAAAATAGTGTTATTTAAAGGTATAAAGCAATAAAGTAAATAAAATTGAAAATAAAGTACATTAAATAAACAAATAAAATAAACTGAAAATAAAATATCACATTAGAAAATTATCTAAAAGTTAGGATTAGCTTGAATTAGCGTATTATGTTTTGAATTTATATTAAAGATATTATATATTATAAATCCATTGCTATTATCATATGTAGTTTTGGTTTTTTTTTTTTTTTTTTTTTATATTAAAGATATTATTATTATTTATTAAATCCATTGCTATTATCATATGTTTAGTTTTTGGTTTTTTTTTTTTTTTTCCTTTTGTAACTTTTTGCTAAAAGTTAGTAACAAGTTCAAATTTAAAATTTTATTAAAAATAATAACTAATAATATTTACATCTTACGCATGTAGTATAAATCCACAATAAAATAAATTACTTTTTATTTTTCTCAATTAATAAAATTATAATTCTTAAAATTATTATATTAGAGACAAAATAATTTATGTTAGTTAGAAATAGTAGTTGAACTGAATCATAAGGACTTTACATCAGGTATAAATAAAACGCCATGATCTGCACGGGCCGTTTCAATCATTGCCAAATGATATCCTCCATTATAAAATCACATTATTGTACCATTTACAATTTCATTGATTTTAGCCATTACTGCCTAGCTACGGGAAACGCCAAGTAGGAGGGAAGTAAAAAATTTTTTTTTCATTTTTTTTTAACTTTTTTTTTTTTTTTTTCTTTTTACTTTTTGCTAAAGTTTATAACCAATCAAATTAAAATTTTATTAAAAATAATAACTAATAATATTACATTCTTACCATGTAGTATAATCAAATAAAATAAAATTACTTTTATTTTCTCAATTAATAAAATTTAAATTCTTTAAAATTATTATATTAGAGACAAATAATTTATGTAGTTAGAAATAGTAGTTGAACTGAATCATTAAGGACTTTACATCAGGTATAAATAAACGGCCATGATCTGCACGGCGTTCAATCATTGCCAATATATCCTCCATTTATAAAATCACATTATGTACCATTTACAATTTCATTGATTTTAGCCATTACTGCCTAGCTACGAAACCCAATAGAGTATCATTTACTTGTCTATAAAGCCCATCACAGCATTATAAGTTTTCGTTATGAACAAGCATCTAGTTTATTACAAATGAACATTTGACAGACATGTAGAATTATATTATTGCAAACAAAATAAACAAGATTATAATAGTGTTCTATTTAATTTTTTAGAAAATTTAATATTTAGTAGTGGGATTTAATTTTTCATAAATAGAATATTTAATTTATTCCAAAATCTCAAAATATATATTTAATAAGATGTGCAATTTATTAATTAGCAAAGTATAGTAAAATAGTACTCATTTAAAAACAATCATGTTCCAATTTAACTCAATCTTGTGTTATTTGGATTATAAATAATTTTGAACTCGATTTATTTATTATTTTTATTTAAAAAATGTGGCTCGTTTATAAATAAAATTTATTATATCTTTAAAAATATTTTATCTATAGTATTTTATAAAAGGTGAGGGTGTTAAAATTATCACTGTTGACAGTATTTTATATCTAAATATCACGATGATTTGACTGTAGAATTATATGTGCATGAGAAAAGAAAGAAAAATCTCATGACAAATTAAAAAATAGGGAAAAAATCTCGTGATAAAATAAAAATTCTTTCGTGCTAGAGCGACCTTAATAATGTCCAAATTAGGCCCATTTTTCACAATTAAACCAGGACTCTAATGCAAAGTCTGTCCATGTTTGTGAGCTGGGCCCAAAATTAAACGCAAAGGTGAGTGGCCTAATATGCACGCACAGCTAAAATGCGCCGCTGAGGTACCTTCGAATTTTAATGGTTTCAAGAAGAACTGAAGAGCAACTTGAAGTTACTCTCTTGGAACAAAGGTTTATAGATCGATCTAAACCCCTCAAAACCCTAAATTCTTGTTATTAAAGATTAAAGATCTATCGGTTTCAATCTCTTCACTTCTAAAATGTTCAAAAAGTAAGTTGTCTGTTCAGAATCTAGACATATGATTTTCGTTTTTGATTTCGATTTGTGTTGCTGTTGTCCGGAAATGAGTATTTTCTGTGCATAGTTTAACTATTTAGTGCTTATTAGGTTTTCATCTGAAGATGTATCTTCACAGAACCAAGTCAAGGCATCAGTGCAGCGAAAAATTCGACAAAGTATTGCAGATGAGGTTAGGATTTTCCAGCCTCATTCTTCATTTCAAAAAGGTTACATTTAAATTGATGCAAGAATTTTCACTTCTAGTGCAGTATCCAGGACTTGAACCTGTTATGGACGATTTGCTCCCCAAGAAGTCGCCTTTAATTATTGCCAAATGGTCTGTTTAATTTTTTCTCTCGTTCGTTCTCCTTTACTATATGTGAAATGGGTATTTATTTGTGTATTTATATTGTTCTTGTTTTGTTGCAGTCAAAATCATCTGAATCTGGTTATGGTGAACAATGTCCCCCTTTTTTTCAATGTCCGTGATGGGCCTTATATGCCTACCCTACGACTTCTCCATCAATGTAAAAGTTTATATGTCTTATTATTGTATTTTTTGTTTAGAAAATTATTTTATCCCTTCTCAGTTAGGTGCTATGCTTGTTTTTTTGTTGTGAGATAATGCTTGTAACTGGGACGCTTTAAATTTTCTCATGAAATTCCTATACGGAATGACTCTTATATTATGTTCTGGGATATGGGCAAAGAACATGTGTAACACATAATGCTCTGAAAAATGACTATTTTTTATTGCTAGTTGCAGTGAGTATGCTTTAATTAGGCTTCCATTCCATGTTTTCTTTGTACATTTCTATTGTGCTCTAAACATGGGTTCCATCTTGTGCAAAATCCTGACAAATTTTCTTGAAGCCTTACATTTTACTAGGAATTTGCTGCTAGGAATTTAGCTTCTTGTATCGGTTATAATTTTCTAATGAACAATGTTGGAAAATGAAATTATGGTGGCGTATCACTCTTGAAGTTATATATAACTTTGAGTTTTCCAACTCTATCATTAGCCTCTGGAACTAGGGTTTGGAGTGTTATAGGACTCCTTAAGATCATGCAAAAGCTACTACAGATTTCTTGCTCGGATCTGGGCTTTATAGGATTCCTTAATATGCAAAACTACTGCAGATTCTTTGCTCTATATTTCTCAATCTATTATTATTAAATGTAAACAACTCTTCAGTGTTGTTCTCTTTGGTTGGTTATTATACTCTTCTTAATGTTTTTGCTGGTTTTGCAGATCCAAACATAATGAAGAAGTTACAAGTGGACAGAGGTGCAATAAAATATGTCCTTGCTGGTGCCAACATAATGTGTCCTGGACTTACATCCCCAGGTGGTGCTTTGGATGAAGAAGTGGAAGCAGAAACCCCTGTGGTATGAATTGTATTCTGTTGTGCTTGGGGTGTTCCATGCCTGAGGAATTGTTTTCTTTTCTTAAGAATGTTTGATTTTCCATTTTTATAGGCTGACTAAGAGCTTTTTGGCTTTTCTCTATTTTATTTATGTTAATTTCTGACTTTGGATGCTCTTAGGCCATAATGGCTGAAGGAAAGCAACATGCTCTTGCGATTGGCTTTACAAAAATGTCAGCGAAGGACATGTGAGTTATTTTCTAACTTTTTGAATCATGATATTTTCAATTTAAGTAGGGTGCCAAACTTTTGGATGGAATTAATCGTGGAAAAGTTGTTTTTTCCACTTACCCCTAGAAGAGTGATGAAGCGTTACATGATCATGGATTAATTGTTTAGCAATGACCTAAAATATATGAATAAGAGGGGATCAGAGTTTTTCTAGTCACTCTGCAACCCATATAGCTGTCTATTGTCACTTCTGAAGTATCAGTAATATATTTCCTTTCATCATAAGGCACAGAAAATGCCATTTCGTTTAAGATCATTGCCCTTGCGCACTTGCCTTGACCAGTGCATAACTATTAAGGCTTAGTTTTCCGATGTAGATTGCTGTATGTAAGAGCAGCATATCACAGCAATAGTTCTCTACTTCCCGTTGAACCTTTACTTTCTGATTGTTGAACCAGAGTTGACCTTGTTAAAGTCCAAATGGTGAAGGTGTTGAACCTTTGCAGTACAATATTATATGATTTGCTTATAGTATAAATATTTGGGAGGAACTTTTGGACATTTTGGTCTTTATATCTCAGAGCTGCATATTGAGGTTATTGTTGCTGATGTTCACACGATAAAACATGGGTAGAAGGGACAGGCAGCGATAAGCTCATCAATTATCATTTCAGTTTCCTTTATTTTGTGATTGGTGAGGTATAACTAAGCAGAATATTGGTCTGGTTTACAGAAAGGCAATCAACAAGGGAATTGGGGTGGACAACATGCATTATTTGAATGATGGTCTTTGGAAGGTAGGCAATTGTCAAATTTTTATCCGTGCGTCTTGTGATGTTACTATTTAATGTTATTGAATTCAATAACATAGATTTAAGAACATATTTTCAGTATCCTGTAATACTTATTGTGCTTAAATTAGGCCTTCCATATTCTTCATGTCACATTTGTTAGTATTTAGTTATTTCACATGGCTATGGTTTGCATGATTCTACCTTTTAATTGGCATATATATATTGTGTTTTCTTGTTCAAACTGCTCTTATTTGTTCATTTATTTATTTAACACGATGTAGTTGGGGATAATATGAATGTGGAACTAACTTCTTATATGTTGCAGATGGAGCGCCTAGATTAGTGATTTGCCGAGAGCAACTGCAGTACCATTTACAATACAGGACAGAGGGTTCGCATCATGGGCATCATCTTTGCAATGCAGCTATCCTTTTGTCTAGATCTTATGAAAAGGAGTTGTGTAAATTTTTCTCCACTGTTGTTTTCTTTTTGTCCCATAAACAGTACAGATACTTATTTTACCTCAAAAGATCAATCACTTAATCAGATTATCGTGCATCTTCATGTAATTCGTTAAGACTCCCATTTTAGTGGGTGTTCTGCAAATATTGAAGCTGTAATGCCCCATGTTCGTCCAATTAACTTATTTGATTGGCTTAAATTGATGAATTGATTTCACACTTTCCGAAGTCCGTTGCTTGATATAAGAACTGAGGATTGCTTTGTTAAAAGATGCTAAACAGACAAAAGGCATGACAATCCAAAGTCTAAAATGTATATGCAAAGGAGGAGTTTGTGCTTGCTGCAAGTCTGTTTGACCCCAAGCACAAATTTTGGAAGATTGATCAGATGGTTGGAAGTTATATTCATATATGTTGTGCATGTATGAGAACATTACTCTGAAAACTTGCGTAGTTTGTTAATTCAGGCAGGCAATAGATTATGACAAAGGTTGTAAAGACTTGAAACGCTACATCATGTGAAGCCTCCACCATAATGCCTACAGTAAGAAAAACCGAAACCTAAAATTTCTTTTGCGTAAAAGATTTTAGGTATGTTATTACTTGAATTATAAGCTTCATTTTGAAACAAAAAGTTATATTGTCCCTGTAGAAGCAGAGGAAAGGTTTCCTCTCATTTTCAACTGTGGATTACTTAATGGCCTACTGGGCTACAGATAGAATGGAGGATGAAAATCTTAAGGGCTTGCCTTTGGGCTCAAATCCCAGGCCCAAGATCATTTGGAATTTACCTGGTGCAACCCACTTTGGTCGACACGTTTACGGTAGGAGATGAATCACCATTAAGATCGATAGACCTCACCACACTCTCAATTCCACCTATAAAAGCCCTTTAAAACCCTAGCTTCATTTTAGTTCCCGTCTCAAGCTCCAACCAGCAGCTGTATTAGCGGCGTGCAGCCTCGGAGGTCCAACACGCTAAAGCTCTAATGGTTAATCTCTTCTTCCTCTCCTTGTTCTCGCATCTTATCGTTGTGTTGTGCCTGTCGTTTTATATCTTTCTCTTTTCTAATTTGATATGAATTGTCGTTTTCATTTCCCAGGGGATCGATTTGAAAGCAGGAGGTAAGAGCAAAAAGACCAAGCGCACAGCTCCTAAATCTGATGATATCTATCTCAAGCTACTTGTTAAGGTGCGCATTTTCAGTAAATATGGAATAATCATGTGTTTTATCTCTTATACGTGATTGGTAAACTGATTGATTGTACGAATTTTGATTAGCTATACCGATTTCTGGTAAGGAGAACCGGTAGCAAGTTCAATGCGGTGATATTGAAGAGGCTGTTCATGAGCAAGGTCAACAAAACCCCGCTCTCTCTCTCTAGGCTCATCAGGTTCATGAAGGGAAAGGTTAGCTCTCTCTTTATGTAATATACTCTTAGTTTTTAGATCTGATAGGTGTTTATGTTTTAGGGCTTATATGGTGTAGCTTTCTTGTGATGTGTACAGGAGAGTAAGATTGCAGTGGTTGTGGGCACAGTTACCGATGACATTAGGGTTTATGAGGTTCCGGCATTGAAGGTTACTGCCTTGAGGTTTACAGAGACAGCAAGAGCCAGAATCGAGAAGGCTGGGGGAGAGTGTTTGACATTTGACCAGCTTGCTCTGAGAGCTCCTTTGGGGCAGAACACAGTATGTACTCTTTCCTTAGTTGTTCATATGTTTTGAAATGGTGTATCCTTTGTGGTGTTAAATTTATTTTTGAGTGATTTATATGGTATAGATCTTAGATTGTCTTGAGAGATAAGTTGCTGCTTTTCATAATGCCACGAAACATTATGAAATGTGCTTGAAGAATACAATATGTCTGTATGGGTTTCGGAATGGTTGACACGAATGGGAAGCTATATTGGAACAGTGATGAGCCTACAGACCTGTAATGATTTGCGATGATGATCGCAACTCTTTAGAACATCTAAGGGACTGAGTTCTCTAATAGTGCGCCCATTCTTTATTTTTACTAGTGTGCTAATGTCTTGGTAGTATGGCTTTGAATAATTGCCTTTTAATTTTAGGATCAGGATTGGTGTTGATTAAGTTCCATATCAAGATGGATGTGCTTATGCAAAAGTTTATAAATTTCTATCTGATTATTGAATATTGTTCTGTGCTATATGATCAGGAATTTCCTTAGGATGTTTATTTGGGTGATTGTGCTGTCTACAATCAACAATGGAATCTGAATTTGATATTGCAGTTCTTATTGTGTTTAATGAACTTTGCTTTCATGCTTTTATTTTTTGCACAACTTTACCGTGTTTGCTATGAATTACTATGTATCATGAGTATTAGTACCAGGTTTGTTGTATTTTTCTTGTGGCTTATTGATGCAATTATTTGTTCAGGTTCTCTTAAGAGGTCCTAAGAATGCTCGTGAAGCTGTGAAACACTTTGGCCCAGCTCCTGGTGTGCCACACAGCCATACCAAACCATATGTTCGATCAAAGGGTAGGAAGTTTGAGAGAGCTAGAGGAAGGAGGAACAGCAGGGGATTTAGGGTTTGACGTGTTTTTAGTTCTAAATTGTGAGGCACTTGTTTTACTTTTCCCAAATTTTGTTAGACTTTAGGTTCCTTTGGAACTTGTTTATGTTATTCTTCTCGGTTATCAATTATCAGTCTGAATTGTTTTATGCTTGGGAATCATATTTCACTCTTACAAAATTGGTAATGCTTTAATTAAATTTTGAGTTTTACATTAAGTTTTTTATGCCGACTTTATTAAATGATTACATGTATTTTGATTCAAGTGTTTAGATTTTTGACAATGTTTGTAAACCAAAATTTTATCACGAGATTGGTTTGTGCAAATTTGGTAAACTAGAATGCTCCTTAAGGTGTCCGCTGTTGCTTGATAAAACTTTGGTGCACAATTTGGTTTGAATATTAATATCTTCTGTATGCTATCAATCGACAGTTACTAGATAATGCTGTTTGGTAGTCTAGATCATGAACTAGAATTTGCTAATGTCCGACTAGGTTTGTGACTGGAACAATCGTACTAATTTCAATTAGTCGCAAGTGAGACAAGCTGAGATTGAATTTTGTGAAATTTGAGTTAGGCTCGCTGAACTTTAAAAAAATTGAGTTTGAGCTTAGCTTCCTTGAAATAGTTGAAATTGTGCTGCTTTTGTTTACAGTTAATAATTAACTTTGCAAATTTGAACTCGAACTCGAGTTAGTTTACAGTTTATAATTTCGAAGTAAAGAAAATTCAGAATTGAACGAGGTTGAACTAGCTTACAGCTCATTCGATATGGTGAGGCAGCATGTGATCGGCAGCTTGTTTTTTTGGTTAAATTTACTGAACAAGCTGTGTATTTAAGCAAGCTTTTTATCCAACTGCCGAGTAGCTGACAAGCCGTTTGCTTTATTAATAGCCTGATTTCCAAAGGAATTGCCAGAAAGATATTGGTGAATATCCCGGCAACTAAAGCAAATGTTCTCTTACAAATGGGTAAAAAACATAGATCCTGTTACAGAAAATAGTGGAGTGCTTGAAATAAAAATCTAGAAAATAGTATCAATATTGGGTGATAAAGTCATAGATAAGGTTGCTGATCTCCTTAGGTCTTTCCTGGCTGATAAAATGACCAACTCCTTCCATGACAACAACATCCTCCAAAAATGGCACATAATGGCTGAATCCACTTCCCTGTACATATTCCTTCATTCCTGGTGTTGTATACACCATATCAGCATCTCCAACCACAAATTTCACTGGCACTTTAATCGCTACTCCTGTCCATTGGGCTGTGAGCTCCCAATTCCTGCAATAACCATATTGTAATTAATTATTAACACAAGAAAGTTAATCAAAATATGATTCTCCATAGCATTTCAAGTTAAAAAATATACAAATCCAAAGCTCTGTAGTAGTTCAATCCTCCAGTGAAGCCTTTCTGGTTAAATTTGGTTACATAGTAAGCAAGATCTTCTTCTGTGAGCCAAGAGGGTAATGTAACTGGATTCTCTTTACAACTTCCAAATGCATTTTCTTTAGGCAGGCAAGGTGGACCTGGTTTTCGATCTGTAAATATTTTCTTTAGAACCTCTTCTGTGCCAACCCGTGCTATTTCTTCTTCAATTTCCCCTGGTTTCTACATATTAATGTTTTTTTTCTGTTGCATTAGATGACAAAAAAAAAAAAAAAAAAAAAAAAAAAAAAACCATTTGGGCTGTGAGCTCCATTCCTGCAATAACCATATGTGTAATTAATTTTATTAACACAAGAAAGTTTAATCAAAATATGATTCTCCATAGGCATTTCAAGTTAAAAAATATTACCAAATCCAAAGCTCTGTAGTAGTTCAATCCCTCCAGTGAAGCCTTTCTGGTTAAATTTGGTTACATTGAGTAAGCAAAGATCTTCTTCTGTGAGCCAGAGGGTAATGTAACTGGATTCTCTTTTACAACTTCCAAATGCATTTCTTTAGGCAGGCAAGGTTGGACCGTGGTTTCGATCTGTAAATATTTTCTTTAGAACCTCTTCTGCTGCCAAACCCGTGCTATTTCTTCTTCAATTCCCCTGGTTTTCTACATATTAATGTGTTTTTTTTCTGTTGCATTAGATGACAGGAGAAAAAAAAAAAAAAAAAAAAAAAACAAAAAATCCCAAAGGACATGAAGGATAAGAAAAGGTAGTTGAAAGAGAACCTGAAATCTGCAAAAAAAAAAAAAAAAAAAAAAAAAAAAACAAAAATCCCAAAGGACATGAAGATAAAGAAGAAGGTAGTTGAAAGAGAACCTGAAATCTGCAGATGTAGTACTCATCTCCAAAGAGAAGGCGCATGCTTTCTACAGTCTTTATATTTGGATGTCTTGGCTTGAAAGGAACGCTAAGGCAAACAAAAGCCTTGACTTTATCAGGCCTAAACAAGCACAAATACCATCCAATAATGGCACCCCAATCATGTCCTACAAGAAAAACTTTCTCTGCTCCAAGATGATCAATAAGAGCTATCAGATCACCAACAATATGGTGACACGTATAGCTACTGCTTAAAGCTGGAGCTTCAGTATCACCATAGCCTCTAAGATCTGGAGCAACAGCATGGAATCCAAGCGAGCTTAATGAAAGAATCTGATGGCGCCATGTATACCAGAGTTCTGGAAATCCATGGAGAAATAATATCATTGGACCTTCTCCTTTCTCCGCTATGTGCATGTTTATTCCATTTACATTCACTACTCTGTGATTTATCTCCTCCATTTTTATCTCTTCTTGAGCTCTCCTTAGCAAGCTTTGCTTCATATACAGAGCAAAGTTATAACGTTTTTTGGAGTAATGATAGAAAATGAGGAACTGACTTTTTTTCAGCACTTTAATGTTACTCTCTAGAATAGTGCATTTGCTTTTTTACGATGTACAGTTGGCCATTGCAGGGTAAAGCCAAAGAAAATAAATGCAAATGGCAGATGGACATTTTTTTTTTATTATTCTCAACAATATTGAATTAATTTAGGGTTTGCTTGTATTCATTTTGGTAAGTCAGGAAAGATTTTATTTTTCTTTTATTGTACCACTAAAATTAGGAATTAGTTGATGAATCATAAATGTTTGCAGTCTGATCTCAAATCTCAAATTGAAAAAAAAAAATTCTTCCATAGCATATTATGTAAATTAAATGGTTAAAAATGTAAAAATTTAAGTGTCAAGACATTACCTTTGTCATTCATTTGCTTTGTAAATTTAGATTTACTTCATGAAATTATAAGCATTTAAACATGTTAAAATATCACAATTGAAAATGAAAATGATGTGTGTTATTAATATTATAACATCATAGATGAAAGCAAATACAAAATTACTTCTTTGTTGATTCCATGACATGACACAGTCATTTGAGAGAAGGGAAATTTAAATTCTTCAAACTGAATTGTCATGTTCTCCACCTAACAAGAGGGAAGAGGACAGATTTGCATTTAGAAACTTTTGGTTGATAAAAAAAGATCAATATCTAAAGTTACAACCTTTTCCTTGGTCATGTAAGAACCAATTGAAATGAAAGGTCAAGCTTAAATTTCTGAATTACCTACCCAAAAACAGAAAGTAGTTAAAAACATCTAAAAATGCCAAACCTTTATCTCACTCAATCGTATATATCAAAATAAATACAATAACGAAAAGAAAGGAAAAAACTTGCCAAGAGAAAACTTTTCATCATGTCTTCTAAAATCATTTTCTTTATACTCTCTCTTGCTAGTATTATCTCCACTAGTCACCAAGCATCAGAAATAGTAACCCAGTCATGTGAAAAAATCCCACATAAGGACCTGTGTTTATCAGCTTTAGGTTCTGCTCCGGAAAGTGATGTGCATGATCTACCAGGGCTAACAAAATTTGCTCTGAAAATGGCGTCCTTAAATGGAACTGAACTCTACAAGAAAACTGCAGAATTGTATCAAACAAGTTCAGATGAATTTGTGAAGCAATGCTTGACAGATTGTTCTGAGGTCTATCAGGATGCGATTGATCAACTTGAGGACTCGATGGTAGCCATTGATTCTAAAGTTTATGACGATGTTACTACATGGGTTACTGCTGCTGTAACTGACACACAGTCTTGTGAGGATGGGTTTAAGGAGAAACAAGGATTTACCTCTCCTCTGTCTCAGGATAATGCAGTGTTTAGCCAACTTTGTAGTATTGCCTTGTCACTTTCAAATCTCTTGGCCCAACAGTAGACTCTTTCTAGTGTAATCTCTTTCGTTTATGCATTATTTTATTTTGTGATGAGAGATTAGCATCAAAGAGGGACAATCTATATGTAATGATTCGAAATTTCTAATGGAGATGAATCTATATATATTAACATTGGTGCTAGTGATTACTTTCTGTTTTTTCTTACAAAGGATATGAATTTTTTATGTAAGCATGTATAAAAAAAATGCCAAAATGAAAAAATAAATTTAGTTTCTTCCAATAATTAAGTTGGATTAGCAAAGTATCAGGAGTAGCAACTTTGTTTATGGGTTATTAGAAAAATAACAAAGATCGTTTTATGGGTTCTTTAAAGGTTCAAATCACGTAGTTTTAACTTTAATACCATTTTTTCTCCCAAAAAAAAAAAAAAAAAAAAACCAGTTTTTAGTTTTAACTTTAATACCATTTTTTTCTTCCCCAAAAAAAAAAAAAAAAAAAAAAAAACCAGTTTTTGCTTAAAGAAAAAATTTAGACACTTAATAAGTTAATACTATTTTTTTTTTGAGAAATGTGGTAGTGATATTAAAAACAATTCAAGGAAAGGAATCCGAAATACAAGTGGAGGGGAAGACAACCCAAACCACAGAATCTGTCTCCATTAGACAAGCTCTAGCCAACCTATGAGCTGTATTCATTAGCAGATCTACGAACATAAGGAAAGATTGACATTCTCTAAGCTCACTAAGCAGAGATTTTACCAATGCAATAACCAAACAAAACCAAAACTAGAATCATCCAAACATAATTCAATTCCAGGATTGCACGGACACAATCAAGCAGCATCCAGGACTGCACGGACACAATCAAGAGCATCTGATTCCACCATAACTAGATGCCAGCCTTCTCTTTTGATCCAAGATAAAGCCTCATGAATAGCCAACAATTCCACAAACCTGGGTTCAAGAGCACCGCTGAAAGATTTTTGAAAAGCACCAATAAAAGCACCATTGCAATCACGAGCCACACAACCCACACCTGCATAACCAGTTGAGAAGCAAGCACCATCCACATTAATCTTCAAGGTCCCCTCTGGTGGCTGTGACCATTGCACCAGCTGTGCAGGCTGATGTGTTCTTTGTACCACAGTTTGAGCTCTTTCCCAGTCAGTTAACACAGAACCCGCTTTACGCTTAACGTGCCATTGGTCTTGAAATACCCCTTTCCAAACAGCTGCGTTTCGAGCCTCCCACAAAGACCAAAGAATCATTGCAAACTCCTTAGATAAATCATTGTTCAGCTGCCCCAATAAAGAACTAAACCAATCAATGAAATTTCCAGATGAGGCAATACGGTGGCCAATAGATGAAACAGACCAGCAGGAGCGTGCAAAAGGGCAGTCCACAAAAAGATGCACTAGCGTTTCCTCATGATTCCCACACAAATAACAGGAAGCAAAAACTGGAATCTTTCGATGTTGGAGTGCTGGTACAGTGGGCAGGGCGTTCAAACACAGACGCCATAAGAAGTTTCGACACTTAGGAGGTATTTGCAAATTCCACAGCTTACGCCACATAGAAGAAAAATCAGAGGCAGCAAAAGAAGGACTTACAGGAGTCAATATTTTATAGGAGCTCTTAACAGTATATAGGCCTTTCTTTTCAAATTTCCAGAACCAACTATCCTCATGGAAAGAGCTGTTGGAAACTTGAAAGAATTGCTCCCTGTCTGCCTCACAAAATTGATGAAGCAGAACATCAGACCTCCAAGAGCCATTACTTATTAAATCTGCTACAATAGACAAATTGTATCCAAGGCATAGGAGGTAGTACCTCAAAGATTCGGTCATGTTAAGCCAAGGAATCATTCCAAATTGATGTAGAGGATCCCTCTGCATTCTCTTCAAGCCCCCTTACGAATCAAGCTCTTGACAGTCAGAAGACTACGCCAACAAAGCTTGGGTTGTATCCCAATGAGCATTCAAAAAGTCCGTATTGGGAAAATACTACTTAGCCTTGAGAAGGCGAGCAACAAAGAATTTGGTGCAGGATAGAAGCTTCATGTTTCTGCCCACATAGAAATATTAAACTCATGAAGCTTTTTAAACGCAAGACCCAAGCATTTGGTCTACTCATTCTATCCCAGCTACCAACCAAACCTTTATCGTGATTTTTACCTTTACCACCAAAAGTTACTCCAACATTCGCTGCAATTCATGGCAAAGTCTTAGGTGTACAAATAAGTTTTCAACATAATCTTGGGAGTGCTTGTAAACAGTCTTTAAACATGACTCTTGCCGGCCTTAAATAAACACGACGTTTCCATGAATTGACGCTTCTTCCCACACACGGTTTTCAGAAAAGCAAGACTGTCTTTTTTGTTAAACCCACCCTAGTGGGGGAAAAAAAAAGACCTAGATAAATACCAAGTCAGGTTTCTCTCACACCATACCAGAACCAATTCCCCGCAATCAAGCCGACCATTCTTGAGAAACAAGCAGAAGACTTCTCAAGTTGATATGTTTGGCGAAGCTTGAGCATATAGTAGCAAATAACTTGGTTTAACCATAGAAGCCTCCATGACATCAGGCCCGAAAAACTACAAGCTATATCTGGAAGAAGAGATATGAATCATCGGAGCACAACGGGCTAAAAGAACAGCTGGCCAAACATTCTTATCAACTTGAGCTTGATTAACGGCTCAAACCTTCTGCACAAAGGCAATAAAGAGGTATGGCGTATGGATTCGCCGCCGTATGCTCTTGACTGGAATAATCGACCCAAGGGAGTGCTTCATATGAAATTCAGTATTTTACAGAGGAATACAGTTCTGAATTAATTACGCCAAAGCGGATGGAAAACCCCATCCTTTTTAAAGGACAGCAGTAGTAGGACCATTCAAGTTCTTAATCATACGGCTTCGAAATGTTCTTTTAAAGTCACAAAAGCTCTTTACTCTTCTTCTTTTCAGAAAAAAATTGCATCATCATAAGCCTATGATGCTATTGTCTGGATACTTCGAGCCCACAACAAAGGCACTTTGCGACGGAGAAATTCAGAGGGCAATATTTCTCCTTAATGCGATTAGCAATAGCTTTAACTCATAATTTGTAAGAACATTACAAAGAAGGATTGGGTTTCTTAAATCCCTGTTGTTTCCGGCACACCTTTTCTAGGAATCAACACAAGCAAGTATTATTCAAATTTGCAGGGAGAACAACGTTTTGCTCAAGAAATAAATGCTCAGCACAGATAGCAGGAACAACAATATCCAATGATTCTGGTAGAAATGCAGATTGAAGCGTCAAAACTGGGGCTTTATCAGGTTGCATACTGAACACAGCAGAATTTAATCTCATCATTTAACCGAAAAAAAGGGAAAGGGCCCCCCAAAAACCAAACTTCCCCATTGTTCATTTTCATCTGTATGCAAGCTGCATAACATCCAACCGAGTTCCGTAATACCAGGAGAAGATGAGAAATAACCGAGAAGTAATTGTAAGCAGTGACCAAAGCATCTCTATCCTCAATCGCATTCTCATTGGCATTCATTTAAACGAGAGATAAGTTCTCTTTTTCCTTGCGTAGCAGCAGCGTGGAAAACTTGGTATTGCGATCCCTTCACGTAACCAAAATACCTTGGCCTCTGCTTCCATTCGATCTTCATGTTCATCTAAAAGGGTTCATTAAAATCGATTCGAGCCTCAATAAATCTTATTGGTAGCACTAAGAT